GTCGGTTCCCAAAGCTCTCCTCAGTCTCGGCCTTTTCCTTCTCCGGACGGGGGAAACCGTGCGGGAATGTGCCGTGTGAAGAGGCCAGTGGATGGGAATTGGGGATGTCGCAATCTTTAGCGAAGTGGAATGGCCACTACATCCTTCGATCTATATCATGGTGTACAGTCAATGTTTTCGGGGTGTCCAGGATGTAAAGACCGGGCTTTTAATATATACAACTAGTCTTGCCAAATAGGAATTTCGAATGCCAAGTCTTGAAGTTGCACACCAATGCTTATAATTCTAACGGTTTGAAATATCGTTACATGGAAGATGGAAAGTTGCCCTTCGCGAAAAATTAAGTGAGTGCTCCTGCGCATTCCGGGCCCCAGCCCCACTCCCCGGCCTCAGGCTTGGTCAGCTTGGTCCAGCTGCCTCACCCGACCCAGGAGTGCCCTTACGTGCTGGGCAATCCTCCTGGGCCACGCCTGCCGGCGTTGGTGGTCCCTCCGCAAAGCGAGGGCTTGGCGAGCGGCTGCTGACAGCAGCTTCTTGACTCGCCGCAGGCGCTGAAGCTCCAACACCGTGCCGACAACCATCTCCTTCGATGTGAATCAGATCAGGGTGGGTCCAATTTAAGGGGTCTAGATTTATACAGATAGGCATAGCTAGATCGTAGAGGCATACACATATAAATAAATAAATAAATGAACGAATAAATAAATAAATAAATATATATATAGATGTATGTATGTTGATATTTACATAAACAGTGGATCTACTGTAGGTGTGTAACCTCTTCGTTCGATTTTTTCCTTCTTTATTGCATCCATTGATCTTTCTGCACTAAGAGATGTCTCAATCCTGAATGGCCGATCGTTATATCATGTCTTTTTTATAAACATTAGATATTGTTATCTTTTTAGACCTCATAAACTCTGTTCTCAAGTCGTTGTTTTCGAGGAGATGCATCGGGCCATCGGTGATCAACCTACTTGCTCCAGCAATCTGTGATAGAATCAAGATAATTGATGGTGCATCATTCGTGCTAGTTAATTCTATATCTGAGTCATCATGAATGCACTGCGGTTGGTCCTCGAAGGTCTGCCGCTCGCGTTGGTCAGCGTTCCTCGGAGGGAACTGGCTGCATTCTGCGAGCAACTGGCTCGTGCGAGCCCTCGAGTAGCCGAGTTGGTACAGGGCCTGGCGCACCTCCCCTGTGTTGTTGTTCTTGCGCACCTTGAGGCCGTACACGAGGCTCTGGACCGGTCCCACCATTTTTACTTGGCGCGGAGTGGAGGCACGGGTGTTCGAGCTTGGGTTCTTCAGGGCGGCTGCGGTTGATGATAGATAGGATTAGATAGATAGGATTAGATCGATAGGATTAGATAGGTAGGATTAGATAGATAGGATTAGATAGATAGGATTAGATAGATAGGATTAGATAGATAGGATTAGATAGATAGGATTAGATAGATAGGTTTAAATAGATAGGATTAGATAGATAGGATTAGATAGATAGGATTAAATAGATAGGATTAGATAGATAGGATTAGATAGATAGATTAGATAGATAGATGGATGGATGGATGGATAGATAGATAGGACAGATAGGATAAGATAAGATTAGACTAGACTAGATTAGTTAATTAGATAGATAGGTACACAGACAAACAAACAAATATGTATATATCCACAGACACATTTATATGTCTTAAAACATATACAATACATATATAATCACCACCCTTTTGAGAAGGGGGGATGCTCAAAATGCAAGCTTGCAATAAGACGTTGTTTTTGGGGGGGGGACCTATGAAAATGTATGCTTACAATTATTTTTTTTCATCGTCTTTATTGCAAGATTGCATTTTGATAGGTTTGTAGATTGCAATTATGTACCCCCACGTTTTACCGACTTGCAATTATTTTCCAGGGGGGCGTCCAATATTGCAAGTTGCATTTTACGGAAACAAATGTAAGAACATGGAAAAAAATGCAAGAACAATAGTCTGGAGGTCTGCAAATAGCTGCAGAATTGCATAAAATCATAATTGCAATCTGTATCCCTAGAGGGCCTCAATTGCCTGTTATTTTCAATGAATTCTACACTTTTTCATTATTTACACATGTAATATAGATTTATAGAAGGTATATTATTCCTTGCAAATTATTGGAAAATCCTTGAAATTCAATAAATGTAAAAATAGATGTTGGAGGTCTTCAATTTTGCCTCCTGCCAATGAGAAATTAATTCAGCACAGGTGTAAAAATCATGTAATCATCATATGCCTGAGGTCCATATTTACTTGCAGAAACAGCTCCAAAAAAAAAAACATAGAAGACAAAATCAAGATAAATACATGTAACCATCCTACACCTAAGGTCCATATTTACTTGCAGAAACAGCTTAAAATAGATGAGAACATCAAGATAAACCCGTGTAACCATCCTACACCTAAGGTCCACATTTACTTGCAGAAACACTTCAAAGTAGATGATAAAAACAAGATAAAACCATGTAACCATCCTACACCTAAGGTGCAAATTTACTTGCAGAAACAGCTCAAAATAGATGAGAACATCAAGATAAAACCATGTAACAATCCTACACCTAAGGTCCATATTTACTTGCAGAAACAACTCAAAATAGATGAGAACATCAAGATAAACCCATGTAACCATCCTACACCTAAGGTGCAAATTTACTTGCAGAAACAGCTCAAAATAGATGATAAAAACAAGATAAAACCATGTAACCATCCTACACCTAAGGTGCAAATTTACTTGCAGAAACAGCTCAAAATAGATGATAAAAACAAGATAAAACCATGTAACCATCCTACACCTAAGGTGCAAATTTACTTGCAGAAACAGCTCAAAATAGATGAGAACATCAAGATAAAACCATGTAACAATCCTACACCTAAGGTCCATATTTACTTGCAGAAACAACTCAAAATAGATGAGAACATCAAGATAAACCCATGAAACCATCCTACACCTAAGGTCCACATTTACTTGCAGAAACAGGTTCACAACAGTCCCCTCCAAAAACTTGACAGAATAAACGAGACGGGAAGACAATACAGAAGCATCACATAGGAGGTAAGGAACCCGAAAGATGTAAGAAAGGAAGGGAAGCAAAGAATTTCGGGATCTTTGAAAAGGTCCTGAGGATATGTCGCAGAAAGGTGCAAAAAAATGGTGAAAATATCGGATCGGTATGCTACTGGATTTTGGAAAAGGGAAAATGTAGGTTGGAGAGTAATCCTGTTTGACTGTAAGCTTCAACCCCTGCAGAACCAGGAAATGCATGGTAGATCCATCATTTCACTGCTTTGCAGTGTATATAAGAAAACCACTTGTAAATGGATGCTTACTTGAAATTGAGGCAAAGAATCTGGCTTTGCTTTCCAGAGCCAAGTCATATCAAAAAAAAATGAGCCATTTCTGCACCTAAATGATCTCAAATATATCTCAAATGTACCTCAAATGTCAAATGGACCTCAAATGTACCCCATCAAATTTCAAAGTGAATAAGGACCTTAGATGTAGGATGGTTACATGGATTTATCTTGATTATCTTGATTTTATCATCTACTTTGAGCTGTTTCTGCAAGGAAATATGGACCTTTGGTGTAGGTTGATTACAAACATCTGCAAACTTTTTGGAGACTGTTTTCGGACAATTCGTCAGACATTTTACAATTGTTACCTCCCTCCCCCCCCCTTCCATAATGTCCGAAGGGGGTAGGTTCGGGGGGGTTCGGGGGGGGTACGGGGTGACCGGTCTCTTACGTGCTTTTATTTTTCATCCCCCCCCCTCTCTAAATGTAAAAACTTTAGGCTTCGGCTTCTGACGTTGGGGGGGTCCACGCTTGCAATTAGCATGACCCCAGCGGTCAAATTCCGAGGGGGCAAAATTGCAATCTACATTTTTGGAACGCCCCCCTGCTTGCAATTAGCCTAAAGGGGTGGTGATCATATATATTCTGAACAGTTTCTTTGTCTCAAAATTGGGTGGTACCCTGTAATGGCCGCTACAATGGCGCATCTCCCATTTTGATACCAACCCACATACCAACACCTACAGAGAATCGCCTTGGATGGCCACCCCTGTACGTGGAACGATCCTCCAAGAGCAACATATAGTGGGTCGATGTGGGTCGGAGAAAGCGACTGGGACGGGGCAGGGTCTGGATGGTTTTGAAGCCCATCAATCTTTTATCAAAATTTGTCCGAAGCTTTAGCTCAGTTGGGGACGGCAGGTTTGAATCTCACCAAAGAAAAGTAAAGTAGAGGGCACCCCTGGGCAAATCCATGATTTCAATTATCAAGTTTGGAATTGAATCGTGATGCAATCCCCTATATGCTGACAATCCCTTCATGTTCGGGGGGATCTTGTGAGAGGGAAGTTGAAAAGTCAAAAAATATACTTTTTAACTTTTTGAATTATTGCCGGATGCCTTTCCAGCCGAACATGCGCAGCTCTTTTTTCCAGCTTAGGGACCTAGGCCCCCAAATTCCCTAAACCACCGGTTTGTAGGTAACACCAAAAGAAACCCTACCTGGCACATCCTGGCAACACCATTGCTAGCCTAATTATTTAAATATTAGCACGTCTGTTTAAAAGTCTGCCCCAAATCACGTTTTATTTCGTTGCAACAAACGCCAGGTGGCATCCATTTATTATTGGCCCCTAAAAAGCACAACAGTCGCACCTGGAAGAAATTCCAGGCACGTTTCCAGCTACGCATCCGGAAGAGGAGACCTGTGCTTTTGGCCAATCGGGCACGGCTAAGAGGCTAGGGCACGACTCAAACAGGAACAGAGGAGACCGTGGGGGAACGTGGGGATGTTGCATTCTTTTGCATTAACTGCATTACCCAGCTCTCCATCACGATCTCCTGCATTACCCAGATGGGAGAAATGGTTTTGGTCCTTTTCTCGGCTTTCTATCCCTTTCTATCCTTTTCTATTTGTATAGACGCAGAGATGGAGTATGAATGCGTATGAATGTAAGGCATCTTTGGTGGTGCAGGGTCTGGTTGATCAATAGGATTCCTTAGTTGTCGTGACCTTACCCGTTTTTCTCTTGGATGAGTAGCATCGCAGTGCGAACACATCTTTGGGATGGAACGCCAAATTGGTGTCCGATCAGTTGGTGGAAATGTGAAGAAGGACACTGGATCACATATAGATAATTACAGACATAATTCATTCTTTTTCGCCAAATGTCGTTTTGTGAATCTCATAGACCCTGGCCCCTGGTTCTTGAATGGGAAGCACCATGAAGCACCTACAAAATTGATGATTGCCTTGCCCAAAGTGGTCTCCAAGACACCTGTGGACTCAGCTCTTGCGCTGGGCTGCTGCAGCCATTCATTCAAGCGAAGCAAATGAAAACACAACACGGCAGCCGCCAGTTCTGCTTGCTGCCCCACCTGGCGAGACGAGTTCATTGATATAAAAAAGAACTGTTGGGGTCAAGGTCGTGAGTATATTCATTGAATTTATTTGATACAAATATATACAAAATTATACAAATATATGATATATGCATCCTGTATCCTCCAAAAGTCTACCATATTTCTTGTTTCATGTGTGCCTGGCTCAAAAGTTATATGGGCACACCTGTTTCATTGAGCATTGAGACAAGGAGTGATTCAGCCTGAGACAATTGATGTGGAGATGGGATTGCGAGAACATGCAGGGTACTGGGCAAAATCAGAAACTTTGTCACTGGTACCTGGGCCTGGGAAGAGAGGCGTGGCTGGGTTGAGCAGTGACTGGCAAACATGTTTTATTTCTTAAAACGGAAAGCACACCTTCTTGAAAGGAGCCCTTCACTTGTTCAAGGAGAAACTTAATCATTGCAAAACATCGTTTCCTTAAAGGACTGTTGTGCTTTCTAAAATGAGCCTGCTTAGAATGAAAGATCCTTGTTCAAAAGGACATGGTTGTCTCAACACATACTGCATCTTTCACATTAAACCTTTTGTTTTGACTTGAAACCTCTTTTTTTCACGGAATGCTACATAATTGAGTAGTATGCTATCTTAGGCAATGCTGCACCCTTGAAAAGACATCCGGTTTCCTTAAATGGAATGTAGTGCTTGAAACGTAAACATATCATATACTCCAATATGTTGAACGTTTTAGTGCATGCTTCGAATGATGAGTCTTCGGTTTAAAGAATGCCCCCACAAGCACTGCATCTTTCAAATGAACAACTGTTCCTTTAATCAAACACTGGGCTTCTTTCAAGTACTACATGTTTGAAAAACACATTAATTTCCTCAAGGTGTTTGTTTGAAGAAAAAGCCTGCATGTCTTTTCAAGGACATGCTGCATCTTTTACATGATTTTCTCCATCGCCTTCTCGCATCAACATGGATACCACAATTTCCCCAAAAAAAGGATACAGCATACTGTAGCATACTCAACATGAAACATGTTGGAACATGTTTATTTGAAAACCAGTTCCTGGACATGTTCTCAATGACATGTGTTTCTTGAAGGAAAACTACTTGTTCTTGATCAAATGCATGCTACATGTTTGAAAGGAACTCTCCTTTTCTTCAAGAAATCCTCATCCTTTAAATAAAGAGTGTCTGTTAAAAACTAATTTGGTTCGGAGTCTTCAAACGGTCCGCAAACTGTTTTTCCCGTTCAGTTTTGGCTTTTGTTTTTTTTCCCCTTCTCTGGGGGGAAATAGTCTCATGACTCATGACTATTTGGGATGGGTATGTTTGTGTAGGCCTAGGTTTTCAAATTGTTGGTGAGTTTTGTTGTTTTGTATGATCTTTTTTCGTTGGGATATTGTCCCATGACTCATAGAGATACGTCTCAACGTATCTCAATCAGACTATGCGTACCATGAAGGGGGGGTGCAGCATATGCGTGTAATTGTATACACTGTATACATAGATATTGATACATGGATATGCGTCGAGCCATTCAAGGGCACTAGTACATACCTTTTTGGACCCTTGATAGTGCACTGCATGGCATTCCTATGCGTTTCTAGCATTCAACTATCCCTTTTGCGGTTGATAATCTTGACTCATACCTTTGCGATGCTTCAGGGGTTCTTGTCTCCAATTTTGCCAGTAGAAGTGGCACGTTTCTGTTGGCAGCGGGATCTTTTCACAGTGAACATCCTCAAACGGTATGACAATTTATTGATTTGACAGTTTCCTAGCTGAAGTGGCAAATTTTTATTGTCCAATGTCCAACGGAATGATTTCAGTCCATTTTTATTGTAGCAGCTGTAGCACAATTCAAAGTCTTGGTGTTGCACCCGAACTTTGACTCATCTCTGTCGGGAAAGTGAGTCGCTTAATGATCTGGATGTATGTGGATCACAAAAAATACTTTCTTCGAGTGACCCCCCACCCACTGACCTTCTATCTGCCCATTGTGTCACGGCGAGCTGGCAGAGGAGTAGACGAGGAGAAAAAGGAAGAAGGACAGATTGAGTTGCAGTTTTGTTAAAATCTAGAGGCCCTCACCTGGCAGGTGGGCAGATATCAAAAAATCCCAGACCAAATGTAAGGCCACAGTTGATGTTCTTCAAATCTATTCATCCATGGTGCTGTGAGGCTTGATGGTGGGTGCTCCATATCTAAACACACGAGGTGACAGCTGATCCGATCGGCACCTTCTGGGCAGGGTCAGCAGGAATCCAGTTCAAGAGATCTTTTTGCAGAAGACCCAAACAATGCTTGCCACACCTGCAGACAGCCCCCATCGCTCATCGGAAATTGAAGGTGCCGGTGTCATCAGCTGCTTTCTGTGGCAAAACTGCTGAAGAAAGCTGATGGCTGGTTTTCACATCCCAAAAAACAACATAAAGCAACCACATGATCAGGATATTGATGTAGAATCATTCAAGATGCTTGCGTGCCCACATTCGGGAATATTCAATTTTGGCATACCCCTGCAGAGCTATGTGCATCGCTTTGTATTGCTGTTGGATGCTGACGATTAAATGCCTCAATCCCTATTGTTGATAGGAAACAACAGTTTTTTGACGTTTTTGCACTTTCTATTGTTTGGAATCCGAACTCTTGCCAGTGAACCCCTATGTTTCTTCAATCCAACATTTTTGCGTGGCTCAGATCCCTCCTTTTTAGTGGAGGTCAAAACCAACGTTTGTGCAGGTGCACTAGGTCAATTTCACCTTTTTTTCATGTAACATGTCTTAACGTTGGGTTTCACCCCCCATTCTTTGAGAATGAAGCATTTGGCACCTCTGAGGAAATCTTTCGCCCGGCCTGCATCGAAGGAACAAAACTGGGGACCAAATCTAAAATCACCCATATTTTCCGTTGAGAAACTGTTGTTATTACATTGTTAACTATTTGTTCATATTTTTGAGGGGTGAAGCCCATTGGTCAAAGGCTTAAAGACGTGTATCATCAGCCAATCACCATCAAAGGAACACAAGCGCAAAGGATGTGCAAAGGTTCCGCAGCGGGTTATGTCCACTTTGAGTCTGACACGGTGCTGTCATTTGCTGGATTGAACACTGACGGTGTTTACTCAAACATATCCACGCCAGTGTCCAGTTGGGGATTTTGAAATTCCCCCCGACAAACCTTCGGTTGCGATCACCTTTGGCCAAAGTCCTCGAAACCGTCGTAAAGAAATCTCATCTTAGATGCAAGTAAAAGTCAAAAACAACTGGATAATTAAATCCTGAAAGGAGCCCGTTCATCCGTCGCTCACAACGGGTCGTGCATTTTGACCCGCGCCCATCTTTGAAAGAATATCGATAAACATCCCTATTCCTGTTGGCGAATTTCCCCCTCTGTCATCCCTTTTCCACCCTTTTCCATGGTTTTAGTATGTTTAAGTCAGAGTTGAAGTCACATGGGTATGGATCAATACCTATTAATACCATTTTTAGTGGAATGAACATCCATTTACCAGCTATTTTGATGAATCACAGAGCTGCAACAAATGTTCCCCACCTGGTGTGCGCCGATTTGATCATCCGCAGCTTCAACGCCAAGGGCGCCGAACTTCGCTCGGAGCGAAGTTCGGCACTTGGCCCGCGGCGCGCGTAGAGACAGTGGCCCGACTCGCAGGGCACCATCCACAGCTCCAAGGCGTTGTCCACCAGCCGCAACATTGGCGGGTTCATCCACCGGATTTCAGTGGAGAGTCTTGGATGATGTTGGATGATGCAAAAAGCTGCCAAAAATGGCCGAGAAAAAGTGGAGATGTAAAGGTTTTATGCTTTTATGGGTGGTTAGACGGCACCTACTCACAAACGGGACCCCAGCAAACTGAACTCGAATCGGCACCCCCACTAGTGGGCAGTCAGCTGGATGGGGCGAATCGTTGCAGAAAACCCGCATATGGATTTGGCAATTTGTTTTTGCAGGCATTTCTGAGCCAATAGAAACATGTACAGTCAAAATATCATGACTATACTATCAGCCAAGAAATGTTGGACATTTATGGAACAGGGGTTGGTGAACTGTAAGATCATGCTGGCTAGTGGTGTCATGTCTGTCTCTGGTGAAAGCGTTTTGAAACGTCGTGGCGGGCGGTTAATTTCCAGAAATGTGGATCTATGAAGATCCTATCAAAAATTCATCAGGCCGACTAAAACAGCAGTCCCTTTACTGGGACATCTTCAGAAACCGTTCGCCAAGGCTAGGTGGTTCAATGGTGTAAACTTTATAGCATTGGTGTGTTACAATTGGAACCGGACTGATTTCGACCTCATGAAAAGAAGCAAAAAGAAACACGTTTTATCATGCTTTCATGCTAAAGCTGCCAGGCCTCCGGCTCAAACAGTAATTGTATGTAATTGTCTACACATCCAGAAGAATCCCTCAGCGTACAACATGGCCATGAATTTCCCTGCAGCACGCGCCGCCTGAGGTGCACAACGACCACGTCCGTCACCTCGGCCGTTGAGGTGGACAGCTGGATGTAATTCAGCATGGTCCATGGTTTTCTATGGTTTTCTGGGTTTACCATGGTTTACCCTCAGGGTCCGGTAATGAAACTTGGCAATGGAACATCTTCCTTTCATACCATGGATTTCCCCATGAAAACGGGGGATTTCATGGGATTTCCCAGCCATGATGACCGGAGGGTACCACAACTGGATCTGATGGCGCCTCGGCACGATTCCATGCCACAGGCGCCATATGGCGCCATGATCGCGTCGTCCCAGCAACTTGGCTGGTCCCAGCTGGTGCGATTGCACAAGATAGAACATGATTTACAATGATTGATTACAGCATCACTTCAACAAGATGAAAATTATATATATTAAATGAATTTAATTGATGTTTATATATTGATTTTTCAATCAGACTGGACATGTATGGACATCTCTCCCTTGCTCTCTCTCTCTCTCTCTATCTCTGGAAATCTATGAGTGCCTGTTTTTTGTTGCTTCGCATACTATTCATTGCCGGCGATAAACTGCACTGCTCCCGCATGAACTGAATGGACTAGGTCGAACAGCTGCATCATTGCAATCTGGCGAAACGCAACACTGCACCAGCCAACACCTAGCGAGGGGATACGAGGGATTTGCTTGCAATATATCCGATGGCACCAGCTAGTGTATCTGTTCAAATATCAAATCAAAGGTTCCTAGGGAAAAAACCTTTTGCAACTATATAGATCAATAGAACACTTTTAATCCGTTAGACAACAATCCTAGGAACAACGAGAACAACGAGAACAATCCAAGGTGACTGTCAAAGACATACCCCTGATGAAATTGAGCCAGCTACACGTTTTGAGCTAGCTCGAAAAAATGGAAGATTGTGGATTCCACCATTCTAAATGATATCAATTAAATGTGTGTTTGTTCTTTCTGCCATGCATATACTGCAATAGTGCGGTGTTCACCGTTCCACGGGCCAGATTTTGATCCATGTCTCAAATGGCGTGTCTTGGAAGAATTCCACGGATGCAAGAGATTCAGACGTCACAATGAATGTTGGCACCTAAAAAGGGGTTGATATATTGGGTCGATACTAGGTCGGAGGGAGCCTGTTCTAACCCAGTCCGAAACCATCAGCCACTGGATTGAATGGCGGACTTCCCTTCAAAAGATCGCTGAAGAAACAAATGTTACCTGCCAGATCCTAAATTTCCTTAAAATTCAAAAAATCGCTTATCAAAAATATCACCTGCCAGATTTGTCCCGAGAACACTTTTTAGAGCAAGAACAATGAAAGAACCATCTTCACCTGACATGTGAGAACGGTTCTTGGCATAAGAACGATCCTTGGGGAAATAACATTTCTTGGAGAAAAAATGAATCTCAGATAGCATCAGAAAACAGTTCTTAACCGCGATTTTGTGGATTTGGAAGGGATGCCTGTGAATCATTCTTTTCAGCCGTTGGTGCCAGGTTCGCACCGCACCTTCAAGTTGCAAATGTGTAAAGCCTCACATAGTAGCAGCTGTGCTACAATACCAGCCTTCACCTTCCCCCTTTTTTTCTGGCAACCATTTTTTCTCCGAATCTGGACTGAGAACATTTGAGAACAACAGAGCAAATTTCCAGAAAAAACGAGCCTTCAAAAAAACATAGATAATGAACGGTAAATTAGAGAAAGAACGGTTCCTAGCATGAGAACGATTCTTGGCCCAAGAACGAATTTGAGCCTGAGAGCGACTCTTAGGCTAGTGGTCGGAACATGCGTCATGGGTCTCATCAATGAGACTAATGTTAGCCCATCAAAGATGCCACAATTCCACATGCAAGCCTGTAAGATGATCAGACTCTTCACTAGGCCCGTTTTCACTAGTTTCCGATTTTCCAAGCTAAAGATGCTAAAGAACGATTAACCTTATGAGATATTATGAGTACGAAATAGTGTAGTAAGTACAATCAGATAGATAGATAGATGGATAGATGGATAGATGGATAGATGGATAGATGGATAGATAGATAGACAGATAGACAGATAGACAGATAGACAGATAGACAGATAGACAAATAGATAGTTAGATAGTTAGATAGTTTAGTTTAGTTTAGTTTAGTTTAGATTAGATTAGATCAGATAGATGGACAGACAGATAGATTAGATAGATAGATTAGATAGATAGATGTCCGTTAATATATTACATCCTTCGATATATTAACAGTAACACATATCATTTACTTTCAATTAAAGAAACAACCTATTTTCTAAACGCTATATAAAACAAAGTATCAAACCATACAAAACTATTGAATCCAAATAGTCTCCAGAATCGTCATACTTATTACAACAAACGGTCTATTTTTCAAACATGTCTTATATAGATTTCATTCATAATCACATAGTATCTACCGATATATATATATATATATCATGTAGAGTTACTAAACATACACACATTAGTGTAATATCCGTTAATTCTAAACATGAAATGTATTAACCCCATTAATAATTTCAAATCAATTAAAATAAATATGTAAGCTTGATTCCATCATCAATAATAGCATATAACAGCCTAGAAATAATAAATATTATAATACGACTGCTAATAATAGTAATATATATAACGATAGTTTCTCATATCCATTCATATCTTATCGTATCTATATTTTACTTTAGCAGCATATGCAGCATATGATAAAACACTAACATCTGACCACCCAAAGAGAAAGCTAAAGCCGAACTTTGGCAACACATATGCAATACATGAAGACAACCACACACATATGTATACACACGCGCGCACACACACATGTATATATATATATAATACATGTATGTATGTATGTATGGATGGATGGATGGATGGATGGATGGAGGATGGATGGATGGATGGATGGATGGATGGATGGATGGATGGATGGATGATGATGATGGACGATATACATGTGTATTAATTTTTCTGCCGTAGTTTTGGCATTATTGTTGTATGAAGTCTTTTTGCCGAAATGAAACAGCAAAAGCAATTCAAAACAAGCAAATTGCTGCCCAAAAAGTGGTCGTTGGATTGCTTTGCGTTGTTCCAGGTTTGCCAACGGTGGTTTCCCGATTCAGACTGAGACTCAGACTACGGCGTTTTCATGATAAATAACAAAATGCACGAAAACCCGTCATCTCTGTGTTGCGTCACATAACGCGGGGCCCAAGTCATACCAGAATAGCCCTTCTACAGCATCGCTGAAAATCGACGTGGAAAGGAAGAGGTAAAGGCAGAGATTGACTTGCAGCATCATTGAATTGATTTATGGTAGGTTTGCATGCACTTTTCCCTTGGTAGACATGGACTGACTGAAAAAACAACACGGGGCTTAAAACGCTTTTTCATGCGCACGTGGACAAAACGCCAAGCTGATTTTGTATGACAGCACCGCGAGATAGCATCTAAGACTAAGAGATGCAGCAAAATAATGAGAATAATGTATGTTTGAATGTTGAACGATGACAAAAGACATTCGAGACAACCATAGGAAAACAACATCCAGGGAATATGGTCAAAAAGATTCAAAAAGCGGAACTCAGCCAGAAAACATGCCTGGAGACACATGACATACAATTGTCATGAATTGTCATGGTGCCCAGGGATGTGCGGAGCATGTGTCATCCCACACTACCAAATCATACTTCATGTCCACTACGACACACTACGACTTCAAAATGACTTCAATTAATTTTTGCCTTGCTTTAATTTGATTCGGATTGAAATAATGGAAAAATATTAATTAAATCCAGTTTCCTTGGCTTCCAAAGAGTGCTGGCAAATGAGGGAACACGCTTGAACATATGGCTGTCTGCTGCAGTTTCCTGAGGATAGTTTTAGCACTTCATAAGCAAATCATTGTGCAGGCATGGGGCGTCGCGTCAGCTACTACTTGTACTGCACCACCAAAATCCTGACCTCAAGGAACTTCTAAAAAATGCTTGACTTCTGTGAGACCAATCTCTGAACTTAGCAGTTTCTGACACTGCAAACCTGGCCTTCTGTGGAATCTGTGTAGGTGATGTAGCATTTCATGCCGGCTGCCTCAAATGTGCTGCCCATCACGTCCCATCAGCCCACTTCCACAAATCGCACAGCACTCCCCTTGAGGCTGGAGCCAAAGCCGCCTCCAGGCCGATCCTTACTGCGTTGTAAATCTTATGATAAGTCAATGAAAAGAGGGCCACTACATATAGCACACCGCCCACTGTCATCCAAAATAGCCAAGTAACTTTGAATCTTCAACAACTGCACAGTTTGAAAGGGCCACTCCCAAGCCTCAAAATGCAACTTCCGGGCAATTGATATGTAGGAAGAAAAACAAGAAGAAAAGTCCAGAAGAGTAAACACGGTTTTTAAATCTCGCTCTCAAAGGTGGTTGGCCTCTCAGGCGGCCAAACCACAATTAGATATGGAACCTCTTGTTCTTCATTATCCGTGGGTGTTCTCTGCTGAGTCTGCAGCGTTCAGATGCTAATCTGTAGATCAAAGGGTCAGGTTTCTTCCTGTTCAGCCAGGATCATGACACACCTTTCCGCAGAGAACCGTCTGTAAAAACATTTATGAACTCGTCTGAGCGCGCGGGAGCGCAATGAAAATGGACGACCAAGCCGAAGAAACATGTCAGTCACACCAAGCTTGTTCGATTCTGCAGTCCTACTCACGTCATCGCCCAAGAGGATCAAATCGAAACGGTCCAAACGCTCCTCCTGAACTCTGACCCAAAGTGAGCTCAATCACGGTACAGCTGTTATAAGCTGTCATCTAATCCGAGTCATCTCAGTCACTCCAAGGGCAAGGAGAACAATAGCGGTCCCCCAGGATGGCCATCAATACTTGCTGGGCAGCTTCACGGGTCCCAGCCTTGGTGAGTGAAGGACAACATTGAGTCATGATTTCAGCTGCTGTCATGCATTGCAAAAATTTTCTTTGAACTGCTGCTATTCTTCTATACTGTCATGTTTTGCCTATGAAGAGGAATGGCAAGCTTTGATGGTCTTTGATGTTGGTTGGGAAATATGTGTTGCCAAAGGTTGATCTGCCTATCATATCATCCAGAATTGTGTCCGTTGTCATTCCTGATGTTGTCGAGGCTGCTGCGGAGCAGATTGCTGTCCTTGGCTGAGTGAATGGAATCCATGAATGAATGCAAGTGGCTTCTGGTGTCTGGATTAGCAGAACGGAGTACAAGTGAACTTCAGTACTGGAGCAGCACACTGCCATCTGCTACAAGAGCCAGCGGTCATACATCCACGGCTGAGATATTCTACAGACTGATGGCTTTTTCTTTCCAACATATGTACTCTGACAAAGGCTGTGCAGCAATCGAAAGCGAATCGTAGGCAAAGGCTCTTCAAATCTGGACGATCCAAGCTGGTGTCAATCAGTTCCACAATGCCCGGGCGAGCTGATGAGCGGCCATCCCTAAGGTCAGCAACACTTGTGAAACTACAGCGCTCTATTTCTGGTGCCGACGTTGCTGGGGCAAGGGCGCAACGTACTTCCGGTAGATTTCAGTCTTTCGATCCTGCAATATCTATACAGTCTAAACAGTCTAAACAGTTTGATGCTTTTCGATGCCTTACGTCAGCAAATGCGTCAAATCTTTGGATGTCTTCGATCCTGAAGTGCGTCGATCAGCTTATCTTGATCTGCTTCTTCTTTGGGAGCAGGGCCAAGACTCGATGCGGGCCATCCATGAATACCTCAGCAAAATGCACGGCGAAACTCTTTCTGCCAGCACTTTGGATACCTGTCTTGGGCAGCGAGTTGCGAGCCAATTATTGTCAGCTGGTACATTGATGTACCCATGAGGAAGATGACCGCAAAGACTGGCGGCAAGGCTACACAGAGAGCGTCCGAGGCCAATGCCAAAGTGATATCTCATCTTTGGTTTGCCTTGGCAAAATTTGGCAAATGTATCAGTTTGATTCATTTTGCCAATTGATGTTGGGCGATGTCTTACTTGTATGCTTACGCATCTTACGCCTATGACACATCTATGCTTCTCATGCCATCTCATGCCTACATACTTGAACATGTCATGTACATTGTTTTCATCCTCAAGTTTTGCAAACCACTAGCAACTAGTAGCATGAACTAGCATGAACTAGCATTCTTGAATCTTCTTGATGTCTTTCCTTCGAGCTTCAACATCTTCAACCAAGGTACCTCCTCCAATCTTGTTTTGTAGCTCATCCTCAGGGAGCGTCTGGAGATCATCGTAACACAGCTCCACCAAATCCTTCCTCACAAGCTAAAAACGAGTAAGCACACGACGTAGTACCTCGGAAACAAATCAGCAAATGACTTAAGTTTCATGAAGAAAAACGGCAAGCAGCACGCGCAAAATCAGACGCCCCATGCATATTATATATTATATACTTGCAACCCTATCAACTCTCTACAACATTGATGTCGCAAACATAATGCTGACATATTCTGGCAATTTCTGGCACATGATAGCCTCCAACAAGTTGGTATGCAAGCATAGGTCATTGCATTACATACACTTACGAATCCTCGTAGCAAACCTAAAGGAGCTTCAAATTACCTTTCTTGGAAGCACATGAAAGAAAAAACGTGCCCCTCGATCTATGTGTCCTAACATTTCCTGAGTGGCTGGCTCTTTGGACCAGCTTGTGTCCAAGCCAAATTCCGCAAAAACCTCATTGTAGGCCTCCCTGTGCAAGTGCTCCTTAGTTGCCAAAGGGGATTGCATTGCAAATAAATATCAAACTCTGGACATCGGGCAATCAGGGTAGCAGCCACTAATCTTGCAATTCAGCGTCGGAATCTGCAATTACACCATCGCAGTCCAGGATCAAAGCTCGTGGCTCGAGGCTGCCTTCTCCTGCTTTGCTGAGTTTGGGAAGTCGCACCAAGACCACATTGTACAACGCGTTTGAGAAACATATCATGATATATCTCATGCCTGCACTCAATAACGCCTCCCATCCCGCTGTAGAAAACAGTTGAAATCTGTCGAAAGCAACTATAACCAGTAAATTCAGCCAAAGAACAGCTTGTGAATGGAACCAGTCCATGATTTGTTTTGAAACTCAGTCTTGTGTCCCAACTGGACCAGGTTTTGGCATATCTCTGCAAATCATGCGGGACGACTAAAATTCACGGCAGATCACCAGGGTGACACGACATTCTTGGTCCTGAAGCAAAACGTGCTGTCCGGAGCTGCCGCCTGCTGGGTTTTAGGCTAAGTTTGGAGGAGCCTAAGAATCAAGCCGTAAGCCGTACTAGAACGAACCCCCCGACACGAACACCCCCTGCTCTTCTTCCCTTTTCACCACCTACTACCTGGACTACACAAGGTCTTGAGTGGTGTGACTGTGGGTCGAACTGGCAGGGCGCCAAGTGCCCCACAGCGTGAAACATTCGAGATACTATCAGGAGGCCCATCAATATACCCGACGCTGAAGGAAAGAAGCCACGCGGTTGCTCTCCACCTGAACCTCAGATTAGCGATGTCAACCACAGCAATGTGCCATCATGCAAGGATTTGCTGCCGAGCCAAGGAACCAAAGCCTCGCCCTCCAACACTGCCAAAGCCTCTTTCAAACCTGCAGCATGGCCAATGGCTGGATCGCAATTGTGTGGCAAGGGGGCCCCCAGGGCAAGGGAGTCAATAAATGGCAAAATATGTCAAAATGAATGAATGTCACAGACTGTAATCACAGAAGACACCGAAAAAAAAAGAACAGAACACCCACACCTCAAATGCATTTTAATGACCTTAATGTGTATATAAATAAATAAATATATATATATGTATGTATGTATGTATATAGATATATAACTTGTGTTTGAAGCTTTTGAAACTTCGGCTGCTGCCTGCAATCTCTTGATCTCTTCTGCGCATGATCTCCTCCCGCGAGGTTCGCTTGTCACAGCGCTCTTTGACCTGCTGGTAGTACCTGAGGCATTCAACACAGCACAGCCCCTGCCGCTGCAAAAGGATCCTTGGCCCCAAGATATTCCAAGGGTCCAATTTCTTCCAAGGGGCTCTTGCAAGGGCTGAAGCTCATTCTTGGCTGTTTCCAGTTCTTCCGTCAGCCTGCGCACCTGGACTGCGGCTGTTGTCACATATTCATACAGTTTCGATTTCATGAAAGCATGAATCAACCATGCTGGGCTTAATATGCATCTCCAGCTGAGCCCCAAAAAATCCCATAGGACAGTAGCTGCGCTACGACCACGAGTTGGAGGTGAGGCAAGCCTCGGCATCGGCGGATTTCTTGTCTTTCGTTTTGCGCTCCACCTCAAGCTCCTTCCATGGAGTTGAAGGCTAAGAAGCCACAAGCATGCGCAAGGATGATCAAGGATCAGGATATTCGACATAGCTTGCCATGGACATGGCGATCCCATATGATTCCACACACATGTAGATGGAGACATGCGTAGCTCAATTTCACACAATCTCCTTCACACATGATACAAGTGGCACTCAGGTTGCACGTCCTTCTGGTTCGTTAAAATTTGGTTCCTGAGGAAATGGCGCGGCTGTTGGCCCATGATCTTTCAAAGGCTCTTGCGATCGTGATGCTTTGTTGATGTCTGTTTCTGCCCTTTTATCGAGTAGCTTGTGGCCCAGTGCTGAAGCCAAGAATCTGTTTCATCAGCTCCTTTTGCTGCATCTGCTGATCGCTGGATTGGGTTTCCAGCTGTGCAAGATTATCCGCAAAACGTGACTCGCACACCCTCAGCAAGTGGATCTACCCAGCAGTCACAAACAAATCTGCAAACCTCTGCAAACTTGAAAGCATTCATTTTGTACCGCCCCAACATGTAAGATCTGCAAGGGCAAAAATTTGCCATCCCAATTACATCCAATTATCATCTTAGATTTACATCAGCCAGCAGGCATACACTTGCGAACAAGTATATCATGTTCTGACCATCAAGTGACATCATGTGACAACCATCCACACTGCCAGCTGCCACAGGATACGCACCGCAGCCAAGCTTCTGCAGCAATTGAATGATACCAGCGCCAGCACCCGTGCTCGCCACATGTTGCGATGGTGCGACTGGGGCTGCTGGGGTAGCAACCTGACACAAACACAGTGTGCCTATAGGGGTAAGAGAAATGCGGTTCAGGCTGTTTGAGGCAACCCTTCCCACCTCCTGCAAAGCAGCCACTGCTTCTGCAGCTCTTGTAGCCAAAGAGTTCTGCGCTTCATCCTGTGTCAAAAAAACAACTTCGTGATTGGTGATGAATGCCAAGGCTTGGTTGGAACACAATCTGGAAGGTACCCAAAGTGTAGTTTTCGTCAATGGTCATTGAAAACAAAGCCAGGTGAATCGAAGCTAGGTGACCATTGTGACGCCAAAGAATTGCAACTGCCACAGTCCTCCTTTGGGCCATCGGATGAGGCCTGGTCCTGAGCCATGCGGAATGGCAGCCTACAGCCTTGACTCGGAACAGCCAAGATCAGCCAAGCCTGGCCAAGCCTTCCCCAACACAGTGAGTGTGCATACACATACATATACTCACGAAATATTGAATGATTATTGAATGATATGCCATATAATGTGTACATGTATGTATTAATATGTGTACACACACACATATATATATACACACACTCTCTCTCTCCATATGTATACACACACTATATATTATATACATATATAATATCATATAATGAATACATGCATATAACCACGGCACACACAAACACACGGAGAATGTATAAGCGCGTATATATATATATACACACCCATATACACGCATATGTACATTAATTAACTATTTATATACATAATCAATATATATTAATTACATGATTATATATAAATTATATACATATACATACGTATAATATATATATATACATATATATATTATATGCACCGGTATTATACAGATGCATAAGGTGCATCGATTCGCACTCATCGCCGAACATTGCCAAACCACATCGCCCGCTTGGCAGCCGGATGTGCCTTGCCTCTGACACGTCCATGTCCATGGATGCGGCCATGATGGCAACTTCCTGGCATTGCGTTGCACTTGCAACGACAGGGATCTAAGTCATACAGAAGCAGAATGCAGAACAGTTCTAAGGTGATATGTACATGGTCATACCATGTCAAACCACGTCATGTCCTCAATTCTGCAATTCCCTATGCTGCTGACAGCTCAAGTATATGCTCGAGTTAACTTCTTCGATGCACGCCTTGGAGCTTGCTTCTTCCTCTACCTGCGACTTTGTGCACGGGACCATGCAGCTCACTTGCGGATAAGAATCTGTGCTTTGTGGCTTTGTAGTATCAATACGTGGCCAAGACTTTAACATCTTTAATCTACGTGATTCCAGTCTCAGCTCCGAAAAAGGGGCCACTTACTTGGAGGCTGAACTCTGGATTCATGAGCTGGTGGTGTCGCAGCACGAACAGTATCATTACAGTATAATTATAGAGAAAGGTCAGGCAAAACCAGAAATGACTCTTACGGCGAACTACAGTAATTCATGCTTCCACACCTCATTTGGAAAATGTTTGCTTACACTTTTCAACAAAATTCAACAAAGACACACATGCACAGAGACCGTACATTGGATGCCACACCTGCCTGTGCAAAAGCAGCACTATTGTCGGAGCTCTTCTGGATCAGCGCCGGCTGCCCCGCGCCGTAGTAGGTTTGCAGCTTCTCCAAAGCAGCTTGGATGCCTTCTAAGCCTTTTTGCAGGTCCAACTTGGATTTTTCATAGTCCTGCTTCATCTCATCAAGTGCACCTGAGCTCTGTATGGCTCAGTCATGTTGTGAGTGCATCCAATTTGATTCCTTTGGAGCTGACATGTTCCTTCATAAACAAGCATTGGCCCTGCTTCACCAGATGTTGCCACGTTCGAGCCGTGCCGGAAGCCCATCTATATAATTGGATGCAAGCTGCTGGTCATTTGTGCTTGTTCCTTGGCCAAGGCTTCTAGCTCCTGTCGGCAATGTGCTCAGAGTGTCATCCTTCAACCTCCAGTGATGCATCTCTAGTCATGCCATGTCATGCTGCTCTCCACTCCTCCCGCTGTTTGTCGATTTCTGCGCCAAGCAGGGTTGAAGAAGAGCTGGAAATGTCAATTTCCTGATCTTTTTGCGTTGAACAGGGAAAAACTGGGGAAAAACATGAGGGAACATGTAACGTCCGCCAGGCAGTTATCCAAGCCACGCTCTGTGCAGTGTCTAAGGTGTTTTGCAGCGACTTGATACCTCAAACAAGCGCGACAAACACTTACTCCAACGGCTCCAACCAAATCTCGTTGAGTCAGTGAAAAACGGTCCAGGATTGCACCGCTCGCATACATCACATACCAAGACAACATCAATCGAAGTGATCCTAACTCCAATTTGGGAGCAAGCAATTTGCAATCTTGCGCCGAAGCTACGAGCTTCAGAGCGCGAGGTTTCAGTCTTGCAGTAGGCCTCCTCAGATGCTTCTCGTTGCATCCCATCCTTCAAAGCGTTTGCTACGATCATGATCAAATTGCAGAACACATCGAACACATAAAACACAACATATGTATGCGCTTTCCGTTCCACATGCAACATCTGTTTAATCCATTGAGGTCCATTGAGTGCCTTCCATACCTTCCATATCTTCCATATCTTCCATGATTTTCTCTTGTTTTCACCATAGTTTTCAGTGCTTCGTGCCTGCATCTTTAGGATCAGATCTTGCACCATCTTACGCACTGAGGCCAAAGGATCGCCCTGCGCCCTCAAAGCGGTTGAGATCTTTCCTGCCTCGGTGGCACTGATCCGTTACGCACAAGGCCTCTGAACAAATCCGGAGTGCCAGCGACGTTCTGATCTAAGCTGAGTCAACCACGAGTCACAATTATACGTTTACAGTTTACAGTCGGTCGTTTACATGTATACGTGTATGTGTATATACGTACATACAGTCTCTCTCTCTCTCTCTGTCTGTGTAATTATTCAGACTCAGCTGCCACACGAATCAATGATGAATAATCCCCTCTCTACGAGTAATTAACTCGCTGGATTCGACAGTATCAGCCCGGCTGCCAACTGCGCCAGCACTGGCGACTGTTGCTGCTTAGCCAAACGCCCCAGGAGCTTCACAACGACATGCCCTCGCTCTGGAGCCCCTTCATTTCTTGGTTCTGTGGGCTCCTGTAACAACGTCCCTATTCACTTGAGAGCGGTCAGTGTCCTGAGGAACCTTGCCACAGTGCAAGCTTACAACTCATACACATCTTTGATAATCTGTGGATGCGGACTTTGATCATCTTAGGTATTCACAGAAGCTAATTCAAAGATATTCGAAAGAAAAGCACAATCCACGTCAATCAAGGTCATCCCAAGATACACCAAACGCATTCTTGCCTCAACCAACGCGGGCGCCGTTTGCTGCGAGCTGGAAGCTGCTCGCCTTCAATTTTTTCCCCTTTGGTAGTTTTCTAGTGAAACCGACATTTTTAGATTATGTCATTTCTAGTGTGTGTGTGTGGGTGGGAGATACAGACTCTGGGCATACCTTGAACTCTTCTCTGACTAGGGCTGTGCTGCCAGGGCCTCGTTGCGCTTGATTTGCTAAGCTGGAGAAAGGACACGCCCTGACACCGTTGGGAGACGCTCCAACTTGGACACAACATGATTCGCAAATCTTCGCTATCCACTGCTGCACCTCAGCAGCACCCTGCAACACTTTGGCGGCTTCGGAGAGCACTTGTAGCTCTTTCCTGCGAAGCGCCATAGCTTCAGGCGCAACACGAAACAACTCCGTGGCCACAATCGCCCCAATGATCAAAAATAAATCAAGGAAAAAACAAAACTCTGCTGCCTTCTGCCAATTCCAGACGCTTCTTCATCAGCAGCTGCTTGCCTCGCATAGATCATGATAAATCATGCAAAATCAATGATGGATAATGGTGGATACAGCTCGTCTCACACAGCAACGACTCAAGGCCCTGAGCCACTCTATCCCGGGCCGCATTGGCCGGAGTAGAGGGTTGAGGATGCTACAGCAAAATTGCAATTTTAAAGAAACCAGGCCTAGCCAGGCTGATAAAACATTTGGTGTTTGGGTTTAGGGGTACCGTATTTTTGGACAAATCCACATTCGAATATGATGATTGGCAGGAATCTGCGCACTAGTTTCCTGTTGGTCAAATGCAACCTGGCTGCACGCATGCGTCTTGAGTTGTCCTCAGAGTAGTCTGAACTGTTTGGATACCATCTGCCGCACCACTCCTCGCTGCATGCTGTGTCGCTGATTTTCTTAATTGATTCTTCGTGCAAATCTGTTAGCGGCGTCTAATCTTTCGCGTTGAGAATTGAGAGTTTCAAATCCTATTGCACAAAGAAACAATGGATTGGTTTTGACTTATTTCATAGTTCAGCCATGTTTTGGACATGTCTCAAACATTATCAAACATGGTCCGGCTTCCAGCTCCTGTCGCCCTGCAGCTTGGCTTTCAGCACAGTAGCAGCTCGCTGTCGGTTTTTTTCTGCGCTTAAGCTGCGACCGTCTTCGTCCAGCTGACGTTTCAGGGAGGCCTCAGCTGGTTGGTGAACGACCTGGGCCCCTAGAGTTTCACGTGTTTTCCATGCAATTGGTTACTGGGTTGGTTGAAGGGGAAAACTGAGGACACCAGGGTTTTTACCATCAAAAGTCGTTTCCCATTAAACAGATCCCATCACATTCGTTTTTTCTTCAAATGCCCCTGCTTAACGACCACAGGATGTTGTACGTTTTAACAGCTTGGTGGCTGTGAGAAGCTCATGGGCACGCCCTTCTTCCTCCTGGCACAACGAAACGCTTGGCCATGTCACTCGGAGCTGCCTAAGATACCCCAAAATGATCTAAAATTCAAGTCTGACCGACCGTTTTGATGCCGTTTTTTTAATGGGGAAAATGGTGATTAAAAACCATGGGCCAATGGGGTTTTGACGGTTTGAGGTACACAATTTTGTCGGACATATCATATATCTCATATATCATATTCTATCATAATATATCCTGATATCATTTAATATAATCTATATTATATTCTAATATCAATATATATATATCCCACAAAGCAGTGGAAGGAGCCTCCTTCTGCCGTAGTTCGGCGAGATGCTTCTCAGCCTCTTTTGACATCTTCTGCAACAGATCAAGCAGGTCCTGGTTCTGCCTTGGATGCAATGATCATGTGGGTATGTACCAAAATTTGGGCACCCATGAGGCAAAAACATGCAAACACTAGATTGGTTGACTATTTTTTCTGCATTGGGGACATTACATAAGATAATCATAAAGAATATCCTTATTTTTTGGGTGATTTGGAGTGATAGTCTTGAAGAGAACCCGGACAGACGTGCTTCTGCAGCTGAATTGCATATCACCGTTGAGGCTTCCCTCCATGCCCTCATCCTCCAGACCGTCCTTCAAAGCGATCAACTTCAACAGCCAATATATAGATCAAAATTTCTAGCCTTAACTTCTCAATTAATTGCTTGATAGATTATTCAACTAGTTAATGAATCAACCGATACTTAATCAATTGATTGTGGACGCTCCAAAAACAAAAACAATTTGACCACAGCTCCACACATCCCACTTTCTCCAAAGGGCGATTCTTTCTGGTGGAATTCCCATGAATTCCCTTTACAAAAAAGTTGACAACCATCAGCTTCCACTCAGTGCATGGTTTCCACCATGTCTTCAGTCCTGTGCTTGCAGCAAGGCAGGCTTCTTTGCAGAACCGGAGTCCACAATGGCTGCCAATCCCAATAGCCTCGAAGCGCAAAACATCTGGAAACACCAAGTGACAGCCTGAAACTCACGCAATGGGCCAAGGATCCCCTCACAGAATTTCCGAGCCAAGATGCATATCGGTTGCATGGTTGGCCTGGGCAGGATGGAGCGTCCACAGCACGGAAATTTATATATATATAATTATAGGAATATATGCATACATAGTATTATATAGTATTATATAGTCATAGCCAGCGTGTGAAGAGCCCACACACCGGATCCCGCCTCATCAGATGACATCTGCCTAAGATGCCAACCGAAACTTTGGCATGATCTTTTGTATGATCTTTTGCTCCCAGCCGGCAATTCACCACTACACTTCTGATATTGCTCCCAAAAGGTATGAAAACAACACTGAAAGATTTAAGAAACGTAAGTGACGTCCTTTCTCCCGCCAACAAACTGACAAGCTCCTGTCTGAATGGGTCCACCGACTTCCACCGACCCTGACGTCCGAATGGCACCGATCCCAAAGCTTGGTATGCAAAATGCTTCAGCCAAGTTGCTGCAAAGCCAATTTCTTCTTGTCTGCGTCATTGCCTGACACTGCCTGACCATGGGCCATGAGAGATGCCGGATGGATACGGCATGGCCCGGCATGGCCCTGACCAACTCTCGTCAAACATTCTCAAACCCTTGATAGACACATATAGGCACTCTCGTTGCGTTCGTTGGTACAAGTCTATGATGTCTATGGTCACCTATCGTCGCATTCGTCGCCCATACTCAAGGCCAGGACCCATTGTGTCCGGGCACCATCAACCATCCCAGTGGATATGCCTCTGCAGCCTTGTCCAGGGTGCTGATGGTGTCCATCAGTGAAACTTCTGAGGCTTTGAATGCCTTATGGTCCTATCAGCTATCGCGTGGGAACAGGTATTTTCAATGCCAAAATAAGATAAAATAAGCCCCTGCAGGTACGCGCAAGCTCATCATCTATTGGCACTGGAGCCATACAGTATCTCCAATCACCCGCAAGCGAGTCCTCTGCTCTGACATCTTTGGCGCCCTGCAGCTTTGCGTCTGCCCGTGCGACCTGCTTCATGCAGACTCCCTGCGTTCGCATTCTATTATGCCATCACCATGGTCTCCTTGAAACATTTTTTTCCAGAAACCCAACGTACAATCCAACATTACAGCAAGGAGTAGCTGCGTGGACCATGCCCATCTGCCAGCACCAAGCATGCTCAAACCAAGGCCAACTTGTACACTTTTTTAAGCCCCCAACATAGCAGTTTTACATGTCTTTATTGACGTGGCCATCAGGCTAACGGCTCTGGGCATTCTAATCCCAATCTGCGACTTCCATTTATTACATCCATTGGTTTTTCCAATTTTCATCCTTTGGTGGTCACCTTAGATTCCCAAAGAATTTTTGAAGAACTGACCACCGTGGAAAAAATTATGCACCTGCGAGGCGAGTCTCTCCACGGCTGCAGCAGAAGCTGCAACAGCTGCTTCTGCCTCGTAGATGTCCTCAGTGACCGAGTGGGTCGCTGGGCCATCCATGAAAACCGGTGAAAAAATGCTGAATCTGTTTTTTTGTGGTCCACACATGGGAAATATCATCCGGAATACCGAGGTTAGAATTCAGGTGGGGAGGGAAATGACAAACCCTTGGAATTTGTTCATTTTTTGGTAAGGCAACTGCTGCGCTGAGTTGCTGCAGCTGCTTTGTCAGCACTTTTCTTCTGTGTCTCCACCTCCCTGAGCAGTTCAGCAGTCTGCGTTTCGCACCAGTCCTGGGAGCTGACGATCAGTCGCCTGTCGTGTTTTCCCTAGCAGTCTATTCATATTTTTTACCTCACACACGCACTTATATATACATATACATACAATATATACATACTGTACATATGCATACATATATACCTTCAAGAACTTCTGCGAATGCCCCCCACTTTGAGTGTCCTTGTACTTCTTGTAGGCCTCCTCTTGTTTCACGCCATCTGCTTCTACCTTTTCCTTTAGGCCCTTGATCAGCTCGATGGCCTTCAACAAGTTTGCAAGTTCTGGTAGCACAGGGAGAACAACAAAACCCCTGTGGACCCAAGGAAGTCAGGAGCCGAACTGAAATCAAAACATGGAACTTAACTGATTTGCACTTGCACTCTGATTAGCCCCTGCCCCACCTCAAAGAAGCAGTATTGCCGCGTTGCCTAATTATCCTAATTGAACCACCAATCACAATCACAACTCTTGCCGGTGCAGCGCTCGTCCGGGGCCTTGTTCAGGGGACTTCCGATCGCATTACCAAGCACCTCACTTACGGCATGCATGGATGAAGCACCCTCTCAGCATATACGTCCCTGATGAAGGTCAAGTCTCAAACCACATATAAATAAATATAAGCACAAAACAAAAGCATAATATATTTTTGATGGTCAGTATTTAATGAAACTCATAAGGATCATCCTCCTTCTTCTGCGCTTTCAACCAATTTTCGAAAGAGCCACCAGTTTGGCACCAAGTGACCTGGCACCCCAGGAGCGCCAGCAAGAGGCGCATCGCTACATTGACTGAGCCAGAAAGGCTGCGCCAGAAATAGCTTGCTTCGGCAACAGAAGGGCTGATTTATGAGCAGAATGATCAGAATGTTCTCTTGAAGATGTCACACCTGACGAACAGTGCCCACATGCGCGCAACCACTTTGCAGAGGGAGGGATGTCACAAAATCCATCAAAATGAAGTCAAACGCCACAGCTATCCATAGCTCACAATGCTCACCATGTCCCTTGCCTCTGGGGTAGTACCAAAGCCTGGGCCTCTGGGATCGAGGACAGGCCCAATGCTGTGGATTATGGATGGACTCAACTGGACTCAATTTGGCGGTGCACCTCCCTCTGTTTGGGAAGCCATGCGTCCTGAAACGGCGAAACGTGGCTTGTGGAAAATTGATGTCCCAAGCACCCCACATGATGCCAAACCATCAAAACCTAACACATGTATTATACAAATGTGCCAGGCAACAGGAAGAAGGTTCTTAAACTCTGAAACCAAGTGTCGAAGCTGCATGTCACAGCGATCACACCGCAAAGAATCCAACCACCGGCCCTCATGATGCACCCGATGCTGATGTCAAAGAACAACTGAGAGGCTGTGAAGAACAAAACAGCTCACATGCCATGAAGGGGTTCACTAGAAGCCTAATCGGGACCTCCTGTGAAATTTGTGATAGTTCGAGATGTTGCAAGCTTTTGTTGCGGCTTATGATGCCAAACCAAATCTTAAGCTGATGCCCACTGATACAGCACTGAATTGAGAAGAGTGATGGCAGTGATGGTCTGGTCTTTGGCGTGTTGCATGCAAGCTGTGCCAAAGTGGGCTGCGCGAAGGTTAGTCAAGAGAACCCATCCATCCCACCACTTGGAAGCTCAAACAACTTACAAATATAAACAAATCGAGCGAGCGAATGAACAGATAGGTTCACTCTAAACCGGGGCTGTCAGAAAATATGCTTGCTGCAGTTTGGTTTAAACTTTAAACATCTGACTTTGTGGCCTACCATTTTACGCCACAGCGCTTGCATCTGACAGCAGCTTCTTCATGTCCTACATGTGCGATCACCTGCAATGCCTTGGCTTGCGGCCTGGGGGAAAAAAGGCAACACTGTTGAAACCCAAAACAAATACAATATCCCTGCAAATCAATGAATGTAGACAATAGAAACACTTAGCAAACCAAGCCCCTTTGCGAGGCCAATTGGACAGTGTTCTAAATTTAAGGGCCTCTGTGAACATAGCGGCAAGGGTCATGTCTAAAGTTGGAGCACGCGGAGAACTCCAAATCAAAAACATCCAGTCCTCCGCCAAGAGATCCACCAACTCTGAGTTCTTCCCATCGGCTGATGATAAACAATCCATATGGTCAGCTTCCACCTCATTTCGCACCATTTTGCGCCCTGCCACTTCCAAAGAACTTGGTTCATTTATTTTCATCTGAGTTCTGATATGCATCAAATATTCTTTTAAACAAAATGGCCTTAGAGATCCACCACTTTCAGCTCAAAGCTCGAAGATGTGAGGCTTCGCCAGCCTCTCAGAAGCCGTGGCACAGTCTTCCAGGGCTGCAAAACGCAAGTCTTGTGTTTGTGCATGTAACATCACACACACGCATATGTATATGTATATATATAATTATATAATCCCCCTTGCAATTCGGCCTCCGACCCTGACCCCTGAATCTTTAAGGGACCACTGGTAGCCTCTTAAAGAATGCGAACCAGGGCAAATTTCAGCCTTAAAGAATCTAACCCCAATGAACCAAGATTGCAACACAGTAGCCAGGTATGTCCCGTTAAAAAATTGGAGACCGTCAATAACACACCAAGGGGTGCCCCTTTAAAGAATTGGATACCCAAGTTGAAGTCAAGCATGAAATGTTCTGAATATTTTTAAGATTTTATGGATACATATCATGTACATTCATGTACATGTTAAAGAGATATGTGGATGTGGATGATATATGAATATATATATATGGTGCAGTTCCTAGAATCTTCCAAGGAAGGCCTCTTAAAGAATAGGAGACCGTCAAACAACAGGATTTCCTTAAAAAATAGAACTGTTTTTTTTTTGCCGGCCAGGTATGTCCCTTAAAAAATACAGTTTTTTAAGGACATCATGTCCTGAACTTTTTAAGGAAAATTCCCAGGAGGATATTATATATACATATTACATAATAATCCCCACCCCAAAAAAAGCTGAGCTTTGCCTACTGAGTCAGTCATTGCAAGTCACAGGAATTAGCGTCTTCGTTGAAACCGCCGCATGGCACGCAACTAATTGGTTGTTTCAAAAATGGCAAGAATAGCTCTACCATCTTGAGCGCAGCATCCAATGCATGAACAACTTGAAGCATTCTACAATCATCCAATACCACATTATACTGTTATAACGTTGGCAGCACCATGAAATGCACAACAGGCCACTCAACCCCCAAATAAATTCCACAAATCCAACTGCAAAACAGTAGGGTGCCTCGTATAGATTTGGCAAAGTCATTGCAGCGTTTCAATCCAAACCGTAGGCCATGCGTCTACATTAGCAAAAACAAATCTAAGTCAAACATGGGTAATTACATGTGTACATTGTGTACATACACATGTTCACGGATATACTATGTACATATTTTCACAAATATTTATTTCTATAAACAATAAAATAAATCATATAAATCTATACAGGGATATACAGGGCAATGTAATGCCCGAGCGGAACACAATACGTGTTTCAATTTGTGATACCGCAAGGGCGTTGGACCGTTGGGTCGTGTCGGATTTGGTACAAAGACTGCCGAGCCTTCCATCTTGGTGGCAGTCTCTCCCTTTTCTTTTTCCTTCAGCTGGTCACAGCTGGTCACAGCTGGTCAGCTGAAACACCGATGGTGTGACTGTTGGAGCCAGTTTTTCGGATGTCACTCCTGTGAGCATGCAAAAGCGACAATGGGCGCTGCAACCGCTGCCTTAGCAAGACAAGCCGCACAAGAAATGCCTTAGCCCATCTTAGCCCGCTGGACTACACGCATACTACCAATTGGTACTGATTGGTACCAATGAGTACTGATGGGTACTGATTGGTACTGATCAGTACCACATAGCATGTCAATCCATTTCTTGCAAGACCCCAACGTCAAGCCTTGACCAAGCTCTGGACGTCTCCGCTCACGACAACGTCCAACTCACTGCTACCACCTGCCCAAGGTGTGGAAGCCACTGTCCAACTTGCAACTGCTCCAGTGGGTCGGGGGGTTACAAAACACCATACCTTTTGTTTTAAGTGCCTACAGTCTATAGCTGGTTCTTGGATTGATTTATAATCTTAGAATCTTAAATAACTATAAATAACTTAAATATGTTGAAATACGTTCATCAATGCACATCAACATAAATTAACATACCCCAACTATATCAACCCAAAGCAAAGGTGAGTGTATATTCATGTATATTCATGTATATTCTACATGAAGGGACCCACAGTTAGAATATGAAAAAATAAGTGAACGCAAATAGAATATGCTAATTTTGTACGCCGCGGCGTATTCTAACTGCACTTGCAGTTAGAATATGTCAACAATGATATGTTGTTTGCAGTACTACCGTCCCTTACTGCTGGGTCCCTTACTCCATAACACTGTACCTGTTTCTTTCAGCATGTTTTAAAACAGGACAGGATCCATGCAAGAACAACCATTGTGAAAATTGCATTGTGCAAGTTGTTTGCTGGTATTCTGTGTGGTTGTCGGGTGCTGCTGGTGTTGGTGGTGGTGGTGCTGGTGGTGAAGTGAGTGGTGAAAACCGTCCAAACATATCCATATTCTAATTGCACTTTTCATCACCAGAATTCACAAAGAGTTCAAACAAGTTTTACCCTACCAACCAACCTCGGGAAAGCCTTGGCCAACATAATCCACTGTACCTGTTTCTTTCAGCATGTTTTAAAACAGGACAGGATCCATGCAAGAACAAACATGGGGAAAATTGCATTGTGCAAGTTGTTTGCTAGTATTCTGTGTGGTTGTCGGGTGCTGCTGGTGTTGGTGGTGAAGTGAGTGAAGAAACCATCCAATTATGTCTATATTCTAACTGCACTTTTTTCCACCAGATTTAACAAAGAGTTCAAACAAGTTTTACCGTACCAACCAACCTTGGGAAAGCCTTGGCCAACATAATCGACTGTACCTGTTTCTTTCAGCATGTTGTAAAACAAAACAGAACCCATGCAAGAACAAACATGGGGAAAAAATCATTGCACAAGTTGTTGTTGGTATTCTGTGTGGTTGTGTGGTTGCGTGGTGCTGCTGGTGCTGCTGGTGCTGCTGGTGGTGGTGGTGCTGATGGTGAAGTGAGTGGTAAAACCATCCAAACATATCCATATTCTTATTGCACTTTTCATCACCAGAATTCACAAAGAGTTCAAACAAGTTTTACCCTACCAACCAACCTCGGGAAAGCCTTGGCCAACATAACCCACTGTACCTGTTTCTTTCAGCATGTTTTAAAACAGGACAGGATCCATGCAAGAACAAATATGGGGAAAATTGCATTGTGCAAGTTGTTTGCTGGTATTCTGTGTGGTTGTCGGGTGCTGCTGGTGTTGGTGGTGAAGTGAGTGAAGAAACCATCCAATTATGTCTATATTCTAACTGCACTTTTTTCCACCAGATTTAACAAAGAGTTCAAACAAGTTTTACCGTACCAACCAACCTTGGGAAAGCCTTGGCCAACATAATCGACTGTACCTGTTTCTTTCAGCATGTTGTAAACCAGAACAGAACCCATGCAAGAACAAACATGGGGAAAACATCATTGCACAAGTTGTTGTCGGTATTCTGTGTGGTTGCGTGGTGCTGCTGGTGCTGCTGGTGGTGGTGGTGCTGATGGTGAAGTGAGTGATGACAACAGTCCAAACATATCCATATTCTAATTGCACTTTTCATCACCAGAATTCACAAAGAGTTCAAACAAGTTTTACCCTACCAACCAACCTCGGGAAAGCCTTGGCCAACATAATCCCTTGTACCTGTTTCTTTCAGCATGTTTTAAAACAGGACAGGATCCATGCAAGAACAAACATGGGGAAAATTGCATTGTGCAAGTTGTTTGCTGGTATTCTGTGTGGTTGTCGGGTGCTGCTGGTGTTGGTGGTGAAGTGAGTGAAGAAACCATCCAATTATGTCTATATTCTAACTGCACTTTTTTCCACCAGATTTAACAAAGAGTTCAAACAAGTTTTACCGTACCAACCAACCTTGGGAAAGCCTTGGCCAACATAATCCACCGTACTTGTTTCTTTCAGCATGTTGTAAACCAGAACAGAACCCATGCAAGAACAAACACGGGGAAACAAATCATTGCACAAGTTGTTGTTGGTATTCTGTGTGGTTGCGTGGTGCTGCTGGTGCTGCTGGTGGTGGTGGTGCTGATGGTGAAGTGAGTGGTGACAACCGTCCAAACATATCCATATTCTTATTGCACTTTTCATCACCAGAATTCACAAAGAGTTCAAACAAGTTTTACCCTACCAACCAACCTCGGGAAAGCCTTGGCCAACATAATCCACTGTACCTGTTTCTTTCAGCATGTTTTAAAACAGGACAGGATCCATGCAAGAACAAACATGGGGAAAATTGCATTGTGCAAGTTGTTTGCTGGTATTCTGTGTGGTTGTCGGGTGCTGCTGGTGTTGGTGGTGAAGTGAGTGAAGAAACCATCCAATTATGTCTATATTCTAACTGCACTTTTTTCCACCAGATTTAACAAAGAGTTCAAACAAGTTTTACCCTACCAACCAACCTCGGGAAAGCCTTGGCCAACATAATCGACCGTACTTGTTTCTTTCAGCATGTTGTAAAACAGAACAGAACCCATGCAAGAACAAACACGGGGAAAAAAAACATTGCACAAGTTGTTGTTGGTATTCTGTGTGGTTGCGTGGTGCTGCTGGTGCTGCTGGTGGTGGTGGTGCTGATGGTGAAGTGAGTGGTGAAAACCGTCCAAACATATCCATATTCTAATTGCACTTTTCATCACCAGAATTCACAAAGAGTTCAAACAAGTTTTACCCTACCAACCAACCTCGGGAAAGCCTTGGCCAACATAACCCACTGTACCTGTTTCTTTCAGCATGTTTTAAAACAGGACGGGATCCATGCAAGAACAAACATGGGGAAAATTGCATTGTGCAAGTTGTTGTTGGTATTCTGTGTGGTTGCGTGGTGCTGCTGGTGCTGCTGGTGGTGGCGGTGCTGATGGTGAAGTGAGTGGTGAAAACCGTCCAAACATATCCATATTCTAATTGCACTTTTCATCACCAGAATTCACAAAGAGTTCAAACAAGTTTTACCGTACCAACCTCGGGAAAGCCTTGGCCAACATAATCGACTGTACCTGTTTCTTTCAGCATGTTGTAAAAAGAACCATGGTCTAAACAGAAAACCCATGCCTGGCCAACATAATCGAACCTGTTTTCTTTCAATGTTGTAAAACAAAAACAGAACCCATGAGAACAAACATGAAAAAAATCATTGCAGAACTTGTTGTTGGTATTCTGTGTGGTTGCGGTGGTGCTGCTGGTGCGCTGGTGCTGCTGGTGGTGGTGGTTCTGATGGTGAAGTGAGTGGTGACAACCGTCCAAACATATCCATATTCTAATTGCACTTTTCATCACAGATGCACAAAGAGTTCAAACAAGTTTTTTACCCTACCTAAACCAAACCTCGGGAAAGCCTTGGCCAACATAAACCTCCACTGTACCTGTTTTTCTTTTCAGCATGTTTTAAAACAACAGGATCCATGCAAGAACAACCATTGTGAAAATTGCATTGTGCAAGTTGTTTGCTGTATTCTGTGTGGTTGTCGGGTGCTTCTGGGGTTGGTGGTGAAGTGAGTGAAGAAACCATCCAATTATGTGTCTATATTCTAACTGCACTTTTTTCCACCAGATTTAACAAAGAGTTCAAACAAGTTTTTACCGTACCAACCAACCTTGGAAAGCCTTGGCAACATTTAATCCACCGTACTTGTTTTTCTTCATTCTTTTGTAACCAGAACAGAACCCATGCAAGAACAAACATGGGGAAAATGCATTGTGCAACGTTGTTGTTGGTATTCTTGTGTGGTGCGGGCGCTGCCTGGTGCTGCTGGTGCTGCTGGTGGTGGTGGTGCTGATGGTGGAAGTGAGTGGTGAAACCGTCCAAACATATCCATATTCTAATTGCCTTTTCATCACCAGGAATTCACAAAGAGTTCAAACAAGTTTTTACCCTACCAACCAACCTCGGGAAAGCCTTGGCCAACATAATCCACTGTACCTGTTTCTTTCAGCATGTTTAAAACAGGACAGGATCCATGCAAGAACAAACATGGGGAAAATTGCATTGTGCAGTTGTTTGCTGGTATTCTGTGTGGTTGTCGGGTTCTGCTGTGGTTTGGTTGGTGAAGTGAGTGAAGAACCATCCAATTATGTCTATATTCCTAACTGCAATTTTTTCCACCAGCTTTAAACAAAGAGTTCAAACAAGTTTTACCGTACCAACCAACCTTGGGGGAAGCCTGGCCAACATCCACCTCCTGTTTCTTTCAGCATGTTGTAAACAGAACAGAAACCCATGCAAGAACAAACACGGGGGAAAAAAATCATTGCACAAGTTGTTGTTGGTATTCTGTGTGGTTGCGTGGTGCTGCTGGTGCTGCTGGTGGTGGTGGTTGCTGATGGGAAAGTGAGTGGTGAAAACCGTCCAAACATATCCATATCTAATTGCACTTTTCATCACCAGAATGCACAAAGAGTTCAAACAATTTTACCCTACCAACCAACCTCGGGAAAGCCTTGGCCAACATAATCCACTGTACCTGTTTCTTTCAGCATGTTTTAAACAGGACAGGATCCATGCAGAACAAACATGGGGAAAAAATGCAGAAGTTGTTGTTGGTATTCTGTGGGGTTGCGTGGTGCTGCTGGTGGTTGGTGGTTGGTGGTGTTGGTGGTGCTGGTGGTGAAGCGAATGGTGAAACCATCCAACATATCCATATTCTAATGCACTTTTCATCACCAGAATTCACAAAGAGTTCAAACAAGTTTACCCTACCAACCAACCTCGGGAAAGCCTTAGCCAACATAACCCACTGTATGCGTTTTCCTGTCAGCATGTGGTATTCTGTGTGGTTGCCGGGTTGATGCTGGTGTTGGTGTGAAGTGAGTGAAGAAACCATCCGAACATATCTATATTCTAACTGCACTTTTTTTACACCAGATTTAACAAAGAGTTCAAACAAGTTTTACCGTACCAACCAACCTTGGGAAAGCCTTGGCCAACATAATCGACTGTACCTGTTTCTTTCAGCATGTTGTAAGCAAAACAGAACCCATGCAAGAACAAACATGGGGAAAAAATCATTGCACAAGTTGTTGTTGGTATTCTGTGTGGTTGCGTGGTGCTGCTGGTGCTGCTGGTGCTGCTGGTGGTGGTGGTGCTGATGGTGAAGTGAGTGGTAAAACCATCCAAACATATCCATATTCTTATTGCACTTTTCATCACCAGAATTCACAAAGAGTTCAAACAAGTTTTACCCTACCAACCAACCTCGGGAAAGCCTTGGCCAACATAACCCACTGTACCTGTTTCCTTTCGGCATGTTTGAAAACAGGACAGGATCCATGCAAAAACAAACATGGGGAAAATTGCATTGTGCAAGTTGTTTGCTGGTATTCTGTGTGGTTGCCGGGTGCTGCTGGTGTTGGTGGTGAAGTGAGTGAAGAAACCATCCAATTATATATGTCTATATTCTAACTGCACTTTTTTCCACCAGATTTAACAAAGAGTTCAAACAAGTTTTACCGTACCAACCAACCTTGGAAAAGCCTTGGCCAACATAATCGACTGTACCTGTTTCTTTCAGCATGTTTGTAAACCAGAACAGAACCCATGCAAGAACAAACATGGGGAAAAAAACATTGCAGAAGTTGTTGTTGGTATTCTGTGTGGTTGCGTGGTGCTGCTGGTGTTGGTGGTGCTGGTGGTAAAGTTAGTGGTAAAACCATCCAAACATATCCATATTTTAATTGCACTTTTTATCACCAGAATTCACAAAGAGTATAAATAAGTTTTACCCTACCAACCAACCTCGGGAAAGCCTTAGCCAACATAACCCACTGTATGCGTTTCTGTCAGCATGTGGTATTCTGTGTGGTTGCCGGGTGCTGCTGGTGTTGGTGGTGAAGTGAGTGAAGAAACCATCCGAACATATCTATATTCTCACTGCACTTTTTTACACCAGATTTAACAAAGAGTTCAAACAAGTTTTACCGTACCAACCAACCTTGGGAAAGCCTTGGCCAACATAATCCACCGTACCTGTTTCTTTCAGCATGTTTGTAAACCAGAACAGAACCCATGCAAGAACAAACATGGGGAAAAAAACATTGCAGAAGTTGTTGTTGGTATTCTGTGTGGTTGCGTGGTGCTGCTGGTGTTGGTGGTGCTGGTGGTGTTGGTGGTGCTGGTGGTAAAGTTAGTGGTAAAACCATCCAAACATATCCATATTTTAATTGCACTTTTTATCACCAGAATTCACAAAGAGTATAAATAAGTTTTACCCTACCAACCAACCTCGGGAAAGCCTTAGCCAACATAACCCACTGTATGCGTTTCTGTCAGCATGTGGTATTCTGTGTGGTTGCCGGGTGCTGCTGGTGTTGGTGGTGAAGTGAGTGAAGAAACCATCCGAACATATCTATATTCTCACTGCACTTTTTTACACCAGATTTAACAAAGAGTTCAAACAAGTTTTACCGTACCAACCAACCTTGGGAAAGCCTTGGCCAACATAATCCACCGTACCTGTTTCTTTCAGCATGTTGTAAAACAAAACAGAACCCATGCAAGAACAAACATGAGAAAAAATCATTGCAGAACTTGTTGTTGGTATTCTGTGTGGTTGCGTGGTGCTGCTGGTGCTGCTGGTGGTGGTGGTGCTGATGGTGAAGTGAGTGGTGACAACCGTCCAAACATATCCATATTCTAATTGCACTTTTCATCACCAGAATGCACAAAGAGTTCAAACAAGTTTTACCCTACCAACCAACCTCGGGAAAACCTTGGCCAACATAATCCACCGTACCTGTTTCTTCCAGCATGTATGTAAACCAGAACAGGATCCATGCAAGAACAAACATGGGGAAAATTGCATTGTGCAAGTTGTTTGCTGGTATTCTGTTTGGTTGCCGGGTGCTGCTGGTGTTGGTGGTGAAGTGAGTGAAGAAACCATCCGAACATATCTATATTCTAACTGCACTTTTTTACACCAGATTTAACAAAGAGTTCAAACAAGTTTTACCGTACCAACCAACCTTGGGAAAGCCTTGGCCAACATAATCGACTGTACCTGTTTCTTTCAGCATGTTGTAAACCAGAACAGAACCCATGCAAGAACAAACATGGGGAAAAAATCATTGCAGAAGTTGTTGTTGGTATTCTGTGTGGTTGCGTGGTGCTGCTGGTGTTGGTGGTGTTGGTGGTGCTGGTGGTGAAGCGAATGGTGAAACCATCCAAACATATCCATATTCTGATTGCGCTTTTCATCACCAGAATTCACAAAGAGTTCAAACAAGTTTTACCCTACCAGCCAACCCCGGGAAAGCCTTAGCCAACATAACCCACTAAATGCGTTTCTTTCAGCATGTTTTAAAACAGGACAAGATCCATGCAAGAACAAACATGGGGAAAATTGCATTGTGCAAGTTGTTTGCTGGTATTCTGTGTGGTTGCCGGGTGCTGCTGGTGTTGGTGGTGAAGTGAGTGAAGAAACCATCCAAACATATCTATATTCTAATTGCACTTTTCATCACCAGAATTCACAAAGAGTTCAAACAAGTTTTACCCTACCAACCAACCTCGGGAAAGCCTTAGCCAACATAACCCACTGTACCTGTTTCTTTCAGCATGTTTTAAAACAGGACAGAATCCATGCAAGAACAAACATGGGGAAAATTGCATTGTGCAAGTTGTTTGCTGGTATTCTGTGTGGTTGCGTGGTGCTGCTGGTGTTGGTGGTGAAGTGAGTGAAGAAACCATCCAAACATATCTATATTCTAACTGCACTTTTTTCCACCAGATTGAACAAAGAGTTCAATCAAGTTTTACCGTACACTGTACGTGTTTCTGTCAGCCTGCTGGAAAACAGGACAGGATCCATGCAAGAACAAATATGGTCAAAACTGCATTGCGCAAGTTGTTTGCTGGTATTCTGTGTGGTTGCTTGGTGCTGCTGGTGTTGCTCATTGGTGGTCAAGTGAATGCTGGAAAGAAACCATCCAATCATATCCAACCATATTTTAGCTGCACTGTGGAACAAGCAAGATTCAGAAAAAAAAAAGCCCTGTACCGTACCTTCTGGTCTCTCTCTCTCTCTCTCTCAACCATATTTTAACCGCGCATCTTCACAACCAGAATTCACAAAAAGACAAGCAAGTTCGTACCGTGGAAACTTTGGCCACTATAATCTACTATACTTGTTGGCGTCAAGTTGATAGATTTCAGTATCTGTTTCAGCAGCCAGAACAGAATCCATACAAGAAGGAAACATTGTGAAAACCACATTGCGTTACGCAAATTGGTTGCTGGTATTCTGCGTGGTGCTGCTGGTGCTGCGCATTCTTCGCCACAAGCACCCAGGAAGAGAGCAAACAGTCTGTACGGTTCCAACCAACAACTTTACGGGAAAAAAATGACGACAAAATTTGTGTTCGAAAAGCATTGTTTCCATAGCAAAGCCACCAGATACGCATCTGTTTCAACAGCTAATTATTATGTCATTTCCTTCGAAAACTCACAGAATATATAATCATATAATTCGCCATACATACTTACTATGTACTGTCATATTCTATCTGCACCCCACATTTGGCATATTCTATCTGCAAATTTCTTCCGCGGCAATCTTGTTTCCGGCGAAAATTCACTTCGATAAATCCCCAACTTTCATATTCTAACTGCCGGTCCCGGCAAGTACATTCTACAGATTTAGATCTCTTCAGTACGGCCGGTTCATGGCAGTATGGTGATCGAGAAGGACCTGGACTGCAGGGTGAGGCATACTGTTCACGAACAGTGCTCAGGATTTTCTTCGCCACTGGTGGCCTTGGGGCACAGGACACTTGCCATATGTTAGGCTATTCCCAGATATTCCCAGTTAGAAAAACCTACAATAACTTGACAATTTAAACAGGTAAGTCATCTACAAACAGGTTATTTTCCATAATTTTCCATAGCTCTGTTCAATCATCAGTGGGCGTTCTTGATTTCTCTAACACTAACTGTACTAACTATCCAACTGCTTGGCTTGTCGTGCAGTACCCCATGAGATCCTTGTAAGGAACTAGTGAGCTCGTGCCGAGGAAAAGTGGATTTTTATCAGGCACTCTCCGGTTCCATGGGCTTCAGATGGCTTCAGATGGCTTCAGCACATCCTGAGATTCCAGCAGGCTGGAGCCACGCACACTTTCCAGCAAAGCATTCCGCCATGCTCCCACAAGTCCTGTTTCAAATTGAAATGGATGCCGCATGATGCCGCATCCCATTGGATGACTGAAGCCGGCTTGGATGGGGCTTGGGATCGAAGAAACCAACTTGTCAAGCTCCAGAAGGGCTGCAGCGCAGTGCTCCTTCCAAAAGAGCTGTATCATCCATGCTTTGGATGTCCGCCCCTTTGCTAACGCCCCAAACCTGTCAACATCACGCGTTGCTGCGTTGGTTCACAGCTCCGTCGAGCCTGGAAACATGCGATGTTTATCCAGAATAATCAAGTCTTATCAAGTGTTATCATAGACAAAGGACCATGATTTTCCAGGACATCCATTAATATCACCCATAATTATTATCAATTACCATCAATTATCATCAATTATCCACAATCACCATCGTGTGGTTGGGAAACCCTTAGTGCCCGGCATATGGATGCCCCTAGCCCCTTGGTTCCTTCTATCCACAACTGATGTATGCCATCGCTTCAACCGCTTAAGCGACACTTTGCCTCATCCAGCAACGGCATTGTTGGTGGTCTCCGCCTAGGAACAAACCGAGGATCTAGCAGCATGCTACAGCCATATAGGAAGACGTGATGGGACTTCCCATATTCAAAAAAAAACAAATTGCATGCCTGCCTTGTCAACCGCTGAATTTAAACTTCAACTTGCTTGGGTGCCCGTGCGCCGCTAGGAAGAACTTCAGCACGCGCTTCCCAAGCTGTTTTGCAAGGCCATATGCCTTGCTGCCCAGCGGAAACCTCCTTTCACTGCAATGAACCGGTTGTCCAACATAGTCCCATGGCCACCAGCCAAATCACTTAGCTGCACACTTGTAGGCAACCATGACTGTGGGCGAAGAGGATCAAAGGCCTAGCTGAAAGATGCTGAAAGCAGGGCATGTATGAGAGTGACACGAGGGAGTTGGCTGTTTTTGATCAGTTTAAATCGGCAAAGTCTCATGGGTTTCGGAGTTTACCAGTGTTTAAACGTATTGCTCTGAGATGAGCGAAACAATTCTGCAACGGCATGCGCCATTTTGGGAGAAAGATCTGAATCTTGTCCGTACCAAATCCCGCTGCGCCCCGTCAGCCTACTTCGCAGCTCTGGCGTCTCAACCTGTCAGGCCCAATTCATCCAATGTCCTGCGAACCCCCACTTTGTTTCAGCTCACCGTCCATCAAGAGATACCAAGAGTATTTGATAGATTTTGATAGTATTTGTCATGTTGTTTCCAGCCTGTTGCTGGAGAGCCTCAATGTAACTTTGCCAATCCTTGCACTTCCTGCCATCTGTTTGACTGCAAGGGCTACCAGCACATCTGCCACATTTCAAAAGAATCTCATAGATCTCATAGCATGGGGATGCTCTCGCCGAAACCTGCTTGGCAAACCGTCTGCAATGACTGGCACATGGTGACTGTCTGTTTCCCTTCGCCTTCATTCTTTGGTTGGCGTTTGCGGTGAAACTCTCAACATTTTCAACCTAACGCAACACGATGCAGTTTCACCTGCTTGGCAACCCGCCCTTGCCACTTTCAGACATTCTTCACATGACCTTCAAGCCCTTCGATGTTGTTTATCGGACTTGGGTGGCAAGTTTTAGTAAAGCCGCATCTTGTGTGAGTGAACGAAGGCCGTGCATAGCACATCATGGCCCCCTACTAAACCGACAGCATCAATCGAAGCAACTCACCTCTGCCAAATGGAATGTGATGAGCGCCATGGCCGCCGTTGCTGATGTTAACGACACACTTGGCAGCTTTTTGCATGTACATCTCTCCAAGGAACTTCCCATGCTCTGGTGGGCTTTGCTTGTCTTCTTGACCTCAGCAAGGTCTCGATGAAACAGAATCCTTGTAACGTTGCCTTATGGCATTCCTGCCGCCCATTTTTTCATCTACAGTATGACTCGTGTCAAGATATTCCAGAACGGAAACTTCTTGCGGGAGCTTTGCAACTTCAGGCTGACAGTAGAAAAACACAAGAGCTTCCTTAAGGCCGAGAATCCATAACTCACCAAAACTCTCATCTTGCTGACATCCGTATCTTTGGGGGAAAAACCCCAATTCATAGATGTCATGGGCACCAGTGCGTTGTAAATAAATCCATGTATGGATGCGGCATGTGCATGCCGGATATCTTCGGCCTGGATGGTCGACAGCGTGTATCCAACGTCCTTGTCGTGCTTTTTGACGTCTGACACTGCCATGTTGGCAGCACCGCAAAAATCGAAACACATGCTGCAGCAACAAAAGAGACAGCAAGCACGCGGCCAACAGCTGCTAACCCAGGGATACTGACAGCGGAATGAATCATCTTGTCCATAGAGCTTCCACCCCTCTTGTCGTCGAAGCTCTACAGGTAGGTAAGGCACCAGCAAATGGGCGCGGGTCACCCGATCCGGAAACTCGTGCATCACTGCCATGGCATGGGAGGAACCGAAACTCATTCCCTCAACCATGAAAGTTGAATGAATCTGCTCCTTTTCAAAGACCGGCCTCACATCTTCACGAGGCCAGTTTCTGATTTGTCGACTGGGATGATTGGAGGAGAAGCCATGGCCCGGCAAGGAGATGCTGATGCCACGGATCTTCAAGTCTTTCATCACCTTCACCATACCCGTCATCCGACTAAAAAGCCGAGCCGATCCGCAGGAGCCGTTGATCTGCAATAAGGTCTGGGCGTCGGAGTCCTCACTGCCGTAAGTGTAGTATTCAATGATACGACCATCATCGGCCTCAACGGGCTCAAAAAGGGATCCAGGGATTGACCAGAAAACAGTCTCAAAACAGTCTCAAAACCACAATTCCCCGAAAGTAATGGGATGTAATGGGTTATGGACCGCAAGTAGGAAACAAGCCACTGCTGTGTGCAGCCTACTTGGATGATGATACTGTGATGAAGAACCATGTTCTAATCATGTTCTAATATATAGCCCAGACATGGAATGATATATAAATATAAATATATAGAACAATATAACAACTGAAATTACTATATAATAAATGGATAATCGGATAATCTGTTGGGGGACTTGCCGTACTACGTCTTTTTGATTCCTTGTGCTTCCTGCCTGAGCATACTTCCCCCCAAGTGCAGTAATCTTTCTCACATCGATGTCAGGAGGAGCACCTCCACAACACATGCAGCAGCCGTTGCCAGGCACCTTTGGCTGTGCCTTGAGGCCCGCCATGGCTTCCTGTTCTGGCGCCACCTGTGTCGCCATGGGGAACTCTTCAAAACATGGAGCTTAAAAATGGCTGAGCCATGCCGCAAGCTGCTGTGATCCTGCCATCTGCACCATGACGGACCATAACCCAAGATACCCAAGGCACCTCCCCACTATCCGCTATCCCATTCTTCCCCACTAGCTGTCGCTAAAGATGCAAAACATTGCCAAAATCACTGGTACGGCTCTTCAGTCGGATGATCCAACACCTGAGCATCTGATCATCCAAGATCTGACCCAGCTGTCTGATTGGGCAACAAATCGTTGGCTCCCCATGGCTCCCCACCAAGGTTTCCAGCCCTGCATCTTTGGCAGCGGCTAGAAGATCCTGGGCTCCGTATGCTCCATGAAGCGGTGTATTGAGCCACCCAACTGGCATATCCCCGAGCCATGATCAAATTCCAAGCTTGGCACCTTCAGATGTGCCTGCCTCAGAAAGCAAATGATAGAAATGAATAGAAATGATGAAATCGCTATCCAAATCTCTCATTCACATTATTAATTCACATCTTTTTTTTGTCTACTTGTCTTTTAGGCACTTCCTCACTCTTGAGATCATCCTATGCACCTGCAACACATTCCGACAAAACAAACATGCTCCCAACAGTTTCAGAATTCTGAGCTTTGGGCCCCTGTGCTGGCTTCATCCCGCCAGAATAGAAGCAAACCAGCACCTCTTAGGGGTGCTCCAATCTGACGCAACCAGTTGCTGCAACCCAATGGCGATTTTTAGTTTTATTTGTAGTTTTAGACGCTATCTATCTATACATATACATACATACATACATACATATATATATATATGTGTGTGTGATATTCGATATTCTTTGCTATAAACCTCTTAAGCTGCCAGCATACTCCTCTGCAGTCGAAGGTGCAAAAGCTTAGTGTAGCACCGGGGTGGAGTTTTTGCGAATTGCCAACGCCTCTGCAGCTGCCATGTGTTTTTTCTGCGAATCACCCTTGCCCTGCCGAGTCCGTCATAGCATCAGCAAAGGTTGCACTGCAACTGCAGCGAGGATCTCTTTTTGGCTGCGCTTGATTCTGTCACTGGTTTTCGGTTTTTCATGCGTCTTCTGCTGGAATCGCTTTCCTCAGCCATATGGTATCTGGAAGTCTGATGACTATTAGGAGCACAGTTCATCGCCATGTATTTGCATGACTAGCAATCCAGAACCCATCAAACATGAGAATCTGAGAACACTTTTTTTCTAGAGATCTGACAGCTCAAATGACATGAAATCACCAAGCTGCAGCACGTGAAAGTGTATCACCGTCACCGAGTCGTCATCAGCAAGACCAGGGTAGAACCCCCGCAAAATGCGCTGGAGTTCTGTTCCAGTCTCTAATCCTGCAGCAGCTGCACATGTTGAGGTCGGCTTTGAAAACTTCACCAGCACAGTATTTCCATAAGGTTTCGAACTGTGGCCACACGATCAGCACATCCTGCTCCAAGTCCCAAGTTCTTCCAACCCTTATTATGACTATAGTGGCCACATGTCACACAAATGGCACCTCCACAATAAAGTAACTAGTCACGACTGGCTAGTCGCGGCTGGTATATTCACTTCTGTCTCGTGGCCATTTTGGAACTGACCAATTGCAAATAACACATTGTGATATACAGAGCGTTCATCACAGGCAAACATGGACAACGCCAAAGCTGAACGCCACCTTCAACTCGTGCCAGTGTATCATCAATGTCCCGAACGATTCCTCATCACAGGCAGGACCTCGTGCCCTTGTGCTCCAAAATGCCACGGTTCCGCAAATCTTTTGGTGCTGTCTGCTGATAATAGTAACCCCGAAAAAGATGCAGAAAAAAAGCTTTTTAGCCTAAATTTCATCACCAAGAATTTGATTGTTTTTTTTTTTTGTTTTTAATATGTTTTTACCAAATTCGATCCCTTTCTTTGGGAGGTCTGCTGACTACCCTCCAGTGTTCGAACATGGCTAGCTGAGAAACATCTATACATGCACACACACACACACACACACATATATATATATATAATATGCTAATATATATATATATACATACATTATACGGGAAACTCCTCAAACTAAATGGATGATTTTCTGACCAAAGGGTACCAATGATCTCTGATATCTGCATTTTTGATGGTTGAACATTGTTAAACACTGGTTTGAACCTGAAACCATGCTAAAACCAGGCTTAAACCATTAAATCTCCCCCTTACTCATGGTTAAATCATGTTCAACAAGTCCCACTGTTGAACAGTACGCCATTGATGGTTTCCATGTTTCATCCCATGTTTCATCCCCTTCCAAGCGCCCCAAGCGTCTCGTCTCCGAGCTCTCAATGGCCAGGACGGCAAAGCCCCGGTGCTGGCACTTGGCCAAGGCCCAGCCCTGTGAGATCACTGCCTCCAAATCCTGGGAACCCAAAAAATGGAGGATTCATGGAGCTTAAACATGGTTTAATCTTAGTTATCCATGTTATATAATGGCTATTAAAGTGGCAATCAATGGGGATTTCATAGTTGATCATTTTCCCGATTAAGATGGCAATGTTGTTGTCTCGTGCGGTTTCAGAAAAGGCCAAATGATGACATGATGGCACTTGTGAAACACAGCAAAGAAGTCGAGAGAGGAAATGACAGAAATGCGTTCAAGGTACACTTGTATGATCCGTATCTTTGGGTCCAGGGCATCTTGTTGTGGCTTTCTTCTCACCATTGACGATGGCTTCGACAAAATCTGGAGCAAAATCCAGGAACGGCACGCGGACCTGATCACAGCGGGCAATGTCTTCAGATGTCTTCAGCTTGGCGCGCAACAATGCGCAACAAACATTCCAACGGATTCCAACGGCAGTTGCCGCTGCCGGGAGACTGAGGTAGCAGTCGCTGCAGTCGCTGGCGAAGCCTAGAGATCATGCATGATCATATATGATCATGCACAAGGAGTCGGTTTGGCATTGCCATTCGAAGAACAAGCACTCCAAGTCTTGAACACCAGCCTTGTTTCCAGTTATGAGTCGCAGAAGGTTGCCCATCGCAGTGTCAGAAAAATCTGCAGCTTGGACTTTCAAGATCTCTCTTGACATTTCCTCATGGAGACTTTTTGTCTTGGCTGTGCTTTGCGAAAAAGGCACTTTCCCAATCCAGGATAAGTCCAACAGCTTTCGTGTTTGAAGCAAACCCTTTTGCATATTGCTTACGCCGATGATGTGGTCTTGGACTGGCAGTCTTCTGGCAAATGCCCAGCTGAAGCCAACAGAGTCTTTCCACAAAGAGTATGGCTGTCTGCAGCCAAAGACCCCCGGTACGTGTGCATGTCTGCAGACATACTGCAAGAGCAGTTACAATGATGATGATTAATTATAGTAGTAATATGTAATAATAGCATAGCAATTGTGATAACAATGCTATTACTAATAATAGAAAAGAAAAAGGCGTAACATGCCAATCCAGATGCACGCAGCGGAAAATGCTGAGTTTGAAACCTTGCCTTGTCCTTCAGCTTGGTACTGATCCAACCTGCAGCTTTCGCCAAGTGATTGGGACACAACGAAACTTTGCTATACATAGTGCACCTTCTGAAGGGCCAGCGCCAGAGACTTTCCTGCAGGTTGTCAAAACATGTCAAGACTTGTGAGACCTGCTATGTACCATTTTATAAACTGCCAAGAGGATCAGCAATGTCTTGCCCCATCATGTGGGCAACTTCAAGATACTGTGAAGCAAAAGACTGGTAGACTATGAGGCTCTAGGCAAGCAAGTGCAGTCATGGTAGGACTTGACAAATAGCAGGACTGTGCAGGACCTCAGCGCTCCAATTTTTTCCAGTGCTTTGCAGCTTGCTGGAGTTGACATGCGTTTACCCAGGCTGTACTTACCTCTCTCCGACTCCTCGGGCCATTCTCACACGGACACTCCAAAGCCACTGGATCAGGGCTTGTGCATCGACTTCAGCTGGCAAAGTGCCATCAGTTTCAGCTGCATTGAGGTCTGAAACCTTGAAACATCTTGAAACCAAATTCAAACATCTTCAAAACACAGTGCTTACAGTGCGTGCGGTGCGTGCTATGTCATGGTCGTGCCATCCAGCAGCTAGCTGTGCTCTTTGAGTTTCGGCTTGTTCTAGTAGGACTTCAGCTTCTTTCAGCTTGGGCCTGCTCGTCATGCTCGCAATATGTCACATCCCAAGCTCCTACTCAAAAGCCCTTGCAACAGAATGTGTTCATAAAGATAATAGGACTTAGATGGACTTAGTAGGTTTCCCAAGCCAGTGTCAAGCGCATGATGCGATTTTACGGGCAATCAGCAGACATGACATGATGTCACACCCGGTACGCTGATGGGCTAAGACCAACTCAAGCGCTGTGCCTCCCCAATCGAATATCAAGGACCTGTTGCCTTTCCATGCCACTGAGAGCAACCAATGGGTAGCCTGCGTCAAAGTGCGCCAGGTGAGTGTGTGTGTGTGTCTGTCTCTCTCTCTCTCTCTCTCTGGTCTGTGGAGACGTAAAACTTACTTCTTTACATATATAGTGCAGGGGTGTGTGTGGCACTCATGTCCTGACCACATGCAATGAAGCTATGGGCATAAGTGGGATGGGAAACTTGGCCTGTACCTGCATATATATATAATTATATTACATACTATATTTATAATATATTATATTATATTATATATCATATTATTATATTAAATATGTATATATTATATATATATAAATTTTAGTTTCTATTGAGTGTTTCATCCTTTCGGTTTTTTGTCGTCGTTGTCTTTGCACGTCAAATGCATCTCAACATACCAATTCGAAACGACAGTTCTGAGCAAGTGTGTGTATGTCTGCATTCTCATATGCACCTACTCACACGCAAACACACGCACACACACAAAAGCGCACCTATATTCGCATGTGCACATATATATATATATAATTTATCTGCTAATTTCAACGTTATATGATGTTGTATGCAATATGTGCGTATAATGTGTATATATATATATTTACTTATTTATTTATTTATTTTTATATTGTATTAAAACCACAGCCCCACAAGAATAGAAAGTAAAATCCTACTCAAATAATCGTAAATATATTTAAATATACTCAAATCACGACAAATAACTTTCTTTCTTGTCTCTCTTTGTAATTCGGCAACCATTCTGCTGTTTAAAGAAACAACCTTTTTTCCTGCAACAGAATCAGAATCTTGGAATTCACTTGTAATACATCTTGCAGTTTTCCAGCGCACCTTTGAGTACAATTGTGTACAATATGCGTATGTAAACTGCGGTGCTCCCCTGGACATCCTCAACAACATAGATAGCATATGATAGCATAGTATCAGTATGTATCAGTACACTCAGTAACGATGAGAATGAAACTAGTCTGCACCTGTGCAGCTTTGGGGGCCTCAGTGGGCTGCATCCGCGCCTCCTTTCAGAATGCGACCCAAGTCCAACATCTTGTGATGGGCGTGGTAAAGCCTGTGGTCTGCCGGACGGTTGCTCTTATGATGCATCTTGCAACATGTCATTTCATGTTTTCGCATGACAATGCCCTGTGATGCTCTGTGTATTGTGTTTGTATCAAATCATGATGCACCGTCTTCTACTGAAAACCTTAAGCCAGGAAAGGGTTCACTGGTTCACTGTAAGATTCTGTGACGGCAAAGTTGGTTTGTCCCTGGCAAGCGTCAGCTTGGAGAACTCTTTCTCGCTGCTGAGCGCTACGTCCGTCTCACCTCCGATACAAAGAAATCTGGATTCTTGGCATGTTCATATCACACAGAGTATTTGAGGACCCAGGTATATCATGGTATATCCACATGTATGTCCAATGTCCTGTCATTTCCTGCGATAGATTCAACCCAATCACTGCCAAATCCCCCCGCTGCACCTCCTGCAGCTTTCACCGCAGCTTTCAACAAATCACGGGCACGCATCAAACGCTGTGAGACGAAACCCATGTACTGTTTTGCCTTGGTGGCCAGGTAGATTATAGAATTATAGATGATGATAGAGATTGAGGTGATTGCAGCCTCGAAAACCATCTGAACCGTTTGAGCTTGGATGCACAGCGCAAGGTGAGAAAAGAATGGCGTGCTTCAAGAAGCTCCTGCCAGGCCCAACTCCGATGCGCGGGTTTGTTGGAGAACAGGAGCTCAACCTGGGACAGGTTGAAGTCTCTGATGTTTCTGGTTGATGTTGGATTGCCCAACATTTAAACCGAAACCATCTATACGATTCGAAACCATCCCAAAACACCCTGAACCCACCAACAAAGGCCCAGCCCCACACAGCGATCTGAGGTGGACATTCCCCCCGCACAGAACTCTGTTACAATCAGGACTTAGGAAGCATCCAATGGATTCCAATGGTGCAGTTGGGTCACATTGGTGGGGTTGCCTTTGGCCAGGTTGGTGATGAAGAATCCCAACTCTCTGCCGGTGTACTCCACGTCGCCCTTTTTGTCAGAGGCAAAGGCCTGTCATGGACGAAATCACAGTGACAAGAAATCTGTACCGGTCTAAACCCAGAAATGTCACAAGAATCCGCGAGAAGCTTCCGCTCTTGTAAAATTTATTCCACCGCCAATGGGTGCCGGAAAAAATGCCACTAGATCGGTGAAAGCGTGAAACATATGCGACTTCGTCCGCACATGGCGGATCATGGCGGTGGTCAGACTGCACTGGAAGGGCCAGAGCCCCAATCCACAGCAGAAACGTGTGCTTGCTTTGTTGGCAATTTTCTACGCGGCAACAAACCGATTGGCTTGTGCCGCACAGAGTTCATCAAGGCACTAGTTGGATGGGATGAGAGCTCCAAAGGTGGTAAAGGTGCTGTTGAACGGATTGAGTTCTGACTCGGCGCATCATCTCTACTCCTAGCACGTGGTGGCAGCCCTTGCAAGGAACTTCCACTTCTGTTGCCCACAGGTGGTCGCATCCCGCTGGGAGACTGACCTCTCAAGCCTGTGAAAAGAGACTTCTTGGCACGAGCACGGCTTGGCGACCTTTCAGGCGCAGAGGGATTGAGAACGCTATGCACAAGCCCAGCCAAAGCAGTCTGCTTCAAGCCTTTCGCAAGTGCCCGCCGGAGCCAACTGGTGTGCATCTTTTGGAAGGCCATGTCCACACTGCCATAGGCTTCTTGCAGTACACGTCGCAGCCTTGCAGGACTTCCTGATATGGCTTTGGAGTTGAAACCTTTCAACAAAGACCACTCGCTGAAGCTCAAATATCCAGCAGTCTGTCTCCCTGACACCTCGTTGAAGAAAAGGAACAACATCCTCACATCTGCCTTTGGGGCTAGCTTGTTGAAGCCAGCTGCCACGCAAACCTTGTGGAAGGCATCATAGCTGGTTGTCTTTGGCGATGCAGGCAATCCTTGAAGGACCCTTTCTCGCTCTAAGAATTTGGCAAAGGCTGCTTCGACACCTGGAGATGTCTCAAGATTGATTCATGACCTAATGACAATGAACAAAACAATAATAAGACATAATAAGACCTACAACAATAAGTTAGTAACAGTGAGTATATGAGCCGTTGTCAAAACTCATTGTCTTCGCTTGGTTCCTGAAAATTGGGTATCGCTTTTGCGGGGGGCACTATCGCTCTCCATGGTTTTGCAAAAAGAGGCAAGGAAGAGGAACGGAAGAGGAAAGGAAAAGGAAAAGGAAAGGGAAAAGGAAAAAGGAAAAAGGAAAATGATTGGGAAGAGGAAAAGAAAAGGAAAGGAAGAGGAAAGGAAAAGGAAAGGACGAGGAAAGGAAAAGGACTGGGAAGAGGAATGGAAAAGGATTGGGAAGAGGAAAGGAAAGGATTGGGAATAGGAAAAGAAAAGGAAAGGAAGAGGAGAAGAAGAGGAAAGGAAAAGGAATGGAAAAGGAAAAGGAAGGGAAGGGAAGGGAAGAGGAAAGGGAGGGAAAAGGAAAAAAAGGATCTATTTGCGGTCTGGTCTGGGGCTACTTTTTGAACAAATTCAAATGGTTATCTTTAAGGTATCGCTAGGGGTATCCCTATTTAGCCTCTTGCATGTACGTAACTTTGTGCAAAACAACTTCAGACGTGGACATGATGCACAATTATAGGTATCGCTTTTGGGGGGCCTATCGCTACACAGTGTTTTGTGCATTTTCCAGACACCAGAGGACTCTCCTTACATAAGTAGTATACCAGAATTTTGACCGTACCTCATAATATGTATATATATATATAATATGTATCTGTGTCTCTAGCAACTCGCTGTGATTTCCAATGTCTCATGGGCATCTACAAAGGCACTGCAGGCCATAGACTTCAATATTTTTTGAAAATAAATTGCAAAAAAAACTGTTGGTCAAATGGGTTTATCAGAATGTAGGATTAATTACAATGGATTACGCACAAAGACTTTGGGTCAGCGCACCTCCCAACATGGAATCCGCAAACCGCTTCAATGCTTCCACTTCACGTAGCACATCCTCGCTGTTGAACTCCAGGAGCTTTTGGAACTCTCGAGCTGAGACCTCGCCATCAAAGTTCCGGTCGAGCAAGGAGAAGACTGAGCGCATCACTCGCATCTCGCAAGGATAGCCCAATGCCTGAGCTCCTTCAAAGAAGGCCTTGCGACTTAAGCCTCCTTCAGTTGCTCCCATAGCTTTGAAGACTTTCCGAAAGACTTCAGTGGTGCGGCCAAAGCCTTCAAAGAGCCAGCCCTGGAAGTGTTCCAAGCGCCGCAAAGCCAGCACAGCACCATGGAGATTCAAACTCAAAAAGTCTGCTAATTCAATAGCATCACCATCGGGACAAAGGGTTCCAAAAACTGCTGCCCGTGAATCCTGGTCATTTTCAGACAACCAAGTCTTCAATGGTTGGCCACGGTCCCCCGGATTCACCAAAGGTCGCCCGGACGTCTGTGCGCTCTCGTCCAAAGATCGGAAGAAGTTCCCAAATTCCTCCTGAGTGACCCGTCCTGCGCCAGCAGTGGCACTAAGTGCCTCGTAGGCCTTGCTTAAATTGCCAAAATTTCGGACCAATGCCTCCCGCAAATCCTCTAGGATCTCTGGTGCTGCAAAGGGACTACCATAGGTCTCCAAGCGTCGCATATCATCTACTGAGACCAAGCCATCTGCATCTCGATCAATGAATCGGAAGTCAGTAAGAATTTCGTCCACTGGCAGTCCTTGACGCCGCAACTCCCGCTCGAAGGCGTGGTATGGCAGGTGATCTGGACGACACCGAAGTCCACGCAAGGCAGGTGACTCTGGGTCAACCACACCAAAGATTAACGAAGACTCTGGCAGTGACTTGTGTGATTCAAAGGGCCGGATTTGCTGGCCAAAGGGTGTATAGCAACAGTCCTTGACCACAAACATAGGCACAATTATTCTTGTCACTTTCCTTTCCATGCTCTTGCTTCCTCGGGACTCACGCAGAATGAAGCTGGGCCCTGACTTGGGAGACTCCAAGATCAGCACGTCAGACTCTACGCTCCACAATGCCTTGGAGGTTGCCCGGAGCGACCTGCCTTGGACAGATTCTTTGTAGTCACACTTGCCATCCACATGTAGCTTCATGTCGAGCCTCTTGTAGAAATAGTCTTTGGACTGCCCGACCTCATAGAAGTAGCATCCAGGTTTCACTGCACAGGTTTGAAAAATGGCAAAGGTTCCGTCGTCAGATGGTAGGCCACGTGCAGCTGGAAGACTGCGAAGGCCTTGAAGAAATGCATCTGGACCCTCAGCCACCTGTGCAGCTACCGATGGCTGATCCCATCCAATTTCAGCAGGTCGAGGTAGAGAGGTGGTGATTCCACGCTCAATCCCGAAAAGTCGGGGAGCCGCAGGTTTTTGTTCAGGATTTGCTTGCACAGGGGGGGCATTGGCCAAGCTCAACAAGGCATGAATTGGAGTTCTGAGGAAGTATGCACGTGGGTCAGTGGCATTTGCCCCAGTCGCCCCAGCAGCTGCTGCCCCAGCATCTTTCTCACCTGCCTGTGGTGCCTCGGCCTTGCTTTCCGTGTGCCTCTCCGTGGCGGTGGCATCCCAAGCTGTGTTGAAAGTGGAGTCCAGGGCGCTGCTGAGCACCGCAGCTTCCCGAGATTCGCCACGTTTGGGGAGGATGCTGGTGGGAACACCCTCCTCAAGCAGCTGAAGTCGAAGAAGGTGCCCTCCTCTCGGGACGCATTCAGCCAAGGAGATTGGTGCATCAAAGTCGGACTCCAGTTCAGCCAAAGAAACAAAGATGGGTTCAGCATAGCTGACCTCTGGCAATAGCTCAGCGTTCAGTTTCGTCAGCTGCAAGTGCGCACCATTTTGGGTGGGACCCTCTGCATGGATCACTACTTGCCCATTGATCACTTGCCATTTTCCAGCAGCCTCAACACTACGGGAGCCATCTGGCGAAATAGCACAGTACGCAGCCCTGCCATCGCTGAACAGGGCAACGCAACGGGCACTAAAGAGACAACTGGCTGAAGTGGCAGAAGTCTCAGCTTCGCCACCAATGCTAACCAAGTGAAGGCGTTGGACATAGACCCCGCAAGTCACCTTGACGTCCTTGGCGGACTCAAATTGTCTCTCAGCCTCCTTGGTTTCGGCAACCAGCGGCTCACACTGGTCCAGTGGGTTCCCAGAGACCAACACACCGCAGAGATGCCCGAAATCTGCTGCCATCACAACGGTTAGGAGCTCGGCATCACGGATCTGAGCAATTTCGGCCAACTTGCTACGGATATGCCCCAGAGCTGCTACCTGACATAGGTTCTCATTGTCCGTCACCAACAAGGGTGGCCATCTTCCACTTCTGGTTGCTGACAGGCTGACGTCCAATAAGGTACCAGCATCCACCCAAAAAGCTTCTCTTTCTGCCATGGTATAAGGTGGAGGCACCTTTGGCAAACCTGACTGCAGCATCGGTTGCCATCGCTTCCAGCCTCCTACTTCCAGCTTCTGATGCCGGCGTCTTGGACGCTGGCTGGCCTGACAACATGTTAAAACATCATTCTTCTCCTCGGATGTGCTTTTAAGATGGCCAGAAACAAGAATTAAGAACACTTAAGAACACATTCACATTCCCCACAGATTCCGAAGATTCCCCTAACCGTGGCTTTATCCAATGGGGAAAAAACACCGACTCAGCAAATTGAAGTCTCCTGCTCGCCCTGGCAATACACTAGGACCAGCTGCTCGTCCTCAGCCGGTGACGCCACCTTTTCCTCGATGGAAAGCAGCCGCCCGGCATTGGTAGGGCTAGCCATGGGAAGCCATCAGTGCCTTTGGCAGTACTGGCAACGGAGAGAAGAATGCAAAGTGTGTCTGTGCAAATCGTAGGTTTTGGGGTTGAGATACTTGCGCATCTCTACGTATTGAAACAAAGACATAGTGATGTCCCAGACCGGGCCTACGCCCGTTCTAGCCAGAAAATGTATGAACATGTTATAAGTCGAAAAACTACCCTTTCTTGTGTCCTCATGAGGTGAAAAGGCGGCAGCACGTTCAAAGCTGGCAGAGCACCCCAATGAGTGACTAGTGACAAAGCCGCACCTCGGTACAGTACAGAGTGCAACATTCAGACATTTAGAGTCCAACCCTGTGCCTTGTGCTCGTGATGCGAAAACTCGTCCCGGGGAGGGTTAAAACTCAACCTGAGTAGCACAAAACCACTGCCAGCTCACTTGAGACGATTCCTGTTCTCCTGAGGAAAAACTCCAACGCTTGGCGGCTTGGCGCTTGACAACTTCACACAGTCGCACCCCTTCTCCATTTATGTCCCAATGAAAATTACTAGCTGCTACTGTAGCTGAAAGCCAGATAGCATGGAAGGATGGAACAGCACACTGTTTGCTCAAGTGGCAAGCTTTTTGGCAATGCTTGGTAGATGAGGGCGAAGTCCATGTCACTTGTTGCCACTTGCAAGTCGTACATGAAGCTACCTGACAAATCTGGGAACGTCAGTCAATTGGCTCGTCAAGTACCAATTCAAAAGATTCAGCATGCATAGAGACCACGTGCCATGGGCAATGGGAAGAATTGTGCCCATTGGGTTTGGGATAGTTTCAACATGTTTCAACATGTTCCAACATGTTCCAACCCCGCCCACCTGTCTGTGCGAGGAAGACCAATTCCGAGCCAGCAGGGATGACACCTTCCTTGGATGCAGCTATACAGGTCCTACAGGTCCTACGGGTCCTACGGGTCCTAGTCAGGTCCCCAAAGGATCTACATAGCCTCTGTCGCATCCACGTCACTTTACACAACGCCAAAGGTGCCAGACACTCCCAAACATCATGGCATGAGTCAGCATTGGTTGGTCACTTCAAGGTCTTTGTCGAAGACCTTCTGTAGGTTGAAAGATGTTGAAAGAATTTGAAGCACATCCAACGAGTGCAATGAGGAGCTGTCAGTTTTGGCCAAGATTCGACTAATTTCATTGCCTCTGCTGACTCCTTCCAAAGAATCAGCATGAATCAGCGCAACAGAAGGCAAGCAGAAACCGCCTTTGCCTCCTGCCTCTGCAAACTATCTTTGGACAAAGCTGGCTTTCAACCACACACGGTTCCCCAAGAGCTGTTATATGCACTTGACTTGTCCGGAAATGGGTTCCCAAAAAATGAAACACATTTCACATCACAATATGACCATATACCGTAGCCCTACTAAATGTCCAAAGGATACAGGAAGAACACACATAAATTATAAAAAAACTCGCGCCCATAGCAAGTGCCTCCCATGAACGTGAAAACGCTCGGCCAGCTACACCCAAAATGAAAATACATGGGGGTTATCATCATTTTCCCATTGAAATTGCATTACTTGCATATGTTTGCGGTATACATGAGGAATTCCATGGTGAATGGTGGGCAATTACAATTTTCATGGGTATACCGGTAATTACCGGTATACCCCTTTGAATGCCCCACTTTTTGGACCCAAATTTGTCCGCCCCAGTCCTGATCCGCCAGACCAGTGCTGGCCTCGGCAAGTGAAGGGCCTTTTTTTGCCAGTCTCCTGAGCCGGAGTCAAGCGAAACAACGACAAGTAGAATGACCCAATCAAACACAAGATTGCACAATGATAGTAAGAATATGTAAGAATAATAGTCGTGGTGATGATGGGGATGACGACGACAGTGACAGTCGATAATGATAAGCGCCGTGATAATGATGATACATTCTTATGTTCATGTTTATGTATATGCAAAAACCATCCCAAAAAACACATTAATAGTGCATAGTCAAATGCAATGGGCAGGGTGAGTGATACGCACTGCTGATGATGCATGGCCGATCGATGCTTCTGAAATCTTCTGAATGATCCTCGGCAAGTAGCATTTGCCATTCACGTAGGGCATCGCACTGCACATCAACAGTTTGCAAGCTTTGCTTGAACGCCTCCTCAGCCCGCAGGTGGAATACCAAACAAGAACACTGAACATTGCTGAAGGAGGGCGATCATCCGAAAAATGAACAGACGTATAAGAATGCTGTAGGCTCAAGTGCAAATTCATGGGCCAACAGATTGGATGGCCAATCCGATCACCGGCTGAGTAGTCGACATATTCGCTGTCGCGAAGCTTTTCACACCAAAGGTCCAAACACTTGAGCTTGGGCAAGGGAGCTTCTGCAGCAGCCTGGGATCTGGGAAATGCAGATTTGACTGGTTGATCTGACTATTTTGGAGTGGTTAGTGCTTAACCAAGGTTAACAAGGTTAACAACCCCAATTCTGGCATTTCTAGTTTTCTTGACCCAAACATCCCTAACTATCCCCAACTCATATCCAGTCACACCCATGTCACCATTCACCCAAGGCGCTGCCGAAAGCCTCTGCAGCAGCTCCTTCCATGCTGCTACAGACCTAGGAATTTTGGCCACGAAGCTAGGTCACATCATGCTTTCCATGATCTTCCGTGTTGTACAGGCCCAGCTGCCATTCCCCGGACTGCTCCATAGCATTGATTTGTGCCGTGTCCTCTTAATTGCAGGAAAGAAACACCGCATGCAAACGTGGATATATAAGCATTAGCATTTTCTGTCAGAATTGTTTGGCTCCTGGTCCGATGATGCTCGCTTTGCCAGCAAAGGAATGGTCCTTGCAAATCAAACACCGGAGCAGCTTCTGTGGGCTGAAACTCTTCGATTGCTTACTAATTTTGCTGCAACTGTATCCCATTCTATCCATATGATTCTCACATTTTACGTTTGAACTCCCCACAATGAATGGGTGGACTTCAAGAGTGACTTCACAATCCAACAGGCTCAGGCACTGCATAGCCACCGGAGTCAAGTTCCCGGGCTGATATCCAGATCCTGCAAGAACCATCCATCCAGAACATTCCAGAACAACTTTTTGCAGTTGGGGTTATAACTGGGCATACCCATAGTAATTAGCATAAGCACTATACCTATGGTCATATAATATGGTTGTACATATAACATCATATAACTATATATATACATACATCCAATCACTAATACCACCACTGCAACCCCAAGATACCCCAAGTAGGTTGGTTGAATATGACGTGAATACCATTGAAATACCATGGAAATACCAATCAAATACCATTGAAATAGCATTGAAATACCGTTGAATGCTGTCCTTTTTCTGCGTGATTGGATCTCTTGTCATTCTCCCCTTTGGGAAGCAAGGAGTTTGCAGCTCCCAAGCAGGCTTTCATGTACGGCTTGGTCGCAGTGATATGATCAGGTGCAAGTGCCTCGGAAGACCGACAACAACTCCCACTGAAGCCAAGTTTGTTTTTTGCCGGGAGTTGGAAGCTAAAATCCCAAACAGAACAAGCAAATCAACTTCAGCCAGGGATTCAGAAACACAATCGAACAAAGCAAACACATGCAACAAACCACATACAAAAACAATATATATATATATGAGAGTGGTGGCAATGCGTGTCCGGACGTGGTTCGACGCTGATACGCTGAGTAGCTGAAAGGTTACAACCTTGCAAGAGTATTACGCTGATACGCTGTTACGCTGATACGCTGTTACGCTGATACGCTGTTACGCTGATACGCTGGTACGCTGATACGCTGATACGCTGATACGCTGATACGCTGGTACGCTGATACGCTGATACGCTGATACGCTGATACGCTGTTACGCTGCTACGCTGATACGCTGATACGCTGTTATGCTGTTACGCTGATACGCTGTTAAGCTGATACGCTGTTACACTGATACGGTGTAACCGGTGTAACCGGTGTAGCGCAAAATGCTGGACACTACTTGCGCCTGCAATGATATGTATATATATATATTAATATTATTAAAAAAAAAACATGTCAGGTAAGCAGCCTCTGCAAGTGATGCTTTCAGCTCCCACCACTCATCAGTCGCATGTAAGACTTCAGCTGAATCGGGTGCATGACGAAATGTTTCCACTGCTGATGGCACGCCTTTTTGTAGCAAACTTCTGAAGTCCAGTAACTCGTGGTAATTCACCTCAAGCGTGTCGCCAAGATCTCTTTTTGGACCAAGTTGACAGCACCAGCACGTGTTGAACACATCAAAGAAATTCACAGGGAATTCACGGAACTACAAGGAAAGGGGCGAAGAAGTGGGCACAGCTGTGAAGGTTGATGTGACACGACAGAACCATTCTCTCTTTGTGGTCCCTGACCAAGCTAGGAGCAGCGCAGTCAAATCCAGAGTAGAATCCTGGCAGTTCCAAGCTACTAGTAACTTGAACGCATTGACAAGCATGGTGTTGCATTCTGTTGCATGCATATACATATAACTGGTGAGATATGGTGAGATCGATAGAAGGCGCAGGTTTTTCTCCCGCAGAAGCATCAAAAGCTCATGGCAAGTCCACCAAAGCTGACCATTTTGTCTTTACTTTGTCGTCCCGAATGGGCAAGGTAAAAGGCTGGAGCTATGCGGCCAAAATGGCTCAGTTCCACATGGTCTGGCTGTGTCTAGCTCGAGGCTTCGAATTTCAAAAGGGAAAACTCGAACGGAAACCGGTGACGGAAACCGGTGACGTGCGGAGGGAAGAGTAGGACGTCACCCATTAGGACTGCACACCAAGATCCTTCAGCAATCAAGTGTACCAATATGACAATATGAATTTGAGATGTTGCTCAATAAAGAATGACTCCCGATTAACGGTGGAGACTATCCGCGACTTGAATCTTACCAGTTGATGTTCTTCTTAAGCATTTGTTATCTATTTGGGGGCGAGCAGTCCTCTGGTTAGCTGGCCTCGTGGTGAAACCCTAAGTCAGTCATGCGTACATTCCAGGAGTTTTTTTTTGCCTCCTGTCCAAAAAAGTATGCACGCGTCAAGAGCTCATGCTGAGAAGCGGCCAATGAATAGTGTTCGATTCGTTCGAGGTGTTGCCATGTTGCTATCGGCGCTCCCATGTGGATCCGCAGGAAACGGCGACTTCGCCATGAAATGGTCCACACGTCGAGGGGAGACAGGCGCAGACCCACCTGCAGGTCACAATGTTTGTCACTGCATGTGGGGTCCCATGTCACTGCTCTTGGTGGGTGAAAATATGTGAAAATGGTGAAAGGAGTGTTGACATGCTCGTCTGTTGCAAAAAGTCTGTCGCTTGTGCAACGAAAAAAATGCCCTTGGCGTAACGAAGAAAGGAGGGCGATTCAGTTCCAGCCCATTTCGACAATATATGACAATATACCGTAGACATCCGTAGACTCGTTTAGACCTTGGGGAAACGGGTGAGATATGATTTGCAGCCACCACCAGCCGCACCTTGGGTTCGCTCATCATCTTCGTGCGACTCCTGACGCTGGTAAGCATAGGGTTGATAGCCTGAATGAGCGTAGGCCTGGCTGGGCCCAGCTGAGGGTGCCGGTGGTGCCGGCGGAGGATAGGACGACAACAGCACGGAGAGAGCTTCCTCAAAGTTTTTCCGGGCATGGGACAAACCCACGTTCCCAACAGCCGTATCCTCTGCTACAGCGCCAAGTGGGCCAAATGCCTCATCCAATGGCGCCAGGGGCGGCCAGTCTTCGAAGCCCCGCTCGCTAAGGCAAGCGGCTTCCGGTGGGCGCAGGGGCATCGCCATCGGCTTCGCCGGCGCCTGACTGCCCGAGGCTGTGCTGGCCGCTGGAGCGGCTCGAGAGCCATCCCCACCCTGAATTGAGCACAGCAAAGCACTCGCTTCTGAAATGTCCATCCTAACCTCATTGTGAATCACGATCGGCCGATACTGGTTGTTTCTGGAGTGGGCCACAGCGCGATTTGAAAAATGCCGGATGTTCTCAATGAAGCCCTGCACATGAGCTAAGGAAACTCTGGCTAATTTCTGGCTGGAATGATGCTTGAAGGCATGGTTGGCAAACTCCGTCATGAACCTCTCCAACTCCTGCACCCAAGGGGTTCAAAACATCAAGTTCTCCCTGAGACTAGCACCTTGAGGAAAAAACACACACCAACACAGTCAGTTTCAACCCGCCTCAGTTGTGAGAAAGTTGATGAAGGCATAGCCTACATTGGTGCGATTTTGCGTGTCCATGGGCAGGTAGAAAAAGTCATAGCTGCCTTTGAATCCCGCAAGGTCGATCTCCTCCAAGAGGCTCGCCTGTGAGTAGCGGTTTGGAATGTTTCGGAGCATGACCGTCGTCTTCACCCGGTCTCCTTGTCCACCTTGGCTTAACAAGCGATGGCAAGACCAACCTCACATCACGATATCATGATGGATCATATCATACCATGGCATATATCAGATATATGATATCAAATATCAGATATCATATCATATATAATGCGTCGTAAATCCCATAGCATGTATCATACAGCATGTATCGTATCAATGTGTCGTTTTATTGTTTACTATTCTGTATGATTATAGCTATGTATAGCTATGTAATGTTATGTGCATAAATCTGTGATCACGTCCTCAAGTCACATTGCACCTCAAATTTTCATGATAAACCACAGTGCCCTTCATGGCTGGCGAGCGGCTGTGAACTAGATCCACGCTCTTTGGCACGCTCACTGAGTGATAAGGCCTGAAGCCCTTCTCTGTCTGCTGCCGCCGCCTAGACTTCTTTTTGTCGTCACTCGCCATGGCACCGAACTTCCGGTTTGGTGCTTGAGAACATGCGTTGCGTCCATGCAGAATGTCTGAGTGACTTTGCAACATTGACCAAATACCACGCCCAAATTACGTCAAGAGTCAGCAACAGCTGGAAAATGCGGACACTATGGGATGGCAATGGAGACAAAACCATTGCAAACCTGTCTTCACACACGGCAAAGTCATCAAACTCAACACTGAAAGCTCTTTCCATCTCTTTCCCGCCTCATCCGGAAGTTGCAGCCGGATCTGCCGTGCCTTCTGTTGCACCTGGCGACTTCCCTGCTCTAAGTCCTGCCGGTCGAAAATCCTTTCAAAATCCAATGGATTGTAATCATCTTAACAGATCTCACCATACCAAATCGCCATGAACCTTGCGATAACTTGATGGATTTTCTATGGTTTTGTGGTAGTTTCCCTATGTTTGGAGCCAGGATTTCGCTCCTGCAAAGCACTCACCACCGTGCTGTCCAAGCGCTCGGAAGCTGAAACGCTTCGGATGGCGATGGCCACCAAGCCACCCTTGGATTCTGGCTCAATGATGGAGCACAACACTTTTAATCGACGCTTGAAAACCATAGGAAAATGGTGGTTTAATGGGATTTAATGGATGATTACCCTCTGGTAATGACTAACATAGCGAACTGGAAAGATCCACCATTTTGAGTGGGAAAATCCACTATCAATCACCATTTTCAATAGCAAACTGTTAAATTACCAGAGGGTAAAATCATGAGCAAAGACAAATCCTCCACAAGGCCAAGTCTCCAATATTATCCTGAAAGGAAGCATGGTCTCCCAAAATCCGCCTTTAGAATTCTTTAGATGTGAGACGATGTGAGTATCTCCTGGAAAGTCCGAGTCGTACTCCACCTGCCTCCCGTCCATCCGCCAAGGGAAACGTGTCAAGCGCTGCAAAAATGAGCCGAGGCAAACGGCTCTGCAGCTCCGCCGCTGCCTGGTATATTCTAACCACATATTGTGGTTTGCATAGACACATGCCCGTCCAAATGTATATTATGTATAGAGTATGCATATGTATATATGTGTGTGTGTACAGATTCATGAGCACGTACAGACCACACATACATATCTATCTATCTACCTACCTATCTACCTATCGATCTATCTAATCGATCTATCAAATCTATCTAATCTATCTAACCTATCTAATCTATCTAATCTAACTAATCTATCTATCTATCTATCTATCTATCCATCCATCCATCCATCCATACCTCCTGACTAAGTTATTCTATCAACCTCCACCTCAACCTCTATTTACTCCATTCTGGAAATTCAGGACCAGTACATGGGCTTCAGCGAAGACCAGGAGAGGCACCGCGGACAGGTAGAGACAGTCAGAGAGTGGGCGCAGACAGCATGGAGCCAGACAGGTGAGCCTGGAAGTCAGCCAGCCGAGTGCCACAGGGATGCAGCTATTTATCTATCTATCTATCTTATCTTATCTGCCTATCTACCTACCTACCTATCTATCTATCAATCTAATCTAATCTAATCTATAAAATCTAATCTAATCTAGTCTAGCCTAACCTAACCTAACCTAACCTATCTATCTATCTATCTAGCTACCCACCTATCTATCTATCTATCTACCTACCTATCTACCTACCTACCTACCTACCTATCTATCTATCTGTCTATCTATCTATCTATCTATCTTATCTATCTTATCTATCTAATCTATCTAACCTATCTATCTAATCTATCTACCTATCTACCTATCTATCTATCCATCCATCCATCTATTTATCTATCTGTCTATCTATCTATCTATCTATCTATCATTCTTATCTATCTATCATTCTTATCTATCTATCATTTTAATTTAATCTATCATTCTTATCTATCATTCTTATCTATCTATCTATCTATCTAATCTAATCTAATCTAATCTAATCTAATCTATCTATCTATCATTCTTATCTATCTATCATTTTAATTTAATCTATCATTCTTATCTATCATTCTTATCTATCTATCTAACTAATCTAACCTAATCTTATCTTATCTGATCTTATCTAATCTTACCTAGTCTTATCTAATCTTATCTGTCTATCTGTCCTATCCTATCCTATCCTATCCTATCCATCTATCTATCATTATCTGTCTATCTATCTATCTGTCTGTCTGTCTGTCTGTCCGTCCGTCCGTCCGTCCGTCCGTCCCTCCCTCCCTCCCTCCCTCCATCCATCCATCCATCCATCCATCTACACACACTAGACAAGAAATGGATCATTGAAGTGATCCGTTGGGAACTGAATCCCCTCACATGCAGTTAGATTAGAAACAATGACCTAAGGTCCGGTTCTTGGCTTAGCCGGTTGCCATTGACGATAAACTGGAAAATTGCGGGTACGTTTGCACGACGACATAGATGGGTCTTCGTTAGCCCGTGCCATCTATGCGTCCACGGGCCCCCTACAGAAGTTTTACATCTGTTCAGATGTCACACACACATATATATAATATACATAGATAGTGTGTGCTTCTGTCCCTCCCTCTCCCTCTCTTATATATATATAATATATGATATGCATGTTACATCAATTCATATGGAGTGGGCTAACCTGAAAGGGATTTGAAACAGCAGCTTTGCACTTCCGATCTCAAAGAATCTGCTCAGACGCCTTCAGCATGGCCGTGGTCCATGCTGGCAGACATGAGCCTGCCACAAAGAATGTAGCCCTACCGACTGGCTTTTGTAAAACCCACAACGGCGAGAAAACCAGTTTTGGTGATGCCATTCATATCCTAAAGTCAACTACCTACAGGTCCATGCAAGTGATTTCCCAACATTGACCAACTGTTTGGGTAGCAAACCGCATCAGGTGTTGGGAACTAGATGGCAAAGCTCCTTGTGATGTTGTCATGGGTACAAAAATTGCCATCATCTGAATTAATTCTGTTGTAGAAGTTTCAGGTTTCATGAAGTTTCGCTCTTATTCGCTGATGCGACTACGTGGCTAATAGACTGGAGCAAATAATTTCACAACCGCAAATGCAATGAGTCTCCACCTTCCCTTACCTGCATCCTTTGCAAATTACAACAACTTTGAATGGCTGTCACGATTGTCGAAGTATAAACCATCATAAACCTAAGGCCCTAAGGATCCAAGTCACCTCATTGCGAGTTTATGTAAATCTTCACCGGTCTTCAAGCCCCGCGCTGAGATTCAGGCCATCAAATTGGCACCAGTTTGCCCTTTGGGCAACGTGCCGTACGCGATGGATCTCATAGTGGCAATGAAAAAATCACCGCCGAATTGAATGAATTGAGCCGTTTCAGGACGGAGATTCTCCATCAATGAATCAAGTGTCAGGGCTAATTCTATAAACTATAAGCCAAATGAGTCAAAATGATAACTGGCTCAGAGATGCTCACAGGTTCACTGGCTCATGCCCCTCTAGCTTTTCCACATTGCTGGATGCCCAACTTTCACAGCATTGGCTGCAAAATGCATATACCTCTCATGGCTGGTCGTTTTCATAATCATCCCACTGCATCTAATTGTCACTGCCTTTTGTTGAGCCATGTTCAGCTTGAGGTACAGAAAAGCTTGTGGGAAAACAGCACAACTGGCACAACTCCCTTTCCATCAGCTCATGATCCCAGACCTCCAATACCAAACGTATTCAACATATTCCATCGCAAAGAAGGCTGTCCTAAAGTGAAGGCGATCACCGTGCAAAGAAATTTCTTGAATCACTGCACCAGTGCTCAGTCGCTCTTCCAAAGATTCCGACCTGGCAGATTGGCTGGGCAAAGGATCAACTGAAACCAAGGGGAACGCTCTTGACTTGGATGCTGGCTGTGTCAAACACATGCATCAAAATGCATATTATATTATAATATGCAGTCTTGATCATTTTTGTGTCATGTGATGTGTATATAATATCCCGTGTAATCATGTCTTGTTGTGATGCTTGTTGATCAAACTTTGCCAGGACAGCGTGAGTTCCAGCCCCTTGCGGACCAACATGCCACCTTTTCCAGCACCACCAATGACCTGATCAAGGATTCAATGGTTATTCCAGTGCAGGTCATCAGGTTCCTTCTCATCCTTGCACTCGTTATCCTCATTCCCTTATGACAAGGTAGAAGGAACTAGTATCATTCCCTCTATAATGACATCAAAAATGACAATTAGAGGCAAATTGTGAGTCCTACTGCGAGGGACTCTGAAGCAACCATTCCCAAAAACACCCATAGAGAGCCACCAGAAGGAGCAGCGCCTCCCATTGTGCCATTGGACATGCGTTAATTATTGCGCGATTTCACGGGAGAAAGCTGCAATTGCTAAGTAAAGCAAACCCAAGTTCTGGCCTACTATGACCTAACAGTACCATAGATAGATCAATAGATAAACAGATTGATAGATTGATAGAGTAGAATAGAATAGAGGAATAAACGCACAAGCTTAATTATGCAATAAAGTTATGGGCTCATATAGATATAGTCAATTATTGATACAGTTGAACATGATTGAACATTCAAATTCTCTGACAATGCTAGTGCCGCTTTGCATATGGTGGTAGTGATTTTCAACAGCGAGTCTATATGCCCTGGCCCAGACTCGACAGCGTCAACGAAAAGGGAAAACAGAATAGAAGCATCATGAAATCTCCCAAAACTGCCGTTCCAACACGAAGTGATCCGCAAGACTTTTCTTTTGCAGCCTTTCAAAGCTTGCTTTTTCATGTTTTTTCGTGCTTTTTCATGCTTTTCTCGCATGGCTTGTGGGGGTGAGCCTGAATAGCTCAGAAAGGATCTTTGATATCTATGATGAAGGACACCGAGATGACAGTGTGACATGGTCATGTAGTCATCCCAGGTCATCCATCATCTTATCTCACAGGCGGTAGCCAGTGCACCGTGGACCTCAGGCAAACGAGGTAAATAATGGGTCACTCTATGCCGATGTAAATGCACTGCAATGGAGGGTGATATGTTTCGATGATTACAGTGTACAGCATGCGTTCATCATCGGCTGTGAGAAAGCAGAACAAAATCAAAACAGAATACCCCAAGTAATAATATCGAAATATGCTAAGTATATGTTGTCATACGCTGCCGTGATCAAAATGATATCGTGAGGCTTTCAGAATCTGCTGCTGCCTCCGCTTTCAGGAACATTCAGGAACAGAAGGGCGGAAATAGTTTGGAGCTTAACGACAGCAATACACAGCAAAAGTGAAATGCCAAAGAAGGGAAAGTCGATTGCCAATCTCATGGATGCTAAGGCAATGCCCCACGTGAGGCAAAGTATCTCAGCCGCCCCCTGTAAATCTACCACGCCTTTCATGCCAAGAGGCAGTATCCGTTCACACACAGACAGCCACACTTCCTCGGCCGGAGGACTTGGGACAAGTTGGCACTGGTGATGTCAAGCGTTGCATGGTGATTGGCGGGATGGATCGGATGTCCTGAATCCATTCAAATCCAGTCGTCCAAACCAAACCGTTGCAACCCAAACATGCCCAAACACTGGCACATGGAAGGTCCGTCACTTCGCTTCCACTCCTCTCAGCAGAATCTTAAGCAACTAGAGTGACTGTGTCTACTGGATCAGCTTCTGCAGCAAATCATTGGAAGCTACAGGTAACCACCCATAGACTGTACCTTACGTTGAAGGTGTTCGGTATCGGTATGCTACGAAAATCTACGAAACACAAGTGGTCACACAGCACGTGCAGCACGTGCAGGTGAACCATGGTGAACTCTTCGCTGAGATCCATTTTGCGCGTCCTCCTCTGTCATGACTTCATCGATCTCGCGCTGCCAATCCTGGAGGTCATCTTGGAACGTGAAAATCGTGAAATGTCATGTCATTGTAATGTCATTGTAATGTCGCTCTGAATGGCATCGCGCTATGTATCAACTCTTCTCAACTCGTATTTTTGAATTTCTTCATCCCTGGCTTCAACCCGCGCAGTGCCACAGGGAACGCCAAACCCTCTCCTCCTGCTCAGGTTTGGCGAAGGTGAAAACAGCAATGCTGAAGAACATCAAGGCTCCAAGTAGTGCCACTTGTGCTAGCCTTGGTATGACATGGGGAGTGGGAAGCTTCGATGAGCCGCCAACTCTCATTCATTTGAAGGTGGAAGGTGGAAGAGGAATTACCAGCCGTTCCACACAGAATGTCATATTGCATACGCGAGCTAGAAGAATGACTCAAAGACGACACTATTTCAACCCTTCGATATCCTTCGATTGAGTGCGGATATGAATGAAGGGTCTAGCCGTCTAGCCCTTGCCAGGTGACCCAGAGGAATCCATCTGCGATGCCCCAGCAGCCTGGACAGCAATGGGTACAGTAACAGATTATGATGCCGGACCCGCATACGTTGCAGTGAATTTGTCATTTGTCATTTCAATCCCAGGTGCAAGGCCTTTGTTTCATCCTGCCAATGGCCAGTCTACTCCCCAAACACCTCTTAGAAGATGTTAGACGCATTTAGAAACCGTGCCTATGCAACTCTGGTGACACCGTTGCGAAGTGATTGGATTGATTTTGATAGGCTCTGCTCGCACCCAGCGGAAGTCACCACACTACACCTGCAAACAAAACCAGTAGGTGTGCATTTGGTCACTGCCAAAGACTCTTCTTTTTACTGACCTCGCGCGGAATCCTTTGGCGCAAGGCATTTCCATTTACGTGGGATCAATCGAAAGAAATCGTAAAGTCACAGGCCTTTCTGCATTGATCAGATTCAGCACTTCTTCGCGTTGCGACCTAGTCACGTCCTTGCCATTCACGTTGGTGATCACGTCTCCCACTCGAACACGACCACTGGCCTCCGCGGGACCAGCTTCATGAGGCCGACCACCGTTAGGGGCACCCTGAACATTCTTGAAGCCTACCACACGCAGAGGCAAGTCTTTGCTCACCGTGAGGCCAATCTGCTGCTCATAGATCACAATATCATATGAGGTGGCAGGCAGCAAACACTCAAAGCCAGCAATGATATTCTGTTTGTTGGGGGAAGTTTCCACGTCAGAAACTTTCTCCATAGCAACAGAGCCATCATTCTGCAAGCAAAGGTACTTGTCCTTGCCGTGTAGCTTTAAAGCAAAGCTGTAGGATTCAGCACCAGCATAAACAGGTTTACAAGTGAAGACAGCTGCATCATCCACACTCTTGCCTGAAACTTGCAAGCAATACCAGTCCAAGAGGCCACCCATCTTTACATACTTTGTCGTCCAACTGGATCGCAGAACAAACGTTTCACCAATGCAGTCACCTGTGCTTGATCCGGGCCGAGGTGTAGTATCTTTCGGCGAACTGGAAGGACCGCCCCAAATTGAAGATCTCTTTGTCTTCTGCTTCTGATCTTGCTCGGCACAACGTTCAACAATAAAGCCCATAGAGTTCCTGTAACCCGTGTGGTTGCTCATCCAGGCCTGCCACATGAGACTCTTGCCGTGGATGTCCACAAAAAGCACATTGGCTCCGAGCTTCAGGTGGACTAAGGAACCTGTTTGTAAATATGGGATTCCTACGCAAGGAACATCTTCCCAAAATTCATTGAGAGGTGGGTAGAGCTGCAAAGAACGCACTGGGCCGCCTGGAGCACTCTCAGCCGTGGCTGCCATAGTGGTTGTCTCAGACATGGTGTGAAGCTCCTCACGGTCACACTCCGAGGCATTGTCTCGACCTTTGTGTTCTTCATCATACTTCCTGGAACGGTTGTAAGAAGCTAATTTTGCACCGCGAGCGGTGTCCATTGCTTTCAACTTCTGGTTCTCCCTCCGCAGCTTGTCATTCTCTTCACGCAAGCGATCCAGCTCCATGTGCAGCTTGGCATTTTCAGCTCCCAAAGCTTGTAACGCTTCCAGAATCTCAGCAGGGGCCTGAGTGGCCTCGCTGGAATTTGCACTTGCTGCACTGGCAGCCTGGCGCTCCTGTGCTTCAAGCTTGGCTTTCAAGGCTTTGACCTGGTTCTCCAATTTGGCCTGTTCTTTGAACTCAGCCAAGCTGACCAAATAGTGTCGTTTACACATCCAACATCTGGCCAGTGCCTGTATCTGAATGGCTGCCTTCCTAGCTCCATCCAGTTGTTTCATCGCCTCACGGCGTCGCCACTGCGCCTGGAGTCTGGCTGCCGCCTTGTGACGCCTCAGCTCCTGGAGCCTCCGCGCCGCCAGCACTGCCCTCCGCCGGGTCTGGCAAAACAACACGACGCGGCGCACCCGGCGGTAGCTGCTCCGCGCCAAATTCATGCGCCAAATGGCCTGGCTCCGACGCACCACATGCTTCATCTGCTCAAAGCGCCTCTGAACCTCGAGGAGTTGAGCTAGAGACAGTACAAACAAGCCAATCAATTCAATTCCAATAAAACATGAATAATTAAACATGATAAGCCCATATATAACTCCAACAAACCCAGAATGAAACATACGATTTGATCATATGATTTGTCCAAACTCATCAAGGAATCCAAAACCGACTGGATTAGGTGACTAGCCCCTCTCTCCGAAAACATGCTATGCTGTGAGTGTCCGGTAGATCATCTTTACCTCCTGAGTATGAGTGGCATCTCTTGGGACATGCTGAAAGTATATAATTGAAAGTAGGTTTGCATCATGTCAGAGCCTGATTGTTCCTCCCACCATGTTTGAACCAAACAAGTGTGGACATAAAAACACATCACCGACAACTCATATCTATATCATTCTGCATGGAAAGATAATGAACGGATGGACGGACGGACGGAAGGACGGATGGACAATGATCGGACAATGATCATGATCATGATAATGACAGATAGGCAGATGGGCGCTGTAAATAGGTAGATTCAGATAGTTAGGCGGCTAGATTGCGACCGGATATCGAAACATGTCCCCGGCAAACTGTCCCTGAAAGAGACTGGCGGCTAGCATCATGATGTCATGACTTGGAGTCATCCCTATTCATTATACGTGACACAGTTTGGGAGCGGCTTCCAGCCTGGTGCCCCCGGATTCGTCGTCCAAGTTCAATGGCTGCAGCTTGAATCAAGAGCGCCCGCTTCTCTTCCAACGACTCCAAAACCCCACCTTTAAAGTACACCCGTGTGCGGCCGACTTGGTAAGTTTCATCTTTACCCAGGAGCGAGGACAAGATCTTCTTGCAGTTCTCTCCATGGTCGGTGCCCATCACAACAGGCATCTTTACAGAAAATTGTAGGAGCCCTTTGCAAATGTAACTTTGAACCAGCAATTGAAAGCGCTGCGCAAATTCTTTGAGAGGCATCCGTGCTGGAAACCCGGCCCGGGAAATGCGAATGGCTTCAATGACCCCTGCGCAGCGTAACTGCTCCACCACCATCTCGTTGTTCACCTCCACTGGGGATTTGTTCTGATTGGGTTTGATACACCTCACATATTGTGTGGTGGTCTGTCCAATGGTCTCCATAAGCTGCGCCAGGGAGATCTTAAACTTGGTGGCCACAGTGTCTCGTTTGGCCTTGGTCTCCTCGGTAAATAGAGAGGCCAGCAACTCGTTTTGAGAGCCTCGCATCAATGCCAGAAGATCCTCAGAAACTGCATCGTTGTTGCGATCCAGCCACCCTTCAGCTGTATACATCACCTCGCCTGCATAGTGACGAATACAAAACTGGAGCTCTCTCAACTTACCCAACTTTGGGGCTGAGAAACTGGGATCTTCCTTATGGACTGATACCAGCTTGGAAACGAAGTTCTGATTTGAGCCCTTGGGTCTGACACACTCTTCATTCAGCATGGCAACAATTCCAAGCTTTGATTCAATCAGAGCCAGGATTGGTGCATTGTCCTTGAATTCGATACGGTCCCATGGAATGCCTTCAGCAGTGTATTCTTGCTGCACAGCCTTGAATACATCGTGTGTGAACTTTTGTTGCAGCTTCTCATTGGCATAGTTGATGCAGAGCTGCTCAAAACGATTGATGGCGAATGACTCGAAGCCAAAGATATCTAGCAAACCTACAAAGCACTTTGCCTGCTCCGGTGGTGCACCTGTAGCTAAACAAATCTGCTCCACTAGCCAGTCAAAAACTCTGGCATAAATCTCTTTTCCAAGGGCATCACGGTTTCCCGTGGCACTCCCTGGCGGAAGTTGCTTCACCACAGACTCATTGCGCATCCGTATGGTGCGGTGGGTCAGCGATCGTTCCAGCTCATTCACGTTCACAGCCAACACCTCGGCAGCCCTGGCAGCAGCTTGTTTCGAGGCATCTGCCACATGTGAAGTTTCTTCACTGCCAGCGAAGTCCAACTGCCCCAACAAAAGAACGCCAGCCAAAGAACGCATCAGTCGCGTCAGTTTGTCCCCCTGAATTGCTAGGAGGGCCAGGGCATCAGTTGTACCCTTGAAGGACTGAGCATCACTTCTACCCTCAATGGTGTCGGTCTTGGAAGCACCCATGCTTGTGTATCTCAAAGTGCCCCTAGTCAAGGAACTATCACCCAAGCCAATGGTTGCACGAGTTTCTGGATCTGCAGCAAGCATCTGATAAAAAATGTGGAAGTTTCTCTCACCTGCGTCCTGGCTAACAACTCTGGATTTCTCCAGCAGATAGGTCCGACACTTGGAGCCTTCCAACCTGCATTCGCTGTTTAGCTGTAGCTCTATGAACTTTCCAAACCGACTGGAGTTATCATTGCGCACTGTTTGCGCATTTCCAAATGACTCCAGCAAGGGGTTTGATTCGACAATGCGACGTATGTGGGATGCATCATCTGAAGAAGCCATAAAAGCCAAATGAGCCATAAGAATCTTCACTGTTTCAGTCTTTCCAGCTCCTGATTCGCCAGACACCAAAATCGTTTGATTGGATTTTGTTTCTTGCAACCCTGAATATGCCAATGACGAGGTGGTATAGACATGAGGGTCAAGCTTGGTGCGGTCATAGACCAAATACTCCTTCCTCATATCATCAGTGTACAATTGTGGAAACCAGCGATATGGATTCATGGCGATCACAATGTCTGCCGTGTAGGTGTAAGGACACGCCTGGGAAAAGAAGCGGCGACGAAGATTGTGCAGCAAGGCGGGCTCATGTAAATGGTCCAAGCTGGTCATGTCTGGAAACCCTTTCTCCGGCATGTCTGCGTTTTGAAAGGGCAGCATACCGCCGTCCATATTTGAAGCATCCACTTCCTTGGGGATGGTGGCTGATGATTCATCTTCCTCCCAGCCTTCCAAGGACACTTGGTATTTGCCACCGCCCAAGGCTGCTTGGACGGTGGCCCTTTGCCAAACCCGCGCATCCTGCACGTAGACTTTAGCACCCTCCATGGCAAAGAGATGCTACAAAAGTGTTCTTTTGGATGTAAAAGGTCTTGGAGGTCTTGGTCAAGGTGTCAAAAAATGTCAAAAAATGCCAAAGTGGCGCTAGGACTGTGATCTGACGTGTGTCAATTATATTCAATTATGGTATGTGCTGGCTTTCCGCGAAAGGGACATAGCCAATGTGGTGCTGCAGTGCCTCTAGGATCCTCTAGGCACCAAGGCTATATACCATGTTCATTATTCATTCGGGCTTGGTTTGGTGGGCTATATGGCATACCGGCTATACCTATGTAAGGCTATCACACGAGGCAGGGAAATAAACAATGTGTGCAAACAAGTTTTGCTGGTTTGCAATGGGGAAATATGTGGACACAAGATCTTCATGGGCTCATTTTCCTTGAGCTGGAGCAGCACTCCCTCCCCTCAGCATGCAACAATTGGAATCTTGATGAAGCTTGATTTCTGTGAACACCTTGGTCGACTTCGTGGTCTTCCCATGCCTTCATTTGCTGTGGCTACGGCTGGTTCCCTGGTGCCTTGGCAACTTGAGGTGCTAAAAGGACTGATGGTGCCAACCTGCAAACGGGAGAGCTATCTTACATAGCTATAGCAGCTATACATGGCGTTCTTTGGCATTGCCTTGGATCATTCTTTGTCACCAAATTCCAAATCCAACTCATGACAACTCTTGTGTTACTTTCCCACCCCCAAACTCCTTGCAATGTGCTTCGGAGGAAAGGCAAAAGCCAAGCTCCTGGAACAAGCTGAAGCAAGCAGGAGAGTCAAAAATCAAGAAATCGTGTTCACAAATTGCTAAACTATCCGATATGAAAGAACAATAAACTGTCAGTGCTGTGCCCAACGCTTTTTTGTTGCTTGCCAAAAGCAAGTGCCAAATGTTGAAAGGTGATACGATGCCAATCATGATCTTTGGGCTACAAATTTGCCAGGAGTGCGAGCAAGCCAAGCAGATCCGGCGGTCATACTTTCAACCCACAGCGCCTCTTTTCAAAAAAAGGAGGGGGTGTCAACATATGTCAACCATTGATAAACATTGACCAATCCAACCGTATTCCACCATTTAATGACAATGCCCTAGGAGATCTTGAGTGTAAGATAGTCCAAGTCCCTGTTGGCCTGAATGGGTCAAGTATGTGGACGTGCATTGATTCCAAAAAACAGGGCCACTGCCCCACGCAGCAAAGCCCGCAAAATGAAAGTATTTCAATTGACTCAGGAACCTCTTGGGTGACTTCGAAGACTACGTGATTGTGGCATGCCGATAGCCATGCTATCTCTCAACAGCCACTGGCCTGCAACTCACCTAGCAGAGCTGCATAGGCAACACCAGCCTGGTTAATTACTGGCCTTGTTTCTTGCACAGCGCCTTTTCGATTTCCTGCATCCAAGTGCGCTTTTGCGTCTCATCATCCGTCACCATGTAGTAGTTCCTCTGCCTCACCACCACACAGAAGCATCGAGGTTGTTGCACATCACCATCGGCACTGTAGACCCTGAAGATGCTGCCGGCAGGAACCAGCTCGGTAGGATCGACATCCCCGCGGTTCTTGAAGGACATGAGCTGCCCGGGCAAAAGCACCACCCACCTGCGACGCCAAATCTTCAAAAAGCGGCTCCTCTTCCAAACCCAGCCTTCAAAAATGCTGTTCGGATGGGTATAGAGCAAGCGTCTCGCCCTTTCAGCCTTTTCATCTGCATCATCACGTGACTCACGAGCTTTTGGGCTTCTGGATCCGTCTCTATCTTCTCTGGCAACTTCCTTGCGCAGATTTCTAGGCAGTTGGGATGCCACGGCCTTGTCCTTCTGGGCAACTGGCACTGGCTCAGGTTCTGGATGTGGCTGCAGTGGTGGTTGCACCTTGGGCATCTTGGGCTGTGCTGGCTGCACCGGTTTGGTTTCTGCCTCAGCCTTGGGTTCATTCACATCCGCCTGAGCCTCTTGCACCTGTGGAGCTGGAGGAGTGACTTCCTTAGTCTCCTGAACTTCTGGGACCTCATCGTCACCCTGGCAGTGCCGCAGTTCCTTTACCATGGCACGCTTCAGCAAGCTTTCTGAATGACCCTCTGCAGGCTTCCAGAGGCGGAAGGTGCCTAGCTCCTTCAGAACTGCTTCGATGGTAGCGCACTTGCTGAGCAAATGCTGCCAACGTGGATCAGTATTGTACACCTCCAATTGCACAGTGTCCACCACTAGCCTCAGGCGGCCAATGCGCTCGCAGCCATTTGCTGCAAACACACGGCTCAAGGCTTGCTTGTCACCACTCACTGCCTGATCAAGGCCATCACGCACTGCCTCCACCCTCTTCATCAGGTCAGCTTCTTTGGCCTTCTTCTGGACCGAGCCCGTGGTCGCTTCATCCACCCGATCTGCTCCATCTTCAATGCTTCGCATGGCAGCGTCGAAGTCACCCTCTTCCAAGGCTGCCTTTGGACGATGCTTCTTGAGGTACACGCCGCAACTCTGCTCCAAGAATTTCCAGAGAGGGTCAAAGTCCGAGTCCTTGAAGCCGTCGAGAGCAAACACATCAGGTTCCCCATCCGTCTCACAGAGCAGCCGCAGCCGACCTTCGAACCATTCAGCCCGCCGAATGCTGCTGGTAGGGTGCACCACTGTGGTACCCGTGCTGCCTCTCCAGCCAACACTGTCCGAGTTGGCACGGAACTGGCCTGCTTCCCCAGCACAAATCACATCGCTGCATCGAAGCATGGCTCCGGCAAAGGATCTACAGCTGGGCGGTCTGAACTTGGGTGAACTTGGGTGAACTTTGGAAAGTGCACAAGTCGGCTTTTGCACTGGCCTACACTCAGTAAGCAGGCTGCAAAGAACAATTCCGAAAACTTAAACTCCACTGTAATTACAGTGCGGGTTGATTGTCACACCACTGCCATCGGACATCATATCATGCAATATCATTCAATTAAATTCAATTAAATGATTCGCAGCCACAACAAACGTCTGAAGCCCCACCCCCGCTCCAAGCGCAGGAAATTGCCAGCACAACGCTGCAAACTCTCCGATGAGCCATGGCACTTGGCGAAGTTGCAGCCATTTGCCGCGATAATGTGCCGGCACTGAACAGTTTTGAAAAGTGCTCCGCTGATCAAACTTTGACCATCTTCGACCATCTTTGATCTGAATCTGATTGAGTCTGAGTGGAAGCTCAGGGTCCTATCAGTCCTATCCTTGATGATCTTGATGGCCTTCGAAATGTCTTGCCTGATGATCCTGGTTTCCTGAGGAGTCCTTCTAAGGTTGATTATTCGTAACTATATATATATATTATATTCGTTGGTTTCACTGACTCCTTTGAGAAATGGTAAGCTCTCTTCATTCTAGCCATGTTCTTTGCTACAGTTCGACTCTTGAATTCTGCACGAAGCAAGTTATACACCAAACAGCATGTGTTGCTGGGTTGCCAGCAAGTTTGTTTTTCGATGAACTCCCAAGCAAATACTACAGCGCTTAATCCCATGCAGCCTTCAGCTTTTTCCACCTGATCAGCTTCTGCGAGCACCTCTGATTGTTGAAACCCAGCGTGCTCTTGCCTTTGGGGTTGAAGAGATTTGAATCATTTTGAATCTCTCGATCTCTCGAAGGAGCCGACTCCGGTCCAGTGATCCGACTCCGCAGTGTCATGCGGTTCGTTGGTCCATGATCTCGAGAGAGAGAGAGAGAGATGTCGCTTATTGTCGTTCACTATTCCGCCTATGCCTTCGCAGCAGGTTCCTTCAACACGAAAACCTCATCATCACCATTCTTGCAAGCCAAGACCTTCAGCTGCACAATGTCTTTGCCATCCTTCTTGCCTCTGACCAGTTCAGGGCGCTTGTATCCATCTCCGAATTCACCAAATTTGGTCATCACATCACTACCCGTTAAGGTCTTCACTGTCCGACCTGTGGGAAGATGGACCACCGAGATCTTGTATTTGTACTCATCTTGTGATGCATCACTGGTCCGCGTGGTTTCCAGAATGAGTTTCCAGCAGCCATCTTCCTGTTCTTTAGTAGATGTAGATGTCATTCACGGAGAGTGATGCCGACTCACTCGAATCGAGAAGGATCTGACTGGACTTGCATCGCTCAGTCTGAGTCTTGAGCAAAGACGCCAGGCAGTCGCAGCGTGTTCCACATGCAGGAGCAACGTGCAACGCAAGAACAGGATCCAAGACTGGAAGGTTCAAGCATCATCAACTTGAAATGGCATGGATGCAAGCTTCCTCCGTTTTTCAGCCAGTCTTCTGTGGCAAAAGCTGTACACAAAGTTCGCCAGAACGGCTGAACTGTCCGCTCAGAAGCTGAGATGAAATTGCATCACCAGCACGCAGCTGTTGACACAAAGTAAAGGTCACTAAGCAAAGATCCACACAGATCCTATCATTCCAGCTTCAGGTTCTTTGAGGCCTGCAGATCCTGCAAAGTTGGTGCACTCAGCATCTTCTGCCTTCAATTGGGCTGATAGCCCAAGTCCAGAAGGAGTTTCTTCAGTTTTTTCTCAGTAGTTTCAGCAGTCCTCGGTGCTACATGATCCACTCCGAGATCTGCACATTGCAGCAACAGAGAACAGCAGTATATTGTTGGCACGAAATCGAACTCTGGATCTGTTCTGCCCTATATATTCAACCTTCGGCTAACAGTGCTTTGAATTAACTGAGCACATGTCCCCAGTGGGTACAGGCAAAGGCGAACTTCGTGCAATTGGGATGCTGGGTGCTGGGGGTACTCCGCCTATGTGCAAGTCAAGCCAATACCCAGCATATCGATGCAGCTGGCACATGCTGGCAGAAGAAGCCAGGACAAGAAAAATACATCAAATCAGTAGCTACTAGCCAAGCTAGGCGCGTGAGCTTTCGCCAGCTCCTGCGGGCATTTTAGCAAAGAAGACCCAAACACTGCTTACAAGACTCCAGCAGCAAACCAAATAAACAAAAAAAAGACTGTCTGAAAAAGAAATATGAAAAAATAAAGTCCCCTCCTACATCTCATTCTCACTCGGCCTCCAAGATCATGTCTGGCGGATTGCTGAAAGAACCACCACCAATCTGAGCAAAGTGGGTGCAGAATGAAAGGTTGTGATTAGTGATTAGATTGTGATTGCATCTGCTGGTTGTGATTAGGTCCTTCCCACTCTCTACTGCCAAGTAGCCAGAGTTAAGCACACTAAGTGACGCTGACGGGATATTGCTGCAAGGTAGGCCCCTGTCACACAACGCCAGAGGGCAACAAAGTAGTTGAAGGAAGTTGACTTCTTTGAGAACCAAAAGCGGGTCCGCCTCCCACAGTCTACAGATCTGCTGTGCTATCCTGTGCCATCCGCTACAAACTTGACTGGCCACGTGGCGATCGTGGCGTTATGCCATGCCTCGGTACGCAGCTCGCAGTGCTGCTCTAGTGAGAAGATTCTCTTCTGACGGCATGGCACCTGGATGTGTTGGCAGTGCTGAAGCGGTTTCAAATGTTTCAATAGCAGTCGATAGCTGATTTTTTGATATTAGCTGCCCGAAGCCACTCTGTCCCTGCCTGGTGAATTCCAGTTCACCGAAGCTGAAAGCACCTTACATTTGGTGTTGCGCCGACGCGGTTTCATCAATGTTTCATCCTGACCCGAATGCTCAGACTGGCACCTGATCCACCAACGGCTTCTCGTCTAAGACTTGAATCCGGTCCCTGAAGGGTGTACGGCCACGGCAAAACACCACCCGCAAAGAACTATGCAATTCCTGAGCTCACTTGATGATTTGGTGAAAAAATGTGGAAAATGGCGGCAAGACTACGTGGCCATATAAACTGCATAGGTTGATTCACAAAACACCGCAAAATCTCACCATCAATACACCCAAACAATTCGTCATGACCCATGTATAGTGACCGTGCAACCCTTAAAAAGATGAAACGATTCGACAACGATTCGACAAGTAAATTCGGTGTAAACTAGGTATATAACCAGGTTTCTATCTTTGTGGTGGTTATTATAGGAACACTTTGCACATACCCAAGCGCCAACGCGGTGGAAACGGGCAGTGCCTCATCAGAATCAGAGTGGATTCCCACCTCTCTGGCTGAGATGCCGCAATAGAAATCACCAATCAATGAAGTATATATATATAATTATATATATATATGGCTGTTTCACCAACTTGGGGTACCATGAAATCATCCAAAATTAGACTGCTTGATCAACTTTGGTCTATTATATATGCTGCATACTGTATTGAAACATATCTTGAAACCCTGGGTTAAGGTACCAAACATGTTCGACGACCCATATGACTGACCATTTGTGACTTCTTGCGGCTGAAGCGCCTGTATTCTTCCTGTTTTTCATCCATCCTGAGAGCCACTAAAATTCTGAAGAATGGTGGAACCGGCACCTGTACTGAAGTCCAAAATATGTGCAATGAAAGCGGTCAAGGCGCTTCTCCTCTGGGAGCGATTCTTCTTCACCAGTGAGGGTTGCTTTTCCATTCACGCAGCTTCCGAAGTAGGCTCTGACGTTCTGCAGCAGGTCAACCTGGTGCCGGCCACAAAGCTCAGGAATCTTTCCGTAAAAATTATGTGAAACAGTAACAGAACTTGCACATGTGTCTGTGCTCCATCGTCCATTGAATTCGATCACTCTAATGTATGTAATTAAAGTACGAGTAGCAACATGTAGAAGTGGCATCGATCACTTCTCGACATTTTTTTTGGCGCTCAGCAGTCCCACTCAGTAACTGCTGCATGCTGCTGCATCATACTGGTTTGAAGCTGAAAAAAAACAATGAAAATAGACGTGAAAAGTCATCAGGACACATATCTAAAGAACCCTCTTAGGAATATTACGACTCACTTTGACTCACTTCAAGGGACTTCAAGGGCTGTACATGCATTGTTGCTGCGCACGTGAAAGGAGCAGCCGAGGAGACTCAAACCAGTACAGTACTGCCAGGCAACCTTTTGAGACTTGGTCTGGCCCCAGCTTGCAGGCGGCTTGCTTCTATCCTTGGTTTGGACAAACTGATCACAGGTGGGACCTCATTATTATACATGACAAAACTCTTTGCTGGGTGTAAACTCCTGATTCTGCTAGTGGCAACCCCACACTCCAAACAAAGCCAAGCCCTGTGAAAGTGAAGAGTCATGATACGATACATGACTTTTTCAATCAAAGGCATGACAGTTGCAACTCTCTTCCCACAGACCATGCGGCATAGAAGGCATGTGCTCGCAGCAAGCTCGCCGCTGGAACGCCAAAGGACGCAGCAGGACCCTGTGGTGTGGTGAGGCCCTACCAATCCTACCAGCAATAAAACTCCACGGCTTTGTGTCTGAAGGTGGGCTACCCCACATCATCATCATTCTCCCACTGAAAATTGCTGTTTAGTTTGGGGAGTTTGGGGAGTTTGGGGAGTTTGGGGAGTTTGGACATGTCAGTTTCCTTGGACTTCGTGTGGCATCTACTTTGGGATGATCCCTTTGGCAAAGTTGCTCGAGTTTTGGGAGTCTACGGATGTTGTGCTGTGTCCAGCGTCCTCCGTTCTTGGACAAACCCATAAGGCCTATTGGATTTTTTCCCAACAAAGGATGTTGGGGGATGAGCCATGGAGTGACAGGCACCTGGGTGGCATCGACGTAGTCCGGAAGGCAGCCTCCGGAAGGATTGTTGGGAATCCAGGATTTCCATGTAGTTCAGCGAAAACATCTGTGGTCAGGACCTGGTCGATCCTGGGTGACGACGGCTTCCAGCTTCCCCATTTGCAACTGAGTGGCTCCAGGCAGTTGAAGTTTGAGGCGATTTGCACCATTGCCTCAACGCCGGGGGCCCTCAAAAACACAGTGTCTGAGTTGAAATTGGCCAAGGTGAACTATTGCAGTCCCACACCAAATTATACAGAAGCTCAACTTGCACTTGCACTCTCAGTGTCTTTTTTGACCCACCTCAATTCTGCCCCTTGGGGGTAGCAATTGGATCCAAAAACCATCGCTTTTTAAAAGCAACGGTCAGGCAGGCCATTTTCTCTGATATTTGGCTCTGCTTAAAGCTGTATGTGACGTTCTGCACGCAAGGCTGCAAGCTCTTGTTGCCACAAGGTCTTCTCTGCACGGCGAGGGCCAAAGGCAAGGGCATATGTAGATTGCAAGCCACCACTGGTGTGCCAGGAGCTGGTTCTCACTACACCTGAGACCATTGGTGAAGTATTGTTCAACTCATTGGTCTTCCCCCTCGGATACCAGGCGCGTGCTGTGGCATAGGCACCTTCGCCCAGATTCCGGTCATGGCGGACATCCAGCAGTTGCACAGCCCTCGCCTTGTCGCAATTCTGCTGCCAATCCCTGTGGGATTTCCAGTTTTTGCATCGCAGAGTGCTTGCCATCCAGCCTCTGAGGCGTTCAGGTCTGAAGACAAAACAGCCTCTGAGCCAAAAAAAACTGCCCACGGTGACAGCCTTTCAAATCTTTCGGGATCATGGTTGAACATGTCCTTCAGTTCGCCAATAGTTCGCCTAAGACCTACTTAATCCAAATTTCTTGTTGGGCTGGGTGCATTTGTCAATATGTCGCATCATCATGCACACGCAGACATATCATACGCACCATAGTCTTCAGCTTCATCGCGAGACTGAGGTTCCGGCTCTGTCCTCTGTTCTAAATTGGGGTTGTAGCTCCCCAATATCACACCATCAATGACTCTCAGCAAAGGCACCCTGGAGCATGCTCAGCTGTGAAGAGGTGTGACTGCAAGGATCCCCAACTGCTGACAATTGAAATATATTGAAATGCTACATGGTGCAAGCACTCACACTGCAACTCAACATGCCCTCCCATCATCTCATCCCAGCTCCTTTCGACTGGTTCATCATCTCTCTGGATGCTGCTCATCTCCTGCTCCAACTCCTGTGAAGCAGCTGGATAGCTACTGTGCAAACGTACATGCGTAGGGTGCATCGGGTACACATACGCGTGTGGATAGGCAACGCGTATAGGCTGCATCGGCATCATATTTCCCCGTGTCACATGCATAATTCTCTGTGAATCATAAACACACATGCGCAGATATGTAGTAGAGAGCGAGCGAGAGAGAGAGAGAGAGAGAGGGAGCCTTGAAAAATACACACTTAAATGGAAACATGTACTGGTCTATAATTAATACAGTGACATGCCAAAACCATCCTTAGATACAGCTGACTATCGGTCCTCAAGGGTTTTGCATTCGAATTTTCCAGCTGACCACTGTTGCCCCGTTGATGAGTTCCTTGGCTCAGCCTGGTTCCCACAACTGCATGAGATCAATCCTCCTGCAATGGGGCAGAGCATGGAAAAACTATGAACATCTGCCAAGCTGCACAAAGTGGGTGCCATTGTCGCCTCTTGCCGAATCGGATTTCAAACGAAAACCTGTTTGTTCACATTCACCAGCCATCAAGAAGATTCTTGGGATTATCATGGGTTAATCACAGGTTTGTTTTCCGGTGCAATTGGAAAGAACACTCTCAAAATCTTGAAAGCATCGGAAAGCAATGCGGTTTGCACCCCTGTTTCGCCTCCCTGCACTGGTTGATGATCTCCCACTCACTGGTCCCGAGAAGCCACCTCAAGTGCCAGTCCAGACTGTTACGGCTGGAAACACAAGGTGACAGCCCCTCAATCACTGTTGTGACTGACGTACGTATTTCCCACGAAGGCCACCAACAATCCTAACCGCATGTTTTCGCTAGAACAAAGCTAAGTGCTTGCCAAAGGCACTTCATCCACTGTGCATCCAGAATCTTGGACATGTCTTTCCTGCTCGCCAGGTCATGGTCATCCCATTGAACAACCTCTACTCTAAACTCTAAACATTTCTGAGCTCTTCCGGTACACCTACTGCGACAACAAAATGCTCTGGAAAGGAAACTCCAATCTCTGCAGCCCAGGTGCTGCACCTTGTCCACTGTCCCAGACAAATATGGTAAAATTACTTGAGCCGAAGCCAAACATCTTGCACAAGTCAGCAACGCATGCTGAAACTGACCACCAAACTGCCATGAAAACTGCCATAATTGCCAATATGTCATACTATGATATACTATGAATGTCACTATGACAAGCAAACCGCTCCCCCTATTGTCACGCTTCTCTCTGGATTCATGCGCACGACTCCCCTCAGGGGCAAAGGCTGAAAGTGCTCCCTGCGTCAGCCTTGAAAACTTGGAACTTGCAAACAGGTCTAACATGGACTTACGGGTCAGGGGCATGTTGCCTTCAAGACACACGTCCCTTGGCCCAGCTTTCACAAGCTATCTGGCCCTCACTTTGCCACACCGAACCATACACACACCATAGCAAGCAAGACCCAGCTGCAGGCGACACCTGCCAGGTGACACCGCGGTGGAGAGTATGTGATGACCTTTTAAACCCTGAAAAGAAATCATCTCGTGCAAAGCATGTTGGAAGATTGGAAGGTTAAGTATATAGCCATACCCAGCCCAACTTGCACACACAACACTATACTCAGGGCTAGTGTCTTCGGCCAACTTGGTTGGTAGTGACACAGGAAATTGGCCAGACTAGACAAGACTGTAGCTGCCTATGATTATGCCACCCCACCTCCAATCGACCTGCCTTAAGTTGAAACTATTAGGAAATCCTCGGAATGATGGTTGATTCTCATTAGGGGTTCCCGTTTCATGGATGATGAGAATCCCCGATATACGAAAGGGCAGTGTGAGCGACAGATTGTCAGCCAACTTTTCGATTGCAAGTGTCCATGTTCACAAGGCACACTCTCGTGGCCAGGAGTGGGTCGCAAATATTGTGACAAAAGGTCGGGTGAATCTGGCAGTAGCTGCCCCGCGGCATCAATCAAACTGAGCTCTGACGGCTGTCCAACAGCATCTGCCACACTAATGTATAGCTGTTGCAATGAAATGTCCTGAGTCTCTACCTCCAGAATGCTGCGACTAGACATGTTGGTGCAGGATACACGTAGCTTATCATCATCCTGAACCATGTTCACAGTCACAACCATTGTCTTCTTGTTCTTCTGCAGGGCAGCATCTAGACGAGCAAGGTCATCCTGATGCCGGTCTGGGGGAAGATGTTGCAAACTGAGACAGGTTACCGAGGTTATCGTATCTGACTCCTCAACCCCTTCGGTCAGGTGCAGCAAACCTCGCTGGGTGATCCGGTTGAAGCTCAAATCCAGCAGCACCAAATTGGAGAATTTCAAAGCGCCAGCGAGCAAGTCAACCCCAGCATCATCAATCTGGTTGTCGCGAAGGTGCAGCTCCCTTAAAGGGATGCCGTTGGAGATTGCAGCCGCCAAGCCTGCAGCGCCGCCATTGGAGATTCGGTTGCATTGAAGATCAAGAGACAGAAGACGGCGATTTGAAGCCAATCCTTGTGCCAATAATTTCGCGCCCTCATCTGCCAACGAATTTTGTCCCAAATCCAGCTTGGTTAAATGTGCATTGGCTGTCAAGAGGACAGCCAAGTCAACAGCTCCGCCTGGACCAATCCTGTTTCTCGTGATCGATAATGATGATAATGTCTGCAAACGTCGATTTTTCTGAAGTGCTTCGGCCAAAAGCCCAGCTCCCAGATCCCCGATGTGATTATCATTCAGTCGTAAGGTGATGACCGAGGAATTCTGGCCTAAAGCTAAGGCGACTTGCATAGATCCGTGGTCACCAATTTGGTTCTCACAGGCATGCAAAGTGGTACACTGGTCCTCTTTTAGGGCCTTGACCAGCTCACTCAAACTATAGGCAGCAGCTTCCATGGAGATGAAACTTTGGGAAGGAGGGCAGGAATGAGGGGCGCTGATTTATTGTGGAGTCTCAAGTGAGTTCTGATTGCATCTTACTGTACTGATTCTGCTTAAGCACCCTTTGTCAAACTGAAAATGTACCAATGTTCTGGTGCTGTTTGATTGCGGAAACTGACCGAGTTCTGTAGCTGCAAACCTATGGATTCATCATGATTCATCTGACATCATCTGACCATCTAGGAGCTCAAGGAGGCACCAATGATCTAAGACTTCTGGGGGCATTCCCACGCTGCCTTGGCACCCGGCGGTGTCAATCACCTCGGTCTAGGTGCCAATGGGATCTGGAAATAGGTACAGGAGCTCCCAATCCTATGGTGTATCATGGTTTATCATGGTTCATCATCATGTGTCCCATTGCATGACCATATGTATGCCATATGTTGATTATGTAGGGATATAAATGGTATATTATTAGGATATATTGGGGGCAAACACCATTTTCAGATATTTTCAGACCAACCCAGATAGATCTCAGCAAAACTGCTTCCGGTATGCCAAGCAGCTGAGGATTCATCAGATACATTCCTGATGATGTGGCTATGGGTCAAAACCAGGACACCCTAGTGAACCCCAAATTAGCTGTTAAATGGATGTTCATCCCAAACATGGTATGTGATGGTATGTGACTTTTTGACAGTTTAGGTTTTGCCCCATTCCCATGTCGCCACCTGAAGAATCCTCAGGATATGTCAGGATATCGGCTTGTCTGAAAATAGAGTACGCCGAATTTCACTGCTCATTTCCCCAATCAAAATAGTAACATAAACTCACTTAGAACATCATGTTGTTCCAAATGAAAAACCTTACGCTTGCCTCAAGAAACAGTAATGTTGATGTTCTAGGTGATTACTTAGAAGGTCAAGTCTTGATCCTTCTACGCTAAGAACATCTAGAGACATTAAATGAAATGTTTTTCTAGGAAAATGCGAAAATATGCAAGTAAAAATGGAGGTTCCATGGGTTTCTTATGGTCTCTTAGACATATTGAGATGTATCAACATAAATCTGATCATGACTAAATATCTCCCCTCGCATTTAAGTTAAATCAATTTGGGTATTCGGATGTATTCGGGACATACACTCAGAACCTATGGATGACCTGGTGCATGTTCCAAGTGTACACTTAGAGGTGCAGTTGGAACATGGGCTTCCGGATGTTCTTGTCGTGTTCTTCGCGGCTACGCATTTAGAAATATGTTCCGGTAAATCAGCAAACACATGGTTCCAAATGATTCTTAAATCGTCAAGTTGTATGTCTGTGACACACCATTTTCAGTACCCAGCCAAGCGAAACATTGTGAAACACTCCTGGCCAAGCGATGCCAAGCGACCGATCCAAAGTCGTGCCCAACATCACCACGCAACCAGGGCAGCTGGTCGTTGCGATGCCAGTTGTGGGAGCGAAGGCCCAGCAGGGAAGTGTTGCTTCAGCCTCCATCAGCTTCTCCAAGAGTGAAAAAGAGTAAATTAACAAATGAATGTAAATGACAGTAAGTGTAAATTGACACGATCCTTAAGATTCTAGAAATCGAGGTCTTGATATGTGTTTGTTCAACTTCTGGGTTCTGTGAAATATGTCCACATCATCCGTAAGCAACAAAAGGTGATTCGCCTGCAATGCAGCCAAGGTGACCGTGCTTGGTGGAGCCGTGCTCGTTGTGAGCCTGACAATTGGCAGGGACCAGGGCCAATGGACTGCGCAGGGTTCCACAAATACTGCAACAGCAATACCTGAAGCATATGAAACATGTTGATATATGTTGATATGATTTTTATGGATGTTTTATATAACCCAACAGTATAGAAACCATCACAGTTGGCTCAAATGTTCAACATTTTTGGGATTAGTTGAGATCATGGTGCCAAGAGAATGTCAAGGCTCCAAAAGCCTGCTGGAGAAATTTGTCAAGCCGGTGATCGAGGTGGTGACTTCTTCAGACGTGGCTCCTGGGTGGGGACACGTGGGTGAGGACAAAGGTTTCAAGAAATATCTGCTACAGCTACAAGTACTACACACTGAAGACCAAAACAAAGATTTGCAAAGATACAGAGCTTCAAAAGGCCTGAAGTCTTGATAACAAATCGCAGAGTTCGAGGCAAATGGATGCAAATGCAGCTGCAGGGAGTTGCAGGCCGATTTTCCGCACCAGGGCTGGTCATGAAATCTTGAAGCAACGGCAGGCCTGAGGGTCTAAGGGTATTTCCTAATGCTCTCACCTCAGCAGATGGCAGGAGCGCACGATGCAATCTTCGGCCACAGCTCTGCGCATTCCTTGGCGACGGGGCCTTGGATAGCCGATCCCTTCATCTCACCTTTGTCGTTGACGATGACCCCGGCATTGTCCTCGAAGTAGACGAAGACGCCTTCACGGCGACGCCAGGCTTTCTTCTGGCGAATCACCACACCTTTGAGGACCTTCTTTCGAAGCTCCGGCTTTCCCTTTTTCACGCTGCAAAGCACCAAATCCCCGGGAGAGCAATTGGGCAGCTTGTTCAAGCGACCGCCAATGCCGATCACGGCAAAGATGTAGAGATTCTTGGCACCGCTGTTGTCAGCACAGTTCAGCAGAGATGCCACACTGCAACCTTGCGCCATGCGCATCTTGCATTGCTTGGCGGCTCTACCCTTCTTCATTTCGTCTACAGCTACCTGCCCAATCTACGTTTTAGCACAGCCCTTGGAGCCAAAAATCAGCAGGCAAAATGTGATCGAATGCATGATCTTAAAATATCTTAAAATTGCAGCGCGTGATCCAAATGCCAAAACAGTTCACAGAATAGTGTGAAGCATGATGAAGCACGATGAAGCATGATGAAGCATATGATATTGCGCCCCATGTGCATGCCAAGTCCTTCCGGAGGTGCAGTGCTAGTTGTCATAGTTGTGCACCTGAAGGGTGGCATGGCAGAGTTGCAGATGGTGCGAAACATGTCAAATCACAGAATCAAAACTGGATCGAATGATCATTTAAACACTATTTAAAGTGTTTGCTCCACTGAGGACAGCAATTTGCTGCAGTTCAGGGGCTGAGGCTGGGGATCAAGAGGGCAAGCATCACTGCAATCCTGAGTAAACAGGCGCTATGGCAGACACGCTTCTCATCACCCATGAGTGCCCAGGTATTGACCGATTCGTACCAGGGTCACGCTAGGGAAAAACATAGCATTGTCCCATGTTCGGACTTGGACGGATAGTGCAAACGATACTTCTGGCCATTTCTGGCCCCAGCAACCCAGTCCCATCGTTCCAGGGCCAAGCGACAATTGTGCCATCGCAATCCATATCTATTGCAGCAAGATTTTGGTTGCAGCCTGTGACAGTAGCTGGCGGTGGGCTACGCACACCTCCTCCACACGCACCTCAGAGGCAACGCGCAACTCGCAGCCGTCAGTGGGTGTTTGAAAACTGTGGAGCCACGGCGGAGCTGGAATATGCTGCAATGACAAGCTGTTCAGCCAAGCCACAACAAATGGTGGAAACATCAGCGCCTCCAAAGCTGTAGTCACTGAAGGCTCCCCAAGATGACCTCCAACCTGGGAGCAGCGAAGCTTAGCGGCTCAACGAAACTTTGGGATTTCTGATCCATGACATGGCGCCATGATCTTTTTCGTTCGCTCGTTACCTCTTTTTCCTTCCAGTGAGACCCAGTACAAGTTTTCTCTGTCTATCTGATAATCCTGTCAGTTCATGGTTTTCACCAGCAAATCTCCTTGCGTCTGTTTGTCCATCTTTATGCTAAACGGAACGCGCACGCAGGTGTCCAGTAGTCGCCTTCCGATGTTTCCCCCCGCCGTGCCTGAACCGTATGAGCCATCTGCGTTACACCAGCTCTTTTCCTCGTATTCTTGGCAACCTGAGCTAGATGGATAGCTACTGTATGGCACATGACATCTGCATGTCTGTCTGGCTTGCGCAAGGGCCTTCAGAAGCTGATTGGTAGCCTGCCCACACCGCGTTGAATGGTTTGACGTTGAAGTCAGGTCACGTGCTCCATCTTTGTCCCTCCATTCTGACTTCAAATCAGAGCATGACGCCAAAGGGTTTCTGCAGAAGGTGTCCTGGCAGGAGATGACAAAAAGGGATTGCACGCCATATTCTGTCGGGTACAGTTTGATCTCACGAATTCAAGTGCACACCATCACAATGTCACAAGAGAAATTAATTTACAGCCATGTTAACTTTGTTAAATGGATTTGATTTGGAAGCCGGTCTTCATCAGAGAACTTCCAGGTCTTTCCAATGGATGGATGAATGGATGTAAAGGAACCTAAAACCTCAGCGGACAAACATCCACTAAAATAAATTCTACCAGATGCATGCAGTATCATGCAGTACTCTTGAAGAAGAAGAGACACTCAGTACCTGCAGTAAGCCGACAAGATCAAGAAAAGCCGATAGCACGCGAAGACCCAACAAGGCAAGAAATGAAGAAACTTCCAAACGATAGAGATATGATATATAATATACAATCGCTTCCCCCTATACTATTGAATACACCCAAAAACCCTGACTTGGTACTGGCCCCATTCATTTTGGGCCACCTGCGGGGTTTACGGCACTTATGGCATTTAATATAAGGGCATTGGTATTATGATGTATTATGTATATTTATATATCATGCTGCGAGAGAAGTGTCTCAATCTCCGTCCTGCTGACGATGTAAGCACCTACTAACTTCTACACATATTTAGATCTCTGCTGGACAAATTTAGCAACAAATGGCAAGCCAATCTTTGCCATGGCCGTGTCACATTCACCCCGCTGCAACATTTCGGGCGTTTTCGGGCAGTCCCAGTCGTAGGATCGTCCATCCATCCCAGCGCATCGCAGTGGTCTTCTCCTGGCTTTCCCCACCATGGCCCAATGGCTGAGGCTCGGCTGAGAAAGTGCTGGGATCGGCCTGACTCCAGCGCCAAGGTTGCCACAATCTTCGACCAAACAAACGCCCCAGTCACCTGGCGAAACGCCACTGGTGAAACTTCCAGATTCCGGTTGCTTCTGCCAACCAAATTTCAAGGATGCGGAACTTTCCCAACCACCAAACCTCCGGCCACTGTGAAGTGAAAACGATCCTCACAAGCAATGGATTCCACGGATGCATTTGTCAAAGCAAAAACTCAGCAAACCCCAATTCCCCAGTGTCCTGAACAATCCGCACATCCTGTTGACTTCTCCATAAGCCGCTATCATCTTGAGCTTTGACGTGGACCAAGCCACTGTGTCCAATGTTGCTCCTGACCTGAATCAGAACTGCACCATGGCTCTCAGCAGCCAAGCTTTGGTCAGTGTGGTGCAAGCGTGCTCCATTCATTAGCATCATGTTTCTCCAACTGTGAGTCCTTCTTTGCCTGTTTGAAATGTCCCTCAAACCTTTAGTAATTTCTTATCGTGGAATATGTTCTGCATCTTTTTGCGATGTTGTGATTGCCCTGCCACAACCCCATGATGCGACCAGCACTCTCAGCATTTTCCCACAAATCTGGCTGGGCTTTCCCAGGGGCTAAAATAATATAGCCTGCCCCTTCCGCTGGGGCAGATAGCGCACTAACACGGGTTTGTGACACATCCTGCTTCGTGTTGATGAGCTCTTGTTGTAGCAAATGTTTATATTTTTGAACGGTTTGACTGGTTTGACGGTTTGACCAAATGAAAATCAAATTTATGCATAGGAGTACCTGGCTGAGAGGATTACACTGCGCTTTTAGAACTTGAATCAGGGCCTGCAAAGGAAGCAATCTTTGGGGATCATTCGTGGCAATAAGGCCCAAATCCAGATCTTTACACGCGGCAGGGAACAGGGTGTTTTGCCCTCTTCCTCTTGCAAAGTGGCGCGCAGCATCTCCCAACCACTGGTACGCCTCAATTAATAAGATCAAGAGCAACACGGCGGAAACAGTCACAGATTGCAATGCCGGGGCAGGCCATTGCGTGAAACAGCTGAACTTTCAGTAATGACAGCAACCTTGAGTTGAATCACGTGCTACGTCTATGTGGGATGGCATAGTGACAAAGTTTCCATGGGCACTGCTGTCACAAAGCGTTCGGGACCTAAACTGTTGTTGGAAACATCGATGCGCCGATGCTCGGCCGGATATGCTGTCGGTCAGCTCTCGCCGGCTTGAAGTTTTCTCGATTTTCTAGGCCTCAAGCACGCGTGACATGAACATCAAGTCCTCAAAATGGTCGAAAATACTTGGCAACCCTCTGGGATCAAGGCTGGCAACCAGATCGACAAAAGTATATAAAGTATATACACACACGCATATTATATATATAAGCATAATTCATAATATTCAATTATATTCACTACCCTTTTAGCGGGAGGGGACCATACCCAAATGTAAGATACATTTTTCAATATATTTTGGGGAGGGCCTTGAAATTTGAGTTTACATTTTTCAAGGTATTTTTTATACACCACCCCGCAAAAAACGACGCCCAGAGGGATGTTCAGAAACCAATTATTTCATTATATATCTAAAACAAGGGATCGGGGGTAGCAAACAACGTATCTTACCTTTGGGCGTGGTCCCCTTGAAACGTGGCTGCAAAAGTGGGGTGAATATGCACGTGTATATATATATATATTTCTATATATCTATATCTATCTATCTATCTAGCTATCTATCTATCTATATCTCTCTACATATATATATATACATACACATATACATACACATACACATATACATATACATACATATACATATACATATACATATGATACACACATACAAACACACACACATACACATACATACACACACATACACACATACATACAGACGTACGTACATACATACATACATACAGAGAGACATGCATACATACATTGATTTCATACATTCAAACACTCATTACATGCATTCCTTACATTCATTACATACATTCATTACATTCATTACATTCATTACATTCATTACATACATACATACATACATACATGCATGCATGCATACATACATACATACATTACATACATACATGCATACATACATACATACATGCATGCATAATTACATTACATTACATTAAATTACATTACATACATACATCCATACATACATACATTACATACATACATACATACATACTTACTTACTTACTTACATTGCATTACATTACATTGCATTACATTACATTACATAACATACATACATTACATACATACATACATACATACATAATTACATTACATTACATTACATTGCATTACATTACATTACATTACATTACATACATTACAGACCTTTTATACCTACATACATTACATACATTACATACATTACATACATACATTACATACATACATTACATACATACATACATACATTACATACATACATACATACTTACTTACATTACATTGCATTACATTGCATTACATTTCATTACATTACATTACATTTCATTACATTACATACATACATACATTACATACATTACATACATACATACATACATACACATACATACATACATACATACATACATACACACATACATACATACATACATACATAATTACATTACATTACATTACATTAAATTACATTACATACATACATACATACATTACATACATACATACATACGTACATAGACACATACATACATACATACATACATGCACACACATACATACATACATACATGCATGAATGCATGCATGCATACATACATACATACATACATACATTACATCCATCCATCCATCCATCCACCCATACATATACACACACATACACACACATATACATCCATACATACATACATACATATACATACATACATAGATACATACATACATACCTACCTACATACATACATACATTACAGTCATAACAAAACTAAACAAAACATAACAAAACACAACATAACATAACATAACATAACAATACATTACATTTCATTACATTACAATACATTACATTACATACATTACATTACATTTTCACATTACGTTACGTTACATTACAGTACTTACATACATACATATATCACTTCAAAAAAACATTACATACGTTACATACCGCACATAGAAACATACATTACATTACATTACATTACGTTACGTTATGTTACGTTACACTACATTGCATTGCATTGCATTGCATTACATTACATTACGCACGTACATACATACATACATGCATGCATGCATGCATACTTACATACATACATACATTAATTACATGCATGCATGCATGCATGCATACATACATACATACATACATACATTGCATGCATACATACATTACATTACATTACATTACGTTACGTTACATTACATTACATTACAATACAATACAATACAATACAATACATACATACATTACATACATACATTACATACATAACATACATACATGCATACATTCATCGCTACATACATGCATACATACATGCATACATACATTGCATTACATCCATCCATCCATTCATACACACATACCTACATTCCTACATACCTACATACCTACACACCTACATACCTACATACCTACATACCTACATACCTACATACCTACATACCTACATACCTACATACCTACATACATTACATTACATTACATTACATTACATTACATTACATTACATTACATTACATTACATTACATTACATTACATACGTTACATACATTACAGATGCATGGCATGCATACATACAAACATACATTGGAGTAAGCCTGGGAGTATAAACACTTCCCAGAAACAAGGCCCTGGCCAAGCAGCTGGCCGAACCCCCGGCAAACTAGGCGGCAACATGCCGGTCAAGTTAGCAAAAATGCGAGGCAAAAAAGAGCAGCAAACCGAGTAGAAATGTTGCCTCAAAAGGCACAACCTGGCACCAACATAAATTATTTATCATTATTTGCTTCCAAGTTGGGATGCGCCTGGCATTACTTCAATAGTTCACAGCCGGACACCAGGTGCATACCCGGTTTTCATTATCGCTTTTAGCGCCTGCCAAGCTGACGGTTAAAGGTCTCCAGCGTCCAGCGCCGCACATTGGACTGGACAAGTTGGTTGCGTGGACCTTGGTTTCACAGCAAAGCTGCTCAAGCAGCCGCCGCCCCTCAGGCAAGCAGTGCTGAGCTGACAATTCAGCTGAAAACTGTTTTGGAAAAAGAACAGTCTAGTTGTGACGGGCCTTGCGTTGGAGACGGCGGGGGCTTGGCAGAAACTTGACAATAAGAACTTGACGTTAAACCGTTAAACCTGACGGCTTCGCACTAACCTTGCAGAAGCCCGAGGCTGGTGGAAACCCGCCGGGAACCGACCAAAACCCGGCAAAACCTGGCAGAACCCGGCGGAAACTTGGCGGAAACCTGGTGGGAAAAAAGTAAGTTGAAGGGGGGGTGGTTGGGAGTATAATTTTTGGCATGGTTTATACTCCCAACCCCCCCCTTCAACTTACTTTTTTTCCGCCGGGTTCCGCCAAGTTTCCGCCAGGTTCCGCCGGGTTCTGCCGGGTTCCTCTGCCAGGTTCCGCCGGGTTCCGCTGGGTTCCGCCGCTACGCCGGGTTCCACTAGGTTCCGATGGGTTCCAGGCTTTCGCCAGGTCAGTTGTGCCAGGTTTTGCCGGGTTTCCGCCAACAAGGTTCCCGCTCCCACCCCCCCCTTCAATTTATTGCTAGGATTGCGCCAAGTTCTTGCCAAGCGTCTGCCAAGGTTGCGGGGTAGCGGATCTTTTTTGCTGGGACCGTATGCAGAAGGGGATGGAATACTGATTTTCATTGTTCAGCTTTTCCACATTGAAACGTGCCAACATGTACCAACTTTCATTGACCTTTGCATTGAACACACTTGCCGTTGAAAATGCCCTTATATTTGGCTTCTCCAGAACTAGCTCGCGCGCTTTGCCGGGCCTCTTGCCTGCGCATTTGCCCCTAATTTTGCTTGTCCATCACTGCTTCGGACGCTCTGCCATACGACTTGCCGGCACAAATGCCATGGCTTTTCTTTTCCACAGAGTTAACCACAGGTTCTGCCGCTAAGTTTGCTGGCCACAAAAACAAAGAAATCGGGTTTCTTGAGTTGCGCCGGCCCTTCTGCCGGTGGTTTTACCATCCCTTTAGCCACAGTTTTGGGTCAGTTTGGCCCAAAAATTAATTATGAGTGTTTTTACTACCTCACTACTTTCAATACATACATGCATTACATACATACATACATACATACATACATACATAATTACATTACATTACATTAAATTACATTACATTACATTACATTACATTACATTACATTACATACATACATACATACATACATACTATTTACATTACATTACATTACATTACTTTACATTACATTACATTACATACATACATTACATACATTACATACATTACATACATTACATACATTACATACATTACATACATTACATTCATTACATACATTACATACATTACATACATTACATACATTACATACATTACATACATTACATACATTACATACATTACATACATTACATACATTACATACATTACATACATTACATACATTACATACATTACATACATTACATACATTACATACATTACATACATTACATACATTACATACATTACATACATTACATACATTACATACATTACATACATTACATACATTACATACATTACATACACACATACATACATAGATACATACATACATACATACATACATTCATACATTCATACATTCATACATTCATACATTCATACATTCATTACATTCATTACATTCATTACATTCATTACATTCATTACATTCATTACATACATTGATTGCATGCGTAACAAAACATAACGTAGCAAAACATACCATACAATACCATGCCATAAATACATACACACATACCTACATACATACATACATACATACATACATACATACATGGATGCATGCATGCATGCATACATTGCATTGCGTTGCATTGCATTGCGTTGCGTTGCGTTGCGTTGCATTGCAATACATTACATTGCATACATCCGATATTTCCAAGTGCGTTTCGACTGCGCAAGCTCGCACAAAACGTAGGCCTAAGTCTTGGCCTGCGGCATTTTACGTTCTAATTCTCACAAAAACTGCCTCTTCTGACATGTCCATGTGCATTTCGACTGCGCGGGCTCGCACAAAACGTAGGTCTACGTCTTGGCCTGCGGCATTTTACCTGTAAAATCTCGCATAAAAAGGCTCTTGTGACATCCTTAACTCCTCAAGCTCCTTGTCAGTCTTTCTTGACATTGGAGCCTGCTGCTTGCAGTCGACATGTCTCCGAACAGTGGTACAACAAAGCCAAGCCCAGTGAGAACAAATGGAAGTTGTGCAAACAACATCAATCCAACGACTCATTCTTCCAAAGTCAAAAAATGCCACATTGGCTCCAGGTCAAGCACGCGTTGTCCTCATGGACATGGGTTGCAACAGGATGCAGTCCACTCCACCCTTTCCACAGGGCAAGACAGCCCCAAAAGCACAAGCATGTCGCATGAGCAGCCATCACTTGAGTAGCCGTGTTGCCCCAACCAGGCCAGTCAATCCATTTTGGCTTGAAATCCAAAATGTCACAAAGGTCACAAAGTCAGACATGTCTGTGTCACAACAAAGTTTCATCACCGACCCTGCCAACCTTGAATGAACTAAATACAATCTAAATACAAATTCATATTCACCACCCCTTCCTCTCTGACAGCACCCCGGAATCCCAGCCTCAGAAGAACTAGTGCTGGGCCGCTGTTTTGGAACCACAGACTGCACCAGCCCCGGCTGTGGCTGCTGTGGCTGCGGCTGGAGAATACCAGAGGCTCTCGCCTGACACATGGCACGCACGTCAGAAGGACCAACCGCGTGTGCTGTACAAGTTGCTCTGCCAGGCCTTGTTTTCCAAGTACACCTTAGCGTCAGAGACAAAAAGCCGAAAAAGCCGTGGAGGTTGAAAGTTTGGTGAAAATGAGCAGATCGGAAGTCGATGGCAAAGAATGGCAAAGACGTAGCACTGACTTACAGCGTCGTTTCCTCTTTGAAGATTTCTTTCTTCTGAAATATGCTGAGTGGCATCTGCCAGCACCCATAGGGATCCTACTGACACAAATTGAGGCCGCTATGTATACACAACATACTGAATCTGTCCGAGGGCCTAATGTGTTGATTGCTCTCTTGGTGAAATCGGACTTGGCCAGGAAGGTCCCAAACAAATCCACTACCAAGACTCCCAAGCGCAACTTCATCCAACTCCCCCCCGCTCTTCATCCAAGCCACCGCCATGTCGCCACACATCTCGTGCAAGGCGTGCCCAGCGTCAATGACCGAGCTTGGTGCCACAAAGGATGGACAGCGTCGGTTCTGTACAACACAATGCCTGGTTTGTGCCGCCAAAGCCGAGAACGCCGCCCAGAGATCCTTCAGCGTGCAAAATTCACCGGATCGATGGGCGAGGCCAAAGCTTTGGTTCAAGATGTTCATGTATGTTCATGATTTTGTATGGGCTCGTCTACAAGAAACACCCTGTTTAAAACGATATTTAACCTAAACCTTTATACTTATATCTAGATTGATGGCCAGCTCAAAGGAAAATGCACAAGCAACACCATTTTTTTGCACTACAGCCAGCAGATGTTCTGGGCTTTATCTGACAAAAAATTGACAAAGGGCAGTAGAAAACTGGGAACCCCTACCGTGGCCGCGGACCACTGGGTCGAAGATTGGGGATCTTCCCTGGTCGACGCGTTGGTCTCTGCCGCTGCCTCGCTCCCATGCTCATCATCCGCCTCAGGAAGCGGCACTTCAGCAAAGCACTGCCGCATTACAGGGCTGCCTTTCTTAACCACGTAATTTTTCCAGGATCCTCTAGCCACGTAATTCACACAGCTTCGCCACAAGGGGCTGCAACTGAGTTGGTTCAGGTCAAAGTAGTGTGGTGCTCACAACAGCTAAAACACGGACTTGCCAGTTGTTGGGAAGGATGGTGAAGTAAACAATCCATTCTCGGAGCGCGAGCTGGCAGCAGCTAATCCTAGCCCTGCCATCACACCGCACAGCTACCCAACTGATTCTAGTACCAAAAATCACAAAGTACAGTAACATCAGAACTATGTCCTTCTTCAGAGGTCTGGAACGGAAATATGGAACGCAAGTATGGGTCGTACCCCTAAAAAAGCTTAGAACAAAGGTATGGAACGGGGGCATGACTCGATATGAATCGTGTGGGGTGAGGGGCCATGTTCCGTACAAGTTGACTCGCGCGCAAGTCATCTACACCTTCGACCTGTTCGACCTGTGACCTCTGTGGCATTCTGTGGCTATTTGCAGCAGTTTGCAACCAATTTGTAGCATGCCACATGCGGGAGCCACATGCTACCTTCTTATTACCTTGTGCTACACGCACACTAGATTAGAATGGATCATTATATGATCCGGCAGGAACTGAATCCTGAAACGTGCAAACCAGCCTAGATCACCGTGAAGAAAAATCATAATGTTGGGGTACTTGGCTTAGCCCCTCGCCATTCTCACGCAATGATTGCAAAATAATGAAAAGGACAGCTTGTTCAACAGTTCAAACAGACTTCTGCAGGTACACATCAGGACGTCTCCCGATGCATCCCAGAGAATGTGGGCGTCTTCGTTGGCAGTGATCCCACAGACTCTGTCACTGCCCCCTGCACTAGGTTTAAAAAGGGAGAGGACAGAAGGAAAAAAGAGAGAAGTTTTACATCTATTAAGATGTTACACACACACACACACTTGCTCAGAAACAACATTGCGAATTTTGTTGTGGAGCGCATCAAACGTGCACAAAACAATCCCTTACAAACTGCCAGGAAAAAATTAGTTGATCCAACGTGAATTTCTGTGCGAAGTAAACTTTCAGAGGAAGGTTCTGATGTAGCGAAGTCCAAAATAAAAATAATGCCAGATTGCGACAACAGTGCAGTAGACAACCCTCAAGTGGAAAAATATCGACGTGCCGGTTCTTGGCTTGGCCGGTTGCCATTGACGGAAATGAAAAATTGGTGCAGGTACGCAGATTGGCGTCCCAATCTGTATCACCAGATCAAATGGGTGTCTTCGTTGGTAGCGGTCCCAAATGATCTGCCGCTACCCCCTGCAAGTACGAAGTAAAATTGAACCAAGTCAAAGCTATAGGAAGTTTTACATCTTTTCAGATGTTCCACACACACGCCTCGCTGCCGCGAGGCTTTTTTCCAATTCATCCACCTTGAGAGCTCTTATCCGTTCCCTGAAGCGGAAATGGCTTCAAAATACAGGGAAGAAACATCGAATGAATTAATCCTAAAACTCACAGGCTGTCATCAGGTAATGCCTCCATGCGTCGTGCTTGGATAGACAAAGTCCTTGTGGATTCCGCCAAGTGGCTAGCAAGATGAGCCAAGTCTGCCGCCGAGAAGATCTGAACTGGGTGTCGGGAAAGATCTCCTTCAGGATCCTCCAGACGTTCGAGTATGGCCATGTTGGCCTCCCTGTCATTGTTGAGGATGTTCCAGAAGAACGTTGCCAGTTGATGAATCTGGACAGGAGGTGGATTGATGTCAGCATTGGCAATGAGAGAATCGGTGTCATCCATGACGGATTCATGTGCCGATGTAGGGCTTTCTGGACCGTCAGCTTGATGGGGACGCCAGTTACCATATGGAGAGGTCTCGGGGATCTGAAAGTAGCGTCGCCAGTAGTTGGCGAGCTGGGAGGATTGATCCCATGAATCAATCCAGCCATTCTGTCCGGCACGAACATGGCCGATGATGCCGTTGAAAAAATATTCAGGCTGCCTATTGTGGTGGCGGCCACGTCGATCCACTTCCGTCACCATAAGTCGTCGAAGCGCCGGTTGATCGTCATCTTCTGGAGGTGATTGGACTTCCACAAAATAGTATGCATGGAGCTGACGTCGGACTTCTTCCATCTCTTGCTGGAGTGGATATGATTCTCCTGTAGGAGTAGGTAGAATTGGAGCTTGATGATCGGCAGGAGATGGTATGGGTGTGGCAAGATTTGCCGAAGAGTACCCATAGTGGGTTGTGTACTCGCCTGATGCATTAGGTGAGAGGGAACTTCCAGCTTGGGGAGCATTGTCGCCACGGGGCGGCTGCAATAGATCCGAAGGAGCAGCAGTGCTACTGGATTGGCCATGACTGCGGGATCTCCATGAAACACGACGTGGCTTGCTCATGGATGAAGAAGGACGCGTGAGACCGGCAAATGAGGAATCACGCTTGGTTATGGTACAGCTGGAGCCAAGAGCTAAAGACTTTAACAGGTAAAAAACAACAAGAAGCAAAAGCAAACCACACAAGCGAACGGGAGAGTCCCATGTCCCTACATGTAAGAGACTTTTAACCTTAAGGAAGCATGTTGCGGTTTGGAAGAGCCTCATGGCAGCTCAAGCGCATAATGTAAGGCTGAATGTGAGACGTAAAGGGATGAATGTGATGTGAAAAGAACTCATTATGTTCTTGTCCCTCAGTCCAGTGAGAGCGGTATGCGTTCAGATAGGTGACGAGGTATTCTTCGTTGCGGAGAGCAAACGTATCTCCAGTATCATCTTGCCATCTGATGTCCATGGCTGAAGGAGATAAGAGTCGATCCCACGTATACCAAATGTGCTGGCTGATGCAATACAACAGGTTGTACACCGTGAAGGTTTCCAACCTGTGTGTGTTGAGCAGGATGTTGAATGTGAACAATGCACGTTCTTCGACCGGAGTGAGGCGAGGGAGAACCTCACATGTTGTAGCGGCCATCGAGTGATCATGGGTTTTGTTCATGAGCGGACGGACTTGTTCAATGTCAACGATGACCAAGACCTTTCGGACTTGAGGAGCAGGAGGAGGTTCTTCAGGTCGAGGATTTCGTTGCCTGTCATGTTGATGAGTACCACGGTTTTGCCACATATTGTCGTCCCGAGAGCGGGAGCGTTCAGGAGCTGTGCGTTGACGATAATATGAATGAGCCATACTTGCTGTGGGTGAACAGACACCAAGTAAGAACATTCATCCCAGGCAAAAGAAAGACTGACCAAAAGGGAGACCTCAAAAAAGGACACGAAGAAAAGCAAAAAGAAAGGGAAAACCCGAAGCAAGTCAACAACAGCCCCAAATGAGGCAGCAATGGCGCCTTTTTTGACATCGCAAGAATTGATGCTAAAGTCAGTCATCACCCTCCAATTCATGAGGTGGATTTCCCGGACCCGGTGGGTCATTCACTTCTGATGTCTGTTTCAGAAGTCCCCAGCGAAGCTTGCAGAGCTGAGGATCGCGATGGAGTCTTGCTCCAATTGTTTTCCACGAAGGTCTGGACTTTGTGTCCTGTTTCATGCCAATCAATTCCTGGTCATCGGCGTGGGTCCACAGACGAGCCGGATCAGGAGGTGTATTAGCAGGAATAGCATGAGTGATGTGCATCTGTGGAGACGGCGGAGCTTTTGGATTGGGAGTCAAGGTCAGAGGCGGTGTTCTGGGTCTTGCTTTCCCACCATGAATGTAGCTGATATCCTCTCTTGACGCAGCTTCACCATCGGAGTCATCCGAATTCATGTCTGCTGAACGGGCGTCTGAAATAATGGGTAACGAGGTCGAATGGACAGCATCAAGATTGTGGGCGAGTCTAGGTTCAGGAATTGGCTCCCCTTTCTGTTTCTTTTTTGGTTGTGGGTCCACCAGAGATGATGACCGTTGTTTTGATCGCACTGGCACAGGTGTGGTAGTGCGCGTGGGGGCCGTAGGGAAGGTAATCGTTGTTGTGGATCCAGGAGTCGGAGTTGGACCAGGGTCCGTCATAAGACTGGCAGGTCGAGATGTACCAGTGGTGAGAATAGATGTATTGATTGGTGGAGAGCTTGTTGATGCCGGACGCAGGAACGGTTCTGGATTCAAGACCATGTGGGAAGGGATGCCTCCATGTGATACCAAGGTCGGAGGACCTTCGGATGTCGGGCGAGGTACAAAAGTATGCAGGCCTCTGGCGTTTGGATGATCAAGACGGAAATTGGCCGGAGGCGGCGCTTCATCATATTCAATGGAGGGCTCGAAGAAAGGCAAGAGTCCTGCCAGATAGTTGAGATGCATGATAGCTCTAGCCAAATGATGATGGAACGCTCGTCCTTGAGCATGATCCATGAGCGAACAAACGAAAGTGGAGCAAAAGGAAAGCGTAGCTTGAGCCAGGGAGCTGACGGAGGGAAACAAGAGACCACAGAAAGGCAACAACCAAGAGAAGGGACAGGAAGAAACAAGAAACAAGAAAGAGGAAAAAAACAACGGGAACACACAAAAGAGAACCCCATGCCAAAAACAGCAGGAGCAATTTTTGAGACCTGCAAACTTGAGTTCTGATGCTGAATCAAAAGTTGGTTTGAGATGGCCTGAAGTTCCTCATTGGGAAAGCCAGCTCGTACGTATAATCGAATTAGTTGTGCCAAGCCTTGTTGGACACGCTGAGATGGGAAAGCTCCTTTGATGACGATGTGACATCTTGACCGAAAGCCGCCGAGCAGGACTGAAGGAGGTGAAGCGGAGAATGGTGAGAGGACTTGTGACACCTGTGTTGGTCCCTGATAGATCAATTCAAGTGGCTCTGTTTCGATCATAAAGCCAAGGAATTCTTGATCAGGCTCAGTTTCGAGAATAATAGGCTTTCCATAGAAGCCGTCGTCCAATAAAACTTCATATGGCTCAAAAGAGGTCAGGCGTTTGTCACCGAAAATGAGGCGATTGTCAACGTAACGGACATGTTTAATGAACAGGTGATGATT